AGAATCTTTTTAAGGCTTATCTTTAACTTAAAATAAAAGAACCCTTATTAATATTAAACTTATATATAGGTAAGGGCTTATTATATTTATAAAAGATATAAATAATACTTAAAAAGTATAAAATATACTTAAATCTTATTATAAACCCTTTAAGTTTATAAATTAATATTTACTTTATAAAGAGTTTTTTAATATTAATTTTAATAATTTTAAGATTATAAAAGAATATATTAATAAGTTAAAGCTTTTTTTAAAGGATTTAAAGATTAATAATATAATTCTTTTTAAATAAGTTATAATTAATTAAATTCTTTATAATTTAAATAATAAATATATTAACTTTATTTAAAATATAACTTAAAGTCTTAAAAAAGATTTAAATACTTATATAATTAAATTTCTTTTCTTTAGCTTATTAAATAAAAGCAAAGATAAATTCTTTAAATTATTTATAAAAACTTTATATATAAAGAGCAAGAAAGATAAGAAAAAGATTATTATATGCTTTAATTATAAAATAAAGAATTATATTTAAGAGAATTATTATTTTCTTTATTTAAATAAAGTACCTATTAATTGGAAAATAAATAAATAAAGAAAAGAAAAGGAAAAAACTATTCTTTTAAGGAAAAATATAAGCTAAGAGAAATGGAAGAAAATATAAGAGCAACTCTTAGCTTTATTAACTAGCATAAAGTTTTCTATAGCTTTAAAAGGCGCTTAGGAAAAACTTATAGCTTATATAGTTATAAATAATTTAGTAAAAAATATTAAATATAATAAGAATTTATTAAATTTCTTATAACTTTCTTTTAATAATTTAATGGAAATTAAAGTAAATAACCCTTTATATACTTTATATATATATATAATAATTATAGTAATTAATAATAAATTTATAAAAAATTAATAATATATAGATTTTATAAAAATAGCTATAAATATTATTATAAATATAATAAGTTTTTAAGATATTTATTTCTTTAACATTATATATATAATTAATAAAACCGTAAAATAAAGTAATATAGGTATTATATTTATAAATAAAATAGGGGACTTAATAATTAAGTTTTTAAAAATAAATATTATAAAGCAATTTTTTAATATATATTATATACTTTTTTTATATTTAAATATACTTAATTATAAGTATATAAGTAATAAAATTAAATTAAAATTAAAAGAAAATATTATTAAATTATACTTTTAAGAAATAAATAAGCTAATAATTTAAGGATATTAAAAAAATAGCTTATACTTTATAAAACTTAATATAATAAAATAAATAAATAAGCTTAAATATACCTTTTAAAAATATATATATAACTTAATAAAATTTAAATATAAATAATAAAAATAAAGAAGAAATATATAAATAGCATTATAAACTAAGCTATATAAATATTTAAGCTTTAAAAATATTTCTTTAAAAATATAAAATAAATATATTAATAAATAAACTTATTTAAAAATACATAAGTAATTATAAAGTATGCTTAAAAGCTAAGCATATAATTAAAATAAATAAAATTAGCTTAAATAACTAAGTATATAATATATTTAAAAGAGTATATAGTAATATAAGCAATCCCTTAAAACCTATATATAATAAATATAAATATTATATATTATTCCTTAATAAAAGAACTTAATATTTAAAAGTTTCTTTGCTTAAAAATAAAGATAAAGCATTAAAAACTTTTAATAATTATAAAAATAAAGTAGAAAATAAATATAATAAAAAAATAAAAGAATTCTTTATTAATAATAAAGAAGAATATATAAATAAAAGATTTAACATTTTATTAAATAAATACTTTATAACTTATTATATAACGCCCTTATATATAAAAGAACTAAATGGCTTAATAAAAAGGCTAAATTTAATTATAATAAATAAAGTTAAAAGCCTTTTATATATAGTAAATTTACTTATATATTTATAAGGAAAAGTAATAAAATATGCTATATATTTATATAATATTATACTTTATAAAAGCTTAAGGTATAAATACCCTTATAAGGTAATAAAGAAAAAGAAGCCTTATATAAATAACTTAAAATTATAGGGATTTATTATATATTTTTAAAATAATAATTATAAAATTAAATTAAAACCTAGAAATAAAAAGGGTATATTATTAAATATAATCTTAGAATTAAATATATATTAAGTATGAAATATAAATAATAAAAAGCTTATATTAATTTAAGATATTTAAATATTAAAAGGGCAATATATAAATAATAATGATATTAATAATAATAATAATAATAATAATAATAATAATAATAATAATAATAATAATAATAATAATAATAATAATAATATATATATATATTCTTAAAATTATAAGAATAAAGGGAAGAAAATTCCCCTTTTATTTTAAATGAGATAATAGTTTAAGGGAATCCAAAAGATTATATATATATTATATAAGATATATTATTAAATAACTAAATATTTATATTAAATTCTTAAGAAAATATATTAAAATACTGCTTAATTGCAGCTAATATTAATAAACTTTCTTTTTTAAAAGAAATATTAAATAACTTAGAAAAACCCTTATAAGTTAAATTTATGCTAAATAAAATACATAGTTTATAAGAATAAAATACTTATATAATAATGGATTTACTACCTAGCTGTACGGCTTTAAAGGGAAAATAGGTATATAAAAAGAAATTTATAAATAATCTAGCTATTATAAAGCTTAATTAAATAGTAAATAATAAGAATAATATTAAATTTAAATTTAAATGGGTTATTTAGAGATATAATTAAAAATTAAGCATAAATTATTTAAAGACTTTTTCTATAGTTTGCCGCCTTAAGACTTATATTATGTTATTAATAATAATAATAAATAAAGGATATTATATATATAATTATAACGTTAAAAACGCATTTCTATACTTTAATATTAATTTTAAAATATATATAAAATTACTTATATATATATATAATAAACTAAAATATAAAAATAAAATTATAAAACTAAATAAAGCTTTATATAAGTTAAAATAATTACTTATGCTTTAATATAAATACTTAAAAAATATATTAATTAAGCTAAAATTTATTGTTTACCTATATAATAAAGGGGTATTTATATATCTTAATAAATAAATTATATTTATATATTATATAAATAATATTATTATTATAGGACTTAATAATAATAATATAAATTTAATAATTAATAAATTATATAAGAATATAAAATTAAATTTTTAAGGAGATTTAATAAATTTCCTTAAAAGCGATATATATATAAATAAAGAAGATAAATAAATAATTATAAATTAAAATAAATATATGAATAAAATATTAAAAAGATTTAATATAAAAGAAAAGATTAAGAAAAAGGAAATAGTTTCTTAAATTATACTATATACCCTTAATAAAAAATTAGAAAAATACATTAATTAAGCTAATAAAAATACTATAGAATTATATTAGTAATAAATAGGGTTTATATTATATGCTAGCTTAAAAATAAGGTTAAATTTAACCTATTTTATAAACAAGTTAGCTAAATATATAGCAAACCTAGGATTAAAGCATATAAAAGAATTAAATAAAATATAGGAATATATATATAAATTCTTATATATATTTAAAGTATATAATTACTTTAAAAATAATTTATAATTAATAAGCTATATAAATTTAAACTAAGGTAATGATATATTTATTAAAAAGAGCACCTTTAATTATATATTTAGCTTATATAATATTAATAATAATAATAATAATAAAATAAATCCCATAAGTTGAAATTCTTAGTTATAAAAAACATTAGCACTTTCCTTTATAAAAGTAAAATATATGGCTTTAAGAAAAGCTATAAAAGAAGCTAAATATTTATATAATTTACTTAAATATTTTAATAATAATTTAAATATTAGCTTTAATTTTAAGCCCCTTATTATATATATAAATAATAATAAGGCTAAGAAATTAATTAAAAATACCTTATTTCATAAAAAAACTAAATATATAAATATTGCATATTATTATATAAGAAAAGTAATAAAAATAATAAAGTAATATTAAAAAATATAAATTTTAAGAAAGATTTAATAAATTAGCTTATAAAATTAATAAATAAACTATATTATAAACAGTTTAAAGAAAAGTATAGTTTAATAAAAAAATAATATAAAAATATTAAGCTAAAAAATAAAGAGATTTTCCATCTATATTATAATGCATATAAAATAAATTAAGGTATTTATTTTTTAATAACTAAGGTTAAGATTTTTTTCCTTTATTTATAAAATATATAAATAAATTAAGCGGACTTAATTATATTTACATATAATATTACTTTAAATATTGGAGGTTTTCCCCTAGAAGAAATAATTAAAATAATAAAGGTTTTTCTTAAAAAATAAGCGTTACTTATATAGCCTATATATACCATATATATACATAATTATAATATACCTATACTGCATTTATATACGTTTAATTCTATATAAAAAACGTATTTTTATAATATATATAATATAAGTAAAATAATATATAATTTTAATATATAAAAATGCCGTGATATATTATAGCTATTATAAAATAATTAGTAAATCCTATATAAAACTATAATTTAATATATAATACCCTATTAGCTATAAGTTTAAGTTTAAATAATAGTAAATTTTTAAGTTTTTTCCCTTTTATAAGGTTTTCTTACTATATAATTAAATATTCCTTTTTTATAAACTAAATCCCTTATATATAAAATAAAATAAATAAAAGGGAATTAGTTTAAGGGGGGCTGTTGGAATATTTTAGATATTTAGGCTATTATTAATATAGGATATCCTTTTCCCTATACGTTTGCTACTGTATGGAGGATAATAACTATAAATAGGGGCCTTCCCTCCCGTAGAATAGACGTTAGCTAGCTTAATAGACTAAGCATCCAACGCTATTATTTCAGACGGAGGGCGCCCTCACCAGGGAGGACAAGCAGAAGCTGGCCAAGGGCATGTCCAACATCTACCAGACCTTCGGGCTGCCCGCATTCTACGCCCACGTGCACTTCATCGAGTTTGGCCCAGACGACTTCTGGTCCGGCGGCGAGCCCGCCGAGCCGTCCGCGACCGTCTCCATCTACCACGCCGCCGCCAACGTCCGGGACAAGCAGGAGGGCGAAATGTTCCTCAAGGCCTTTGACGATGTCGTGCGCCCGGTCTTGAAGCCCAAGGGCATGCGGTGGGAGTCCACCAACTATGAGACCCCTCGCGACTTTTGGAGGCTGCAGGGCATGGCGCCTCCGGACTTTGACACCGATATGCACAAGAAGTGGGTCAAGGAGAACACCTTTACCGATGAGGATGGGGAGCAACTTCTGCGCCAGCAGGGCTATTGTGTATGTTAAGCCTACTGAAAATGATGTTTATAGGTGACGTGAACTAACCGTGATAGGATAAATCCCGCTGGCAGTTACCGACGCACCAAGTATTAAAATGGCAGAAGGTGTAAGAGGTCAGGGGAATCATGGAACCCCAGGGACATCTGGAGCTTTGCTGGGCCGTTTTAGCTTGCATCATCATTTGACGCTTGCACTTTGCGCGACTCTCAGTGATATTTGCAACCTCAGACAAACCCTGGTTACTTCTCCTTTCATAGCTAGAAAGCCTAGATAGCTTCACCAGAGCTCAATGTATCACTTGTCTTCTCACTGGCCAGCTTCCCCCGTGGGCATGAGCCATCAGCTGACTTACATTGCGCATTCATCCATGTACGCGTAGCTTCCATGCTCCAGTGACGTCGAGATACGCCGATATATATTTAGATATTCTCAATTCTGATCGTAGGAAGCTTTGACGCCGAGGTAGACAGCTCTTGTTATCTAGACATTGAGCGTTCTGCAGTCTATTGGCAGGTTTGCCCTGTTCAGACTCAGATCGTTTACGAGCCGGAACAACCGGAGGAAGAATGGAAGATGTTAACATAACGAGGTGTATCTACCCAACGGTCCGCCGACAAATTGATACCCTTGGAATTACCCTAACCCTTCACAATCGAGGAGAAGGTGATGATCTGAAGGATCTCGCGCTAGTACCTGACCAGCCACTGAACTTCGACGTGCAAGATCCCTCCATGTACACAGACTCACAACACAATACCACTTTGCTGGACGATCTGTTTTACCTCACGCTCTCCATATCCGTAATTGTTCTTATTTCCGATTTCTAGCCGTGGTTGTTTCACTTTCGATGTCATTGGCTGCCTGAAGTAGATGGCGGCTACGCATGCAAGGTCAGCCTCCATCTACAACCCCCTTCACCGGGGCCGCAAGGAGATAAGACTCCTCGAGATTGTCTCAGTGAAGCCCGAGATCACATTCAAGACGCATGTGGTCTCACTGCTTGATGACCCCGTATTTACGGCGCTATCCTACGTGTGGGGTTACCCTCCGACGTGGGTGGACGTCATCGTTGACGGGGCGAAAGTACCCGTGACGGAAAATCTCACAAATGCCGTCAAAGGCATACATGCCTTCTGGGCACAACAGCACCCGAAAAGAACCCTGGAATCCATGAGGTTATGGGCTGATGCGATATGTATCAACCAGCAAGATGTGGTCGAGAAAGGGTTTCAGGTCCCGCTGATGCGTGAGATATATTCTGGGGCTGAACAGGTGCTCTCGTGGCTCGGAAAGGCCGATGAGGTCACCAAATCAGCCTTCGATGCGCTCCAGCGCATTCATCGTGGGATCTCAGCGTTGGAAAATAACGACGTCACTGATCTTGGATGGATGGAGAGCCACCATGACCTATGCAACGGCTACGAAACGGACCCCCGTGGGCCGTGGCTCGGAATCATCGATCTCATGCATCGTCCATACTGGAGCCGTGTGTGGATATTCCAGGAGGTGTACCTGGCACGGTCTCTACTGTTCATGAGCGGCCAGAGTACTCTGGACTTCAACTGTCTCAAGTCAATTCAGGAATGGCACGAATCAGCCATCCTCAGCCAGCCGTCTCGACCGAGTTACGTCAATCCTGGAACCTGGGCCTACTTGCAGAATCATCGCGGCATATTCGAAAGCGTCTCTGCTATCGACCAGGCCAAGGACATCATTTCCGACGGGCAGCGCCACCAATCCCGCATCAGGGGGATCCTCAAGGACACGGTGAGCGACGATGCCATCATATTCTACAATCAGGTTGAGACACATGCACTCCTTTTGTGGATCATGGCCGGTGTCCTTGAGTCTACAGACCCAAAGGACTCAATTTACGCCCTGCTCGGCGTTTCAGGCCTCACGATCGAGCCGGATTACACGGCAGAGAAATCGCCAGCTGAGGTCTACCTCGACTTTCTCAGGCTCTGGCAAGATTGCTGCTCGATGCTACACCCGTACTACCCAAACGATGCGAAGTCAGGTATTCTGGACCTCTGGTTCCTGATATTTGCCGGGGTCGATTCAGAGAACAACGCAAAGCCCGTGGCGGGGCTGCCTTCGTGGGCACCCAATTTTCCTGCGATAGCTTCCCGGTACGAGAGTGGCTGGTCATACTCGACAAGCTCACTGAGTCAATTCCCCGTCGGCGAGGAACTATTCACAGATGTCTCAGGACAGTGGCACATTGACGGGATGAAACTATGCTGCCCCGCTGTCTGGATCGACGAGATTGCTCATACCGGTCCAGTCGTCGATGTCGTCAACCAAGACATCATCCGGTGGACTCTGGGCTCGTTGAGCCGGCAATTGAAGTACCCAACGGGGTATCATTCGGCAATAGCTCTGCATAGGGTCTTGCTTGGCCAATACTTTGACGAGGATCTGGAGAATATGGTCCTGCCAACTCTCGAAGAAGCAGTTGGACTGATTTGCTTGTTCTTGGCACAAACTCTTCGCTCTAGACCGCAAGCGCGCGAAGACCAAGAGTGGCTTGCCAGCATGGAAATTTTGGTACATAGCCTCTTGCTCAGCCTTGGCCGACAAGAGCACCGCGATGTCCTTCGGGAAGGTCTGCACAGTCGTGCAAATGACAACGACGCACACATTCCTCCAGGTGTGACCGATTTACTTGATACAGAGGCCCTTGAGACCACACGTCACCAGCTCTTGCTAGCAGTATCAACCTCAGGAGGCGATAGGGTTGCCCAGACCAAGAAGGGCTATTTTGGTAGGTTTCCGGCGTACGTACGCGAAGGTGACGTTGTTTGTCTTCTGAAGGGGTACGACGGCCCCGTTGTGCTCAGGAGGGTCAGAAATCATTTCGTCTTCGTTGGCTCGGCATTCATCGTCGAGGCTCTCGGTGGGAGGTCTGAGGCGGAGATGGAGATTTTGAAGTCAAGCATCGAGATCTTCGAAATTTGCTGACGAATGTCGAGCTTGTCGAAGTCCATGATAAGTCCATAGAAGAGGATGGCTTGGTGGGCCTTACGGACATGGCCGATGTGGATTTGAGTGTGCAGTGGCTTCGACCAACACCCAACACTTCTCTCGCCCTGCACGATATCTAGGCATCATTTCAAGGGGACATTTATCAGCTATGCATGCATCGACACATGAGGCGACAGCCACGTTCAGAATAGAAGTGGATAGAGCCCCCCCACATTCTTATTGTTGGTAAAAAAGATGCTATTTTGAGGTTGACGGCCCTGTCTGTTTGAAACGGTCCCCGGAGTATGATCTCCAGGAGTGCATTTAGACTCTCCGAATCCCGGGAATTCACGGGCGCGCCCATCCCTGGCGCATCTTCTCGAACCTATTTTCATCGGGGAGCTGAATTACGCTAGCCAACGAGTGTGTCGGCAGAGTAATAGAAGAGCAGCTAAGAGTGGTTGTCGTCGATGTGCGTCATTTCACACCACAACGCAAGAGACATGGACCACTGGGGAGGAGAGGTGAGATCTGTCGCAAGCCTGCCTCTGTTATCGGCCGTAGACCCATGATAGACTGTCTCATCCCACCATGTGGCATCCGAGTCAACTGCCAGTTTGCCCAGTCTGTCGGGGCACAGACGATGTGTCGGCAGCGTGGCAACGGCCGGGATGGCAGCTCTTTGAATGAAACATTGACAAGTCAACGGGCCACACGACCCAGACAACCAGACAGCCGAGTGATTTTGGGGCCAGTGGGGGAAGGGGAGGATGCGAGACTACTGTGGACTGTGCAACCTTATTATTCCCGGGCGTGTGGACGGATGACGCGGGGGGCTGGCAAGGGACTTGGGGAACGTCATCGTACGGGCTGGCGGATGGGACCGAAGCGTGTGGCGAAAACCTTGGAACAAGCTGCCCCCTTGCCCGTTGAGGTTAATACCACCGTCTCACCCATCTGGGCATTTTCTGGCGCCCAACCCCAGAATCTCACACCTCACCTCTTATTCTTCTCACCGTCTCTCACCCCGTCGAACCGCTTTTAGTAGACTGCATGTACAGAGTGAATACTGCAAAAATGAGCGCATAGAAAGAGAACAACAACCCAACACATCACACCACGTCAGCCACTTCGGTTGTGATATCTCCCGTTCGCAGCAATGGCACCCGAGCGACACGACCAAGACAGTAGTCGATCCCGGCACGCACATCGCAGCCGCCGTGATCGCGATGACGGCTCCGTCGACAGCGGCTACGGGGGCTCTGCAGCAAACTCCCCAAAAGACGCTCACGATGTGCACAAAGACGCGCTCAGGGACTATCACGTCGAGTCTGCTAGGCATCATGCAGAGTCAAGCAGACGATCAAGCCGGTCTGAGGATGCGAAAGCGGCCGAGTCGAAAGCAGACAAGGAGGAGAGGGAATCAGCCAGCGACTCGGACTACGACCCCAGGGACAAGTACTACCTCAAGGTCGACGACGACGAGTACAACAAGATGACTTCTGCCGCAACGGAAGATCCAGTCCAAGACGACCGAGATCGCGATGGCACAGATAGGGACAGGAGAGACCGACGAAGATCCGATGCTTCCGAAAGGCACAGGAGTGACCGCCGGCAGAGCACTGCATCGGAGAGGGATAGGAGAGAAAGACGGGAGAGGCGCGAGAGTGATGCTTCAAATTCATCGAGACGGAGCGACCGGAATCGGAGGGAGGACCGGGATCGTGACCGACAAAAGTCGCTGTCGTCGCGCCGGCATTCGACCACATCTGACGGCAGCGACTCCAGTGAGCGGCGCAGGAGACACTCGTCCGCGCGCTCGGACACATCCAGCAACCGATCAAATAGTCGCGACCGAAAGGATTCATCTCGCCGCCGGCACGACGCATCAACAGCGTCTCACTCCCGCCACGACTCCCACTACCGCTCCCTGTCCCCCATCCCATCCGACTCCTGGGAGGAGTCAGAAGACTCCCCGGAAAGATCGCCCCGGCACCGGGGGACCAGCCGGTCGCGCGCCGCTCCGAGGCAGGCTCCAAGAAGAGCCCGACGCGGAGCAAGAGCCGCGACGAGTCGGCCCAGCACATCGACCCGGACGGCGAGGCGGCCAAGAACTTCCTGGACAAGCTGACCAAGGGCGTCGACATGAAGTCCGTGGGCAAGGTCGGGCTCGACGCCGCCGCCGTGGCGGCCATCAAGATCGCCGTCGGCACGCAGGTCCCCTGGAAGCAGCGGATCCCGCGGACTATCACCGTCGGCGCTGCTGCTGCGATCATGGACTTCATCGTGAAGAAGACGAATTTCAAGCCCAAGGGCATGATCGGCACCATCTACGCGAGGCAGTTTGTCGAGATCGTGCTGGCCAACTTGATTGTCAACCCGGTCAGCAGCAAGGTCACTGGCGCGGCGCAGAATGCTAAGGGTAAGGCGGCGGCGGGTAAGCCTGGTGGCGGAGGAAAAAGGTGACCGTCTGGTGGGAGTGACGGGCTGGACGTCCAGCAGTGGAAGAAAATTCCAGGCAGAATGTACCATTTGTATTACGAAAAGATATACCCAGCGACGCGAATGATTTGCAGCGATCAATTTCTTTCAATCAACACATAGTTACGCATTTCAACAGATATTGCCAAAGAACGAACGTCACCGCTTCCTCAGGGTATTATATCAAGTTGACAGGTCTCATCGACCTTGTCTAGGAATACCTAGGGCTTTCCCACGCTCCATTATTTACCCGAGCTTACGGCTGGGCTCTTTCAACAACCGTGTGATAGCTAATGCGCAGTCGGCCCAATGAACTAGCGGGTCCATAGAACTGGGCACCTGCCTTAATGCACTAACATTATCATTGTTTTGGGAAATGACCCAGATGGTGGGGTTAAAAAAGCAGTCTTTACCAAGCTGGTGTTGTTGTAACGATACGGATACAAGCAAGTACGTCCATCTAAGAGGGGACCCTGTCATAAAAGTAAGGAGCAGATTTCAATAGTTGGTGGACCTTCCTACACGAGCTCGTATGCGTCCAAGCCTAATATATTGTTCATAACACTAACGTAACAGAGGAGATGCACGTGTGTGTGTCAGAACATGTTTTCTTTCCTAAACAGAGTAAAGGTTGCCTACAACAGCGGGTATGTTGTGAAGGTCTCTGTTAGCCTCAAAAATTCCGCCATCTTGTGCGAAGGGTTGTAAGAAGACGGTGTGCACTTGAGAAATCGGGTTAGGCACTAGAGTATGGAAGACCTGTTGGTTGCAGGTCGCCAATAGTTCTTGGATCAGTCCGTCAGCACTGCCTTGCGTTAAACCCCCACTGCATTTCAAGACGGGGCAACCATCAATGCCCAGTCACCACCATCCAGTCTATCTCGACCTCATGGTCTGTACCCAGGGTTACCAGTACGACCACTTAGACCTGCATGCTTTTCCGGGTATGCAGAGTTTTACGAAGTGCACTGAATGATGACCTGCGATAGAATACCATCATGTATCAAGTGGCTCTTTGACACAAGTCAAATTATACTTGAGTACCTAGGTATGCAGCGTCCTGAGTATTATGTGCGGCGCTCGGCCCAGTCGCGTGTCGGATCCCATGTCGCTCTGACAGATTCGACACGGGGTAACATGGTGTATACATGCGATAGCATGAGATTACTTGCATCACTCCAGGAGAATGCATTCCTCGAGCAATGGCAGCAGTCCACAATCTAGACGCGCTTGTGCTGCGCGGGAAGCGTGGCTTGCGCACAAAGCTATTGCCCTACCATTCCGCATTGACTGCACCGGAAACGACCCGCAGGAAGGCGTGGTATACCGATGGAAAATCCACCATGCCAGTTGCGCCCTTGACACAAAGGCAGGGTAAAAGGCACGGACAAAGAAGGAACGGTGGATTTTGGAATTTGTCCTTCTGGCGCGTCTGTGTGGTTTAGGTTCAACTCAAAGATTCCATCGGCAAATATTATATGCAAGCTAGTTACAATATATTAGAGCCCTTGACACTAGCCAGATATCAACCTTAAACAATCAAGGCTCCAGCGGGCCATGATGGCACAACAAGCTTCCGGGTATCGGTCAGAGGATGAGGACAGTACACATGAGGATGATCCTGGCCAGACTCCTCTCGTTCAAGATCCAATGATATGGCTACAGCAAAATCCATCGCTGATGCAGGACAATTGGGATGACCATAATCCTGAAGACCAAGGAAGATGGAGAACTTACATTCCATCATGGAGCCGTCCGGGATATGACGACAATATAGAGGTTAGCTACGATGGGACGGAGCAGAGACCGAGAAGGGGAGATTTTTGGAGTTGGATGAGGCCGGCATTATTGCCAAGCGATCCTCGACCTACACAATATGCACAGTAAGTAGAAGGGCCCGATTGGGACGCCGAGGTGTCACTGACGGAGACCTGGGTAGGCGATTCGGGTTATTCCCCGATCGAAGACTCAATGAGAATTCTGAGACCCGTTCGATGTTGACCCCAGGACCTACTTCGATGACGACCGATGACTTTGATACTCGATGGGGATTCGAGCAAAGTTTTCAATCCACAGTCTTTCAATCTTTCACTACACAGGAGGTTAGATTGATATGGTTGCTGAGGCCTGGGTTTTGGTTTTCTGACGATTCACAGCTATTCGACTTGGGAGCCCTTGATCCAAACCAAAAGCTCCCGGAGCCAGACTTGCAGGGCGGTCTATGGCAGTTAGTTTTCTGGTAAATCTGACTATCTATAGATAAATGTATTAACCCATGTCAGCCTATTCGCTAGAAACAGATGGCCCCAATTAGGAAATGATTTCTATTACAATCTTGATGGCCAGGACAGGCTTTGGAACGTCGAAGTACGCATCTGAGGGCGTATGATTCCTCTGCAAACGATGTTCCGGTAAAACTGATACAGCTATTTAGAAAAACGATGAACTATGGGCTGCGTTACAACCATCGCTTCAGTTTGCCAGCAGGGTGCTCCAGAGCGAACATCCGTTCTGGAAGGCCATATTAAGCTTGTATCACCTGCGCCCAGTCCCTATAGAAAAGGATGGCCGGACTGACGAGGAAAAGTCAAACCCCGACTATAAGCCTTATATCTCTGTGTGGTATGATATTGATAAAACCAAGATGTATTCTAATGCAAGGGCATTGATGGACCAAAACTTTGATTCCACTGCAGCTATACTGGAAATCCTCAGGCTATGTAAAAACTGCCTCCGTTACCCAGCGTGTACTAGCTAACAGATGATGAGAATAGTACTGAGGTTTTCCATCGTACATACCGAGAGAACAGCGGCTGCAACGACTCGACAGGTAACAGCGGCTGCAACGGCTAGACCGAACGCTGGACCTGACGACAACGCACGAGACTATCGCATCCGGATAGAGATCAACGCCGCGCACATCTGGCCACTGCTTGCCCCACAATACTCGGTATCTGAAAAGACAGCTGTTAGCTTCTTTTTGGGCAAGACGATCCTTCACGAACTTGTAGTGAGCGTCCAAATAGGCCAGTCCTATATGCTTTGCCTGCTAACGAATCAACGCCACAGCATGCAGCTAAATGTGAGTAAGGTAAAGCTTAGAGGCTAATTTTGTTCCTTGGAGGACTGCAGTCAATATCCCATACACCAGAAGCAGCCAGATTCGGGTCTCCCTGGGTGAAAGGTAAATGCTGACAGCTCCAATACCTAGGTGCTCACCTGTTTCTATTGGGTCGGCCACTCCTCCTGGCGGGCATGTTGACGAATGAGCCGTGGAATCCACCTCCGAATACGGATTTCAACTGGGAAATCATAAATAATATTATTGAACTTCGTCTTGAGGCATTTCAGGATGCCTCAGACAACGTGGAATATGTGTAAGTGTCCTGCTTCTAAATCGCGGCTTGAGTCGCTATCTCTCCTTTTGTTTTGGACTGCCCGCCCAGGGTCATCAGACCCATCGGCCAAGGGTGCCAACCCTGTGAGCTACGGTACCGTGCGGGAGTTTGGCATAATTAGCCGAAGGGCTTTTGTAAGCTGACAATTTCGACCACCAGGTTTCAGGATGTTCCACAAATGGAGGAAGGCAAATGTTATGAACAGCAGGTATGCCCTCTGGAATCGTTTGCTCTTGGACAATCAGCTGAGGGCCCTGGCCTTAGTTGTTTGGTTTCGAAGTGTCCCTCGGACCGCAACCAGCTTCAGGGAGACAGAATGATGCCTACCGCTCGCTCATCTCAGCTATCTCCTGGCCCTGGAGACACCCAGCGATCCACTTGCAAAACCAACGATCCGTCAATGATGGTCTATATCGCGATTATACATCTCTCGGCTATCAAATGTACCTCCTTGAACCACCTGCTTCGGCATACGACCTGATGACCCCGCTTCGCGTTAGTTCTTTTGCCAGATTCATGCAGCAATCATGGTGGGAGTTAGATTTCTATAGGTTTGGACATCAGGCACTCAAGATACCTCTCCATTCCAGGGATACCTCCTCTCCACTCAAGACGGTTGTGATTTACAACGAAAGCATACTATCACCAGAGTTCCTTCCCATGCTCAGAGCGGTACTGCGCAGTGAAGCTGCACTTGATTTCATTGACTATGCCGTACCTGTGCTCCGTGCGCATAACCACACCGCCATACTGAGATACTTAATGCAGCTTACTATGGAAGCTTCATCGGCTAGTCTTATGCGCAACAGGCTGCACTATGAGAAGAGAACATGGCCTAACAGGCGACACAGAATAGAAGAGCTAAGCCGCACGTCCACACAAAGTTTTCACACTATCTGGTCTTCTTTAAATCAGACTTTACAAAGTCTAATTTCTACAAACATCTTGGGCAATCTTCATCAAGTCCAGGAGAACATCCATACAATGCTAATAAACTTGATGGAACTAGATCGTAAGTTCTGATAAATTTCAGCGTATAACTAGTAAGGAGACTGAACTTCTATCGAAGGCCTCTTGGGTGTAGAGATACAGTATTCACAAGCCATTGCGGCCCAATACATATTGAAAATTCCAGATGAGCGGAGGAAGATCCATCGAAGGTACATGGCCGTACTTCGGCAAAATCTCATAGCAATAACCCAAGCGGTCAGAGACGCGCTAGATCAGATTGGGCGCGACCATGAAGAACAGGGCGGGCTTCAATGGCAGACTATCAAGGCACCCTGGGAAGCACGATTGAACTTTATGACCACGACAAATCCCGGAAACCTTGACGGATATGCGTTGCAGCAGATTCAAGCTGCTACGGAGACACTGGCCAACCTCAGAAAAGCGGCGCGGCAGAAGTGCGTGGACCTGGGTGTGACCACAGGCCACGTAGACAGGGTCGTGGGGATCCTCAGTGACGGCTATATTGACTTTCCTATCGCCAGTGCACCACGAGGGCTTTTCCCCGGCGTGCCAATTGCGAGGAGCATGATGACACTATCAAAATCTGTGGAAGCAGCCGCAGTCAAGGAAATCATGTGCTTAACAAACAGAGGCATCGACGATATTGTTCGACAGTGGGTGAAGCTTTTAGAGGCCTACTTCGGACTGTCTGGCCGCATGAGAGGCGTTAGGCAGGATGTAAGGCTAGCAAGGACCATGGCAGATCTCAGCGCAATCAAGACCGTCCTGTTTCAAGTGAAGCGCGATGAAGTGCGCCCACCGCCCGCTCAAGGTGGGCAGCCCGCAAAGGACCAAGCGTTTGCCCGTATAAGAACCCAGATAAGGAATACGGTTCAAAACAACGGGGACTTGATCACTTTCCTCAGAGACCTCTGTCGTGGGGAGCAGGATGAAGAGGAATTTCAAACCATTATGAGGATACCCTATCAGGTACCAGCCCAGCAGTAAAATGTGTAAACTTTGACCAGAAACGGACTGATTTGGATGCATGTATGGCTGGAACGCATGAGGGCGGGAAGAAGATTAATAGTGTGTGTGATGCCTGTAAAAGCGTATGCTATGACTTTACATCCTCAGACCAAAAGCTATGCATGCCCACCCCTTCTAGATTGCAAATCACGGTGTCTTGATATGGGATCACGGTCCAGAAGTTAGGACTCGATTTCTGAGGCGAAAGGGCTACGTTCAAACTGATTTGCTCCTCGGCCAGCTGAAAAGAGTTTTCCACGAATTACTGATACCAATCTCATTCTTCTGGGTTAAGCAAGCTTCTACCTGATTTCAAGCCGTTCAGGCTTTAGACCGGGCCCAATATCCTCGAGACTGTAGACTCCCGCGACCAAGTGACTCATCCAAATATTTTCTGCATACTCGTACCAAGTCTCTTGACCATCAACCATTCTTCTGAGTAAACACAACTTGTCTGCACTACCTACCAGTGCTATCAACATTCCTTTTTCGACCTCATCCTTGGTCGCAAGTCCAAAATGACCATTCCCTGTCACGATTAGGTCCGCATCGTACCTCAGATTGTCTTCGATCATCTCGTAAATGCTGAGGTCGAAGCCCTCATGTTTTTCGGCTTCTTCTTGCCATACCTCGACCTTCGACCTCAATCCTTCAGGTGCATTTCGGGAAGCTAGGGGTGTTTCTTCGCACGCGGAGAGTTTGTACGCAAGGAACGTAAAGATCTTCATATCACACTCTGGATCCTCTCCGTATTTGTCGAGGAGGGTTCTGAGTAGAGCCTCACAGCAAGAACCGGAAATATCCTCCACACTGCCCTCCTCGAGGAACGGCCCAGCGCAAGCGTCATACAGGCCGTGCCCCAGTTCCGCCAGTGTCTTGACGACGCCGAGCAGGACGTCAAATACATCTGTATCCTTGGTGATGGAGAACTTGTAGACGACCTCGTCTAGTATACAGCCGTGTACACGAATTGAGCTCAAGCTTGCTGTTGGCTGCCCGTCGATCAGGTCCCCAAAATTGGTATCCGATGATGATAACGCCCTCTTTAGACCTGATGCTTCTGCAGACATCGAGAAGTCTGGTACCCATGACGGCAGCCCGGCAATAACCTTTTTACTGGGGCGGTTTCCAAGAGACCACGGCATCTTGTGCTCGACATCCACATAGTAGCAAGCTGCCTCGACGTACACATCTTGGACGCTGAGTTTGTAGTTGGCAACAGGGGGTTTTCGCTGCCGGGGAGCCGCGGTAATTGCCGCAGAAATTGATCCTAACCTCAGAGCTGCAAAGACCTTGTCCCGCGCGTCCGTGGCCTGAAATCGTGCTAGTGCGGCGATAATCCTCGTCAATTCGACCTTGCCGTACGTGGAAAACTCGAAGTCGAGTAGGACGATATCCATAAAAGTGCGGTTGTACGTCGCAGTTTTATGTAGTGCGAAGACAAGGAGTGCCTTCTTGAAGGCCTCCCAAGTACAGCTTAATGTGCCCCAGACGACAATCCCCCGCGAGCCGCCCAAGATGATCTCCTGCAGGATCCATGCTCGACTGAAGTATGACGCGGAATAAATCGCGTCCAAGACGTCCACGACAGTCTTCGACTTGAGCGCCTCAGTGACGAGTTGCTTAGCTTCGTTGTTTTCATCGATCCGGAGCGCAAACATGCCTGCAGAGTCATTCAAATCTGGACGAAGTTTCTTGTGAGCTTTTGAGAGCAGAGGAAGGCTAGCGAAGACTTCGCGGAAGGATTGGACTCTCCCCTCGATCGATCCGAGCCACATGATAACGTTCTTGGCCTTTCGATAGATGTCAGTCATCATCGCGACCTGATCGTTGACTTCATCCTTATTCTCTTGGTCAATGCAAATAGCGTCGACCCAAAGAGCCCTTGACTCTGATTCCGACCTGAGACTTCGCAGTGCCGCAGCACAATTGGGAGTCACGAGAATTCGGTCATCGGCACACTGGACAGGCACACTTCCCTTTTTTTCTAACCACTCATATGACAATGCCTCAAAAGATGGATCCTTGGAGAGCTGAGCGATTGCAAAGTCGAAAGAAATGATGTCGTTCGACTTGCCAGGGTGAAGCTCAAGGACACGTATAAAGCCTTGTGACAAAGGAGTATATCGAAACTGCCTTCTCTGGTTGAATTTGTCCAGTTGCTTCTTCTCCAACGCCCTTTCGTTTTCGACACGGATATGCCTGGCTCGGCACAGCAGCGCTATTACCGACTCATGTCCATTCTCTTTTGCATGGGATAAGGCTGTGCGTCCGTAGTCGTCTTTCAGTGCAGGCTTGGCTCCCATCTCGATGAGTGATCGGACTACTTCTGCATGACCAAGCTGCGCTGCCATGATAAGGGGAGTCTCCCGGTTGTCAGAAAGATGATTTACGTCCGCGCCATGCTCCAGGAGTAATTCGACGAGCCGTGTGTTCCCGCGACGTGATGCTAGGCACAGTTGTGAGTAGTTCGTGTCCATTTCGGAACTCATATAGGCCCCTCTTTCCAGAAGCAAGCTTGCCAGCTGGCCATCATCGGCAAGGACGGCGACAGTGAGTGGCGTCCAGCCTCTGAGATCTGCGCTGTTGATGTTGGCACCCTCGTCGAGAAGCGTGACAACCACAGTCTGATGTCGTGCCTGTACGGCATGGCCCAGAGCTGTCCGCCCATTCTCGTCCTTGATTTCTTTCCTGGCACCAAACTCTAACAAGGCGTCAACGGTACCGTCATGTCCTTGCTTGGCGGCCCAAGACAACGCAGTCCCCCCGTTCTTGTCCTGGCCGTTAACATCTGCACCCAGCTCGAGAAGCAGACGAGCGGTGGCAGTCTCGCCCCCACGTGCAGCATGACAAAGAGCCGTTTGGCCGTCCTTGTCACGATATTTCAGGTCAGCCCCATGATCGATAAGTGTGCGAACTGCGGTATTATGCCCATGTCTAGCAGCCTCTATCAGCGGCACACGGTCTTCTGAGGCGGCTTTGTGTACGCTCACTCCTGCTCGAATCAGGCGGAGTATCTGTGTGACTCTTCCTTTCCTCGCGGCGCGTAGCATGCTATCACTTCGGTTCCCAAGGCATTTTACAACCTTGTTATGACCCTTTGATCTGGCAAGAGAAATCGCCGTGTCGCCCTTTGGCGACTGAAATTCTATGTCAGCGCCTGCATCGATGAGCTGCTCCACAACACCACAGTGACCTTGCGTGGAGGCAAACATTAAAGGCGTCTTGCCATATAATGTGGCTGCATTCACGTTACAACCCCTTTTGAGCAACATGTCCACAATCTCTTCGAAACCGCCCTGGGATGCTGCAGAGAGCGTCGTCTGGCCATCTTCATCTGCCGAGTCTGCCGAAACATCTTGAGCCAGTAATCGCCGGACTATCCTTTTGTGGCCATGACGAGATGCCCACCAAAGAGCGGAATGACCATTTGCATCATTCGAGTTCGGGTCAGCTCCTTGGTTGATCAGAAATCCTACAACGAGGTCGTGGCCGGATTGTGCGGCTACAGTGATGGCCCTCTGGCCGTCTACGTCCATGGAGTTGACATTGACGCCTTGTTTGAGCATTTTCTTAACCAAATCCACGTGTCCTTTCCGGGACCAATCAACGAACACGTTGACCTCGTGGGAGGTTGAAAGCTGCAACGTCTTCTTGCTGATGGGCATACTGTCCCTGAGGACGGCGGCCAGCGAGTCGAGGCCCTTCCTCTCGGCAAAGTACTGGGCACGTCGTCCGTACATGTCTTCGGCTGTCGGGTCGGCGCCTCTCTGGAGCAAGATCTCCACAACAGCTTCGTGGCCGCCGTGTGCAGCGTAGTGCAACGGTCTCCATTGCTCCTTCGACTTGAAGCGCCCCTCTGCCTCCGAGTCTGCGCCATGGTCTAGAAGGAGAGCGACGATCTCGTGGTAGCCATATTCAGCTGCTTGACTCAGCGGAGTTTGGCCCCATGCATTCCTGGCCTCCTTGTCGTACCTGCGCCTCAGACAAAACTGCACCATCGACCTGTTCGCGGAATTTACAGCCGCGTGTAGCATGCCTCCCCAAGGATTCACAGATCGGAGGTCCGCATGTAAATCTTCCAGAAGACGCGCAATCGTTATATTGCCCTTCATGATGGCTACAAATAGAGGTGTCTGCTGCTTGGAGTTTCGAGCCTCGACACCAGCGTTGTGGTCAACGAGGAACCGCACTAGTTCCGGTGAGTCTTTCAGGGCGGCCCAGTGAAGCGAAGAGTTTCCATTGTTGTCCCTAGCATCCACGGACGCTCCCCTGTTCACCAGGAGTCGCACGGCGTCTGGTTTGGTGAAATATGCGGCAAGCGTTAGTGCCGTATGGCCCAGGTTGTCTCTTGCCTCTATGTTTGCGTCGCTGTGTCTAAGAAGCACTTCGATCATTTCCTCGCTCCCTAACATAGCGGCAGTGTGTAGTGGCGTACGGCCAGTGGAGGGTGTGACAGTAAAGTCAGCTCCCAGGTCGAGGAGGTATGTTCTATTTTACCTCTTGTGGTCAGCACTCGAGAATTTTGTACCTGACTGCTTGTATCCCATCTCCTACGTGTTGTCTTTTGATCACTTTATTGGAACGAGGATGTCTTACACAATTTTGGTTTCGCCACAGCCTGTTGCTATGTGCAAGGCAGTAGCGCCAGACTCCGTGGTCCCTTCAATATTCGCGCCCATGGCGATCAAAGCCTTTGCTGCGTCAAGGGTCCCGCGTTGGCATGCGTGGTGCAGGGCAGAGTAGCCACGCTGGTCCGGCTGATTCACATCGGTTCCTGTTTCATGAAGCAACTGGAGCACCCCGCAATTGTTCTGCCTTGCTGCGTTGTGCAGTGGCGTCCAGCCCTCTCGATCCACACAAGTGGCCGGGGCCCCAAGAGTTGTGATCAGAAGACGTATGACTTCGAGTTTGTTGTTCCATACAGCATAGTGGAGAGGAGTCTGTCCGAACTTGTTTGTCGCGCTGATGTCGGCTCCGGCCTCATGCAATAAGACGAGTATGTCACAAAAGCCACCCCAAGCGGCACAGTGACAGGCAGACTCCTCTTTCTCTTGAACACGCTTATAATTGACGTCGACCCCTTCGTCAATAAGCAGCTGCACCAGTTTCTCCCTGTTTTCCTTCGCAGCCCACAACAAGGCCTCGCCTTTATTCAAGTCTTTGCCGCTGAGACTGAAACCATTGTCGAGTAAGAGTCGCGTCAAATTCTGCGATTCGGGTGGCGTTCCAGCCATTATTCTGTTATCTTATAATAGGTGTAACTCAATGTCGTTCAAATTTAGAGAAATTTGTCCCCAGATTCGTAGAAGAGGACTCGTAAAAAGTGCGAGAGAAGCACTTCGGCACGACTGCGCCCATTTCAAGAGAGGGGAGATTTTCGCAGGGCTCAAGTCGGTTGGTACAGGGTTACATGCTTCGTCAGCCATTCATCCCACGCCTACAGCCAATCAGGGCGCATTTTCCATCATTGGATGCACCGCATCGTGTTTCGCGCTCACGAATTGGCCGCGAAGCGTCGCCAACTGGCAGTAAAGTCACATCGACTTAGCGGTGGAGTCCGCTGCATTCCGCGCCAGACGCCCATCCACATTCAATCCTATACCTAACGGCCTGGACATTCTGTGTCAGCCACAGCTGCCAAGTCCAGACAGGCTGTGGTTGATGTTGAGGACGGATATTCGCACCGGTCAAAACGGATGGCGCACCGGTTGTGATCACGTAACTAAGCAGCTATCGCCCAGTACTTACCGCACTCTCAGTAAAATAACCGAACCCTTAACTCTCTAAACAAAGAGGACACTCATAGCAGCAATGCCTAGTAGATTACAGTCTATTAAGATTAATAGCTAGCAGGAAGGCTTATGAAGAAGATAACCTAACGGCCCCTAAAGCGAAAAGTACCCTTGGGTATCACGAGATCCTCTAGCCCAACTTCATTAGTAGCTAGATAGCATGCCAGCTGGCGGGAGCGTGACTGCCCAGCCAGTCTGCACTTCAGCCTGCACTACAGAACCCACACTACACCATGGCCGAGTCCAATACACTCTACTGACCACCTCGTTTGACAATAACCCGTACGGGAAAGCCAAACCAACACATACCATTTAATAAAAACTACGTAGTTTGATCTCCTTTCATGGTGTTTGTACCAAATACGTTACTTGTATTCTGCTGCAGGGTCGTTCGGCTTCCCAATCACGCACGTCAGCAGTGTAACTAAAAAGGGTATGACAGTGCCAGCCTGAGTTGTTTGGGTATCGGGATATGAACTACCTTTGGATACGGGATGCGCAAGGGAATTTGACTGATTATTTCGAAATCTTGCCACACATCTTTCCTCCATTGGATATATGACACAGGCTGCCCAGATGTTAATCTGGGCCTTTCGTCGACGTGCGCAAGAACGTGGCGGTCCTTGCCAACCGCTTATCTGTGAACCATGCGTTCCAACTGTTAAAATGGTCGGTCACTGCTTCTTGGCGACCGAATGACATCTCATAAAAATCCAGGAATAAATATGGGATTCAAGGCTGCCTCAGACCGGGAGGCCGTCTCCCGAGGTGCATTTTTCCTTGATGAAAGGGACGGACGGACGTGGAGTCCACTCCACGACGCGGAGTCCACTCCACGGCGTGGGTAAAGATTGTCGTCAGTTCGTGTCAGAGATCCAAAACGATTCAGCCGCCTTTTTTTCCCACGAGTGGCCGGACCAGCCAGAATTGTGGGAACGTGCCGAGCCTGGCAGTTTCAAAACAAGCGGGTTCGTCGATGTTTCGAGGCATGATCGGCCTGTGCTCACTCTACTCTACACAACCTGACAAGCAAATTGATTACTTGCAGGTCATGCTGAGTCTTGGGCGTTTGTCTTCGCTGTGTGAAGTTTGCAAGTGATCACTTCAGGAGCACAGGCGATCTGAAATGATGCTTTTGAACCGACTCTCATGCCGTAGGTATTCAATACTAACGGAGCCCACGAGTCTATTAACATATCTATTAAACAAAAGAAAAAGTCATTGATCATCGGTCACCAATCTAGAAATACCGGCTCGCATGCGTGAAGTGCCCGTAAAACCACCCGCCACTGCGTCCTATCCCCAGTGACAGTTGCCGAGCCTCTGCCTCGCCAATGACCCAGAAAAATCCCATCAGAATCACCTTGTCACAAGTGACCCGTATCTGTACACCAGGGCGGGCTAGCCTCATCACCGAAGCCCATAATCCCCGTAGTAAAAGAATTATTCATTCATGACTTGCACCCGTTTACCACAGCTGGTGAGAGCGGCGGGACTTGCGCGACTTGCGGGACTTGCGAGGCTCGGCACCATCAGCAGCGGTGGCCTCCTTCTTGGCCAGCTTGTCGTCGGCCCCGGCTCCGTGCACGAGGTTCGCCGAGCGGCCCTTGTTGTCGTTGACGCTTCGCGCCTCGGCCGTGCCGTTGGCGGCCGCGCTCTTGGCCTGCCGGCTCTGCTGGCGCGCGTCGATGGCGGCGTCGTCCGTGACCGCGGCGCGCTCCTCGTTGACGCTCCGCGCCTCAGCCGTGCCGTTGGCGGCCGCGCTCTTGGCCTGCCGGCTCTGCTGGCGCGCGTCGATGGCGGCGTCGTCCGTCACCGCGGCGCGGACCTCCTTGCCGTCGCGCGTCTTGAGGCCCACGCCGCCAGCGACGTCGCCGACGGTCCCGGTCACGTCGCCCACGAGGGTGTCGACGGTATCACCTAGGGCGCGGGCCTCGACGTCCGTCTCGTTGGCGCGCGCCTCGACCTGGAAGAGCTTCTTGGACCGCTTGTTGTTGGCGTCGCCGCCGGCGGTGGCGTTGGCGGCGTTGTTCTTGGCCTGCCTGGTCTTCTTGCGGGCGTCGAGGGCGGCCTGGTCGGCTACGACGGCGCGGGCGACACCCTGGCAGTCCTCCGTGTTGCAGACGCTGCGCCCGGTCACGAGGCTGCCTACTCTGGGCTTAGGGGGTGTTAGCAGAGTGATATTTATTATACAGACTGGTGGACGGGCGAGTGGATATGGTAAGGGGTGGGGGCACATACCATGGCGTGGGCTGCGCCAAAAAGGGCGACGACGGCATACGAGAAACGCATATTGGCGGGTGGAGTGGGAGACTGCTTGCAGTGATTGTGGTATATAAGTGAAGGAGAGAAGAGTGAGTGGAAGAGCCGGTAGCCAGACCGTGGTTTGAAGGACAGGTGATGGAAGGAAGGATTTAGGAAAGGCAGGAAACTTGGTCGATGACAGCTAAGAGAAGAGTATAGCAGTAATTCGATAGAGAAGAAGGGTATTTATGATGACGGACTTCCGAGCCAGAGCCACGAGGGCGCGAGTGATGGGCGCGTGTCGTGGGCCATCCCCGTCTCGTCCCGTTCCCATCTCTGTCCATCCCTCTCCTCCATCGATCCCTCCATCCCGCCATCAAGACGTGCCATGTCGGGGATTTCCCTCGACGGCACTTGTCTGAAGATCTCATCCATCATCAACCCTCAACCCGGCCCCAAGGCAGCGACATCCCGGGCAGGGCTGACGGTTGCAGCAACGATCAGCATAGCTTATCTTGTTTTCTGCCTCTGCCAGTCTCCACCACATGGGCGTGTGCAGGGCCCATGACTGCCCAGAAGTCAGACTGCAGGTCCAGTCACCAAGTCTGCGTCAGGAAATGTGGGTTTTGGGAGCCTTTTCAGCCTCATCAGAAACATCCACGCTTGTGGTGCACGCACCCGTAGCAGGAGGTACCCCGGGCGGCCAAGAGCGATCGTCGGTAGCCGAAGCTCGGGAGTGCCTGGGCGCCCAGGGCCCGGGACAGGAGGTTCGTCGCAGAAGGGTTGCTGAGGCCGAGAGATAGGCCACACAACACGGCGAGCCGCCCACACCCACGCCTTCTGTTGCTGCAGCCGCTTCTCTCGCGAGGCCCCCTGACTATCAGCGTCTCCTGCTGTGGCTGCGTGTTTGACCCATCCGCGGATCCAAGATGTGTTGTTTGATGTCGCAGAAGCTCTCTCTGGGCCGTGTCTGTCCGTCTGCACGGCTGCACCTCTGCATGTGAAGGGTCTGCCCTGCCATGAATCAACGTCACTCCTTTTCGTATGCCCACCCTGCACTCTCCGTCAAACACGGCGCAATCAATCGTCGCTGCGTCGGATGTATGTATTGGCCGGGGCTTGGGAGGGTGGGTGAAAAGCGGGCCGATGCTCTGTCATGTGCAGTGGGAAGAAAACCAAGGTCGGACGATTCATGAACAGGCCCGACCGGCTGCCCCAGTGATCGGCCTCGGTTCGCAGGACCCGAAAAGGGACCTGACTGCCGACAGGCCACTGCCGATCGTTAAGCAATTGATGTCGTCAAGGCCCTGCCACAAGTCAGGAGCAGCTCTTTGCACGACAGATGCGAAGAGCATCCTGTGCCCAACTGGTGATTTTTGCCCTCATTTTGAGTAAAAGTCATCTACGCGAGCAAGACTGATTTGTACAACAACTTGAATGCAGTTGTCCTTCCAAGCCATCTGCACCACGCGTCCGTCTCAAACACCAGACGACAATATGAAGCCGTCCCGTGCCATCCCACCACCAATCCAAACGACTACATATCTAGATCAAAAAAAATTCGTCTGTTCTTTTTACGCGTGTGAGACAGACAAATAAGGTTAAAAGTAGGCAACCAACAAAATGGCACCGGGCCCTCTTCCACACGTTACCCTGAGGGACTTCTCGCGTGGGAAATGGGGGACCCAGTCGTGAAGGACGGGGGATGGGGAAGCAGCAGTCACACAGAACCCGCATGAGACTCCTCCGCGTCTCCAGCCTGAACAAGTGGGTGGATGCTCGGTGGAGAAGAATGGGCCACGAGAGCGAGCGACCATAGCGAGAGGCTGGCTGGATGCGTGGATGGAGCAACCCCGGAGTCAGGCCTTGGTTTGTGTGAGCTCCATCACAATCAACATGAGCTCAGCCAAACCACCCACCCACCATGAATGAGTCTAGGCGCGGATATATCCACCCACCTGGGCACACCTGCGAGCAGTGAGACCGGCTCTGGAACTATCCATCCAAGGGGTCCGGAGATCTCGATCGTGACCTGTCATGGCGCTGGGCCTGCTCCTGCAGCGGCTGCAAACAACCCGCCATTACTGTGGAACCTCTTGTGGTCAGCATTTGGGGGTGAGAGTACTGTGTTTGTGTACACCTTGTTGTTGTACCGTGATTCCGGCTCTATGAGCGGGCCCATCATTTGTTGCCCACACAGTCCTAGGATTTCCCGACCCCGTGGCCCTTCCTCCCATGAATTAAATCCAAAACGCCAGACTTTTCCTCAGCATCATGTAGACCGTCAGGGCCATATTTGGGTCGTTGTTTTCGAAACGGCCGTCCGTCATTCGTGGTCCTCCACGTATCCTTCCTCTTCGCCGCCCTCTTCATCGTAGCCATCTGCTTCCTCATCTTCTTCCTCATCGTCGTCGTCGTCGTCCTCTTCACTCGAGGTACCCGAGCCCTCTGACTCGCCCTCCGATCCCGGGTCGTAATCTTCTTCGTCTTCTGAATCTTCCCCGTCCTCGCCGAGAAGCTGCTCGGCGAGGGCAAGCTGCGTGAGGTTCTCCCCGAGCTGCTCCCCGTTCGCGTTCGCGCCCGGGTTGGCGTCGTCGGCCCGGGCAGCGTCGCCCTTGGCGTTCTCCCGCAGCTGCCGCTTCGCCTTCCTGCCCTCGGCCATGGAGGTGTTGTTCAGGCCGTGCCGCCGCACGTAGGTCTCGTCGATGGTGCCGTAGTCCTCCTGGTCGATCATGGCGAACTCGATCTCTTCCGTCAGTGGCCTCTCGTCGTCTTCCCACTGTGCGCCTGGCTGTGCGCTCTTGGGTTGCTCCTGCTGGGGCGCGTGTGACACGTCGACTTCTACCACCATGTTGAACGTCCTCTGCAGTACGTTCACGTACGACACCGAGTTGATTCTGTCAAGCGGGATGAACAGCAGTGGCTTCTTGAACCCCCATAGTATGCCGTTTGGTAAGAAGAACAGAAAGCCATCCTTGCTGCCCCTGTGTGCCCTAACGTGCACGGCCTTCTCCTTCGGGCGGTGAGGTTGCCGCACCGCACTGGAAAACACGCGAGGGTCGGTCGACACGATCGTGGCTGTTGTGTTGTTGACGGACTGCAGCTGGCTGCTGATGGCCCAGTGCATGAGGGAGCTGTAGCTGTCCGACACCTGGGCGGCGGTCTGTGCGGCGTAGCCGCCGACGATGCCAGGTTTTGGAGAGGTGGCCGGCACGCTGAAGACGAGCGGCTCGAAGTCTGCGGGAGGGAAGGATTTCGTGGAGGAAAGGGCTGTGTTGCGCGGGAAGAGGGTGTAGTTGAAGTGCAGCTGCTGCTTCTCGGGGATGGGTGTGTACAGGACGAATTCTGTCGAGTTCATGTTAGCCAATACGTCTGCTCGTAGCTTCGCAGACAAGTAGCAGCCAAGGACAGCAAGCACGCACCTATTTGGCTCCAATCGTACACCATGCCTTGAACCGGTGTAGTTGTGCCAACTTGCTTCGTGTACAGGTAGTTCTTGGTGAAGCACAGGTCGTACTTCTTCCTCTGGGGGATGGACACGCTGACCTCCTTGACCTCGAGCAAGATGACCTCCTTGGCCGCTGCGTTCGCCATATCAATCAGCAAGGAGTCGGCACCGGCGCCGACGACAGGTGTCTGTTGTGTTCCGGTGGCGGCCGTTTGTGTGGGTGATGGCAACATGCCGTGTTGACTTATGTTTCCATTCTCGACGACCGTGCCATCGTTGTCCTCGACTCGTCTCCGTTTTGAGCTGGGCTCGCCCGGGGTGTCTTTGGTCTGCTCGGAGATGAAGCTCGCGATAGAGTTGAAGAGGGCGATCCGTTCTGGGGTGTCTGTGGGCTGGTATCAGTATGGCAAGCATTGTGACAAGCCTTCCAGGCCTGGAGCTGGTAGCACTGGTGTAGGAATAAGGGTGAAAATGTCAACGCACCTGCGGCTTGCTTGATTCCCTCGATGATGTCGGGGCGGGTCGCAAACACAAGGCCCAGCCTCTCGTTGTCGAGAGCGGCCATTGTGGAGAATTATTCGCAGTCGTAGCCGGAATACAGTAGTCGGTCGGAAGGATAGCACATGCGCAGTGTGGGCGTCTAAGATGCGCAAGGAGGAGGATACCGATCGGTGTAGTAGGTTGCGGCGCGAATGTGTGAGAGTCAAGCTGCCGGCGTCGCAAAATGCCAGATGCAAAAGTTGGCCTGCGAAGTCTATTTAGCGCTGAGATGCACAGACGCGTGCGCGTAAAATGGCGACCGGTCAAGGGTCCCAAGCAATTACGTAAGGTGTCAGCAGGAGCTCTGGATGGACGACAACAAGCGCCTTCTTTCTTTCCACTGCCTTCCTTTGTCAAGCATGCTGCAGCCTTGTTGCATGACTGCAGAACCGTATCCTTCAAAGCTTTCAAAGATGAAACCCGTCGATTACATGCCTGACTGCCATGGACGATAGAAGAAATGGTGGCCAGGTATCATATCCGAGACTGAACACCAACATGCAGCCTCGTGGACAGCACCTCCATCTGCGTAGGCGCCTGATCATTCTGCTGTACCTCCAGACGGCAGCCAAAGATGTGGGTGGCTCCTGGTCGGTGTCTTCTTGTATTGCCGGGACGTCTTACCCCATCCTTTGATCCCACTCGGTGAGTGGCTGTCAGTTGAGCGCTCGATTCCGTTTCGACCTTTCTCTCGCCAGGAGTGAAATGATCCTACACGATGCCATAGTCCACGTTTCTGATCTCATCTCACGAAGAAATTTTCATTGCATGTATTGGAGCCACAGAATAATAACTATTTCCTGTCACGGTTTGATTGGCGCACCCAGCCTTCTTCCCCTTGCCTCGGCCGTCAATGTCTGCTCTCCACGCCGCATCCAATTGTTCATTATGGGTGCGGCTCTTCTTACCCACTGTATCTATGTATTTGCAAATATCATTGCACGGTGAACACTGTTCTAGGCCCGTCCTTGGACCATCGTGTGACCCCTATCTGAAGTCGAAGATTGTGGTCTAACGTGGACTAGTTCAAAGTTGGATCGGAACTCAAGGACGATAATTTGTATATGTACAAGAGGCGCTCGACCACCAGCACTTCCGCTACCGATGTTACAATTGTTTAGTGTGAAGCGCGAATGTTTCATCATCCCATACTCCCCAATTGAACTGCGACCTATGCGTATGTTCTGCTTCGCCAATATTGCCCACTCCATTGTGACCGACATCGACATCGCCCATGTCTTTGATGTGTGGTGCTTCATCGAGCACCTCCCCTAACACCATGCTAAGTTCTCGATCCACATTCTGTGTTGCAGGTCGATGCGCCAGGGTTTCCACCATCCTATTTTGCGTGCCTAGGCCGCCGGAGAGGTCCTGCATCATGTTGTTGATATCATTGTCTCCCATGTCAAGCCACATAGGATTATTGTCCTGGTAGCGAAGAGCTCGAGGAGCGGAGGCATGTGTGGATCTACTCGTTTCCGAATCAACCTTCCACGCGTGCCATTGCCCAGCTGACTGCAGGCCGGTCAGATCGCTTTGCAGATCCGCTGGTTCTACCAAAGCATCGTGGGTGTCTTTATACGCCGGCAAGACCTCTCCAGGCTGCAACAAGTCTGACTGAAGCTCTGCTTGACTTGTGGGTTCTCCAGCTGGTACTATGGTTTCCTGTGTCGCCGTGCGAAACTGACTTGTAGCGAATCCATTTTCCGGGGTCATGCTGTCTTCTCCTTCAAAGCCGCAGTCAATCCCAGCAGTAGTGCCGTCATCTGACGTTTCTTCAGCGAACTCCCCAATCCATTGCTCGATCCCGTCTGTTTCAAATATGTTTTGAAGCCCGATCATGCTCCTGACTGCATCTAGAGTACTCCAGAACTCAGAACTGCGTCTTTCGCTGTCGAGAAGCATTTCTGTCATGTCATCGAGGTGAATGATCATGTAGGTAGAGCCCTGTATCTCATCAAACAGTTGCTGGTCTTCGTTGTTCCAGTTGATATGCTCTCTCAAAATCTTGTTAATGACTCCATGACCATTGTCCTTTGCCATTTTGGTTGCTCGAATGAACTGGTATCGTTCCGCAGTTGTCTGGTAAAGTTGCTTGTCTTGGAGTAGTAACAACTTCACTATGTCCAGCCTTCCGTTTTCCGCAGCGATTTCGATGGAAGTTCTGCCGTAAAAAAGCGACCTCCTTGCGTTCACCTTGGCGCCTTTGTCGAGTAGGAGGCGGACGAGGCCAATGTTTCCTGCACCAGCAGCGAGCTGTAGGCAGGTGCCTCCACGATAATACCCGGCAGGGTGTTCCACATCGCCACCACAATGGACCAGCATTTGAAGCATTTCCGGACTGCCAATCTCAACAGCTAGTTGTACGGCAGTCCTACTGGCCTGGTAGTCTGAAGTCGGTACATTGAACCTGTGCATCGCGTTCACGGGGGCTTGAGCTTCGCAGAGGACTTCGACATGTGCCAACATATCGTATCCCACAGCCGACAAAAGAAGGTCCGGGTGTTTTGGATTTGCCCCGGCTGCAATCAATTTTTTCCATGTTTCTGCGGACAGGTCGTGGAAAATTGCGATTTTCATCCCTTCTGCAGGTACATTGGCTTCCAACAGCGACTTTATGACTGCCTCGTCATCGCAGAATCTTTTGAGGGCGGCAGCATAATCGAGGATATGTCCTGGAGTACCAGGCTCATCGTCGGTAGGTACCCAACGAGACCGAAACATGTCTTCGTCGTCCGCCCATGGTTCGGGAAACCGCGCAACCCATGGCCCCTGTCCCAAGGCTTTCATGAGGACGCCCAGAAGGGACTTGTCGTGATATCTGGCCGCGGAGGCTACTGCGAGGACCTCGAAGCTGTCATTCGGTATATTTGGGCGGGTTTCCAGCAGTCGCTCCACAATCTTTTGGTAATCCTTGTATCTGTGCGACTGAGATACAGTTTCAAACAGTGCCCGAGAGTCATACTTGCACACTGCGACCTGCCGGTAAGCCATGTCTTGCTGACCAACTAATATGGCGGCTCGTAGAATTGTTGCAGGGTCGATAGCCGCATGGCCATCGTGGTCCATCGAGAATAGTAGACTAATCGTCGATCTCGGGTTTTGCCTCAGAATGGCTTGCTCAAGGAAGTCCTTCCACCCATCCATATTCGCAGAGCCAGCCTGGAGAAGCATGGTCACTAGCTCCGTGTCATCACCGGCCTTCATGGCAAGCTTTTGCTCGCCCCCGCGAAGTTTCAAGTTGGGATTTCGTCTAAACAGCATCTTTGCAACCTCGGTTCGACCATGCGCTAGTGCTGTGAGTAATGGCGACCGGCCCTCGAGTCCAGACATCCACTCTCCATCGTAGTTGCAATGGTCACATCCATACGTTTGTGATTCGCTATCCCCTTGGTAGTGATCAATATCGACGCCCCAGTCGAGTAGGTACTTGGCCAATAGAGGATACCCCCGGTATATCGCTGCTTGAAGGGCCGACGGCTGGTTATCCTCTCCCGATATGGGTTTCGGTCTCTCTGCTGGGCACCCATGCTCCCTCAAGGCCTTTGCCAGACGCAGGACACAATTTTCTCGCCGCTTTCCTGGAGTTCCAAACTGTAAGGACCGTCCAATCACGTAATACAAAATGAAACTTCGGCCACATCCATGTCTGCATCTCAATGTTGATGGGTCGGCCCCAAGATCCAGCAGATAGGTGAACATGTCAACTAACAAGTCCAGACAGTTGTTGATAGTGTGTCTGGAAACCGCCGTGAATAAAATATCCTTGGGAAGCGTAACGGATCCATTGCGATCGCGCGGAGAGTGATCAACAAGCAGACAGATTGTGTCGCGATCTGCATATTTTGCAGCAATGGTAAAGTGCTTCGAGCAGATGGTTCCATGTCCTAGGCGTTCGCGCTCCGACAGCATCCTCACAGTAAGCTTGGTGTGGGCTTTTGCTATTGCTAGCTGAAGAGCTCTTTCAAGGGCGACCACCTGATACTCTGATGAGCTGCTTGTTTTCTTGGACAAAAGCAAGCCCGCGATGATGTCTGCGCGGTCATGGTTCTCAAGGCTTGCCACGCACTCTAGAGGCGAATAATCTTGTGGGCTGCTGATGCCGTACGGGTCTGCACCGAGATTCAAGAGAAGACCAACCGCGTGAATATTTCCGGCGAGCGAGGAGGCTTGGAGCAACGTCCTGCGGGAATTTTGATTCCAGGCTTTGGAAACGTCTCGCATAAATTCGTATCTTTCCACCACGCGAAACCAATGATCTCCAAAGCTTTGCACAGCGTGGTCGACGTCAAAATGGTTGGGTATCAACCATGCTAGTACATCCAAGCTGTTTGCATCGTTGATGGAGTGATCAAGAAGTCGTCCCAGGAACACTTGGCTGGTATAATCGGTAGACCTTCCCAGCCAGTCTATGTTTGCCCTGGTCAGGAAGCCTACACGGCGCAGGAAGTCCATCATATTCGCAGATCTTGAAAAGTCGACATTGCAGCCCGTGATTCTTTCGAATTGGTGACCCATATTATTTGCTTCGAGATAGATGAGTAGCCGCACCAGTTCCACGGCGAGTGATTCTTGTGAACCCGTATGGAGAATCTCAGCGGTGGTTTCATGGTCGCCTTCATAGATTTGAGGAACTGTAACCTCTAGTACGGCTCGAATTCTCCGTCGAGGATGGATAGGATTACTCCCTTGATGATATGAGAGCTCCGAAAATACTTTGTCGATGTGATGCCCCATCATTTCGACCAATAGTGGCTCTTGTCCTGGCGGCTTGAACAATTGCCCTGCCACGTTACCGGCTGTGAGTGTCGATATAGCTGTAGAAAGTTTAGAATCAGAATGTAAATTGCGATATAAAGTGGAGAAGGAATTTACATTGACGGAAGGATGAGTCGAATTGAAGCCATGGTAATTCCTTGGGCCACTCAGAAAGGTCCGACATCAATGGGGATGGAGTCTGAACACGAGCAATGAAGTCCGGGAGCGTATCAATGCTCATTTCCTCTGTAAAAATCAGTCAATGAAACAGGCCATGCAAACTCGAGATTTAAGAAGCCTACCGCTAGATAACGAGGAGCGCTCGTGCCGATCAAGCCTCCCAAGAACCATCGATTCAGACCATCTGATACCCGATACGACAATCTCGCTTGGTCTACCAGCTTGTTTTCTCCTTGAAAGTTGGCTTTGGATATACCTCAGTTCCGATTTATGGAAATTTCGGCGGAGATTCCACTTCTGGAACCTGTACTCATAGTCTTTGATTCTGATACGTGGGTTACTTCGGTGCTGGGCAGAATATGTTCATATCACGGGTAGAGTTGGGATGCTCAGACTTACTTCGTGTTAAAACCATGCTCAATCTTCATGTGATTGACAATCTTCTTGTAAGTCATCCTTTTCTCTGTGAAGAGACGAGATATCTCCCTTCTATGCAGCTCCAAGAGACGAGATATTTCCCTTCTGTGTAGCTCACACTCGTCCACCTGAGGATGAGTTGCGCGAGATTTACGTCGAGGCATCGCTGAAGGGACGAGAGGGGACGTGATGATATTGATGAATGACGGAACAAGAAATAAGCCTGGTATTGATAAGCAGGACTTGGCTTTGAATGTTTCATAGGCACAGGTGTGAGTGGATTGAGGGTTCCGATGTCAACTCTTAATGGATGAGGAGCGGGCCTGACTTCAGACCATGTGGAGGGTCCGCCGTTACGACTTATGTATAAAAACCTATACCTATCATAGATGGGGCCTGTAGTAGCTGACAAATGACAAAGCCGACTTGGCTGGCCTAGTAGCCACTTACGTCTACATATTCAATTAACAGAACCCGAATAGCGTCACTATGACCGCTGAAACCGTTAGAGCTGAGGCGCACGTGAGCGACACTTGTCCATAATTGTAGAAGCGCCACCAATCGTGATATAATTATTCGATTAACAGAACCAAAATCATGACCCTGGTCACTGGTGGATGGCTGTCAGGCATTTCTAGAACAGCACACGGCCCTCTGCGACACACGCTACAAAACCCGAGGAACAGGGATTGAGGGACGCGGCACCCATGACCACTGAGGACCAGTATGATATTCGCGCCAGAGATTTCACGCTACAAAATCCAAGACGGCATGACAAACGCCGCGTCTACCAAGTTGAGAATTTAGTGCATTCCGTTGTGCTATGATTGCCTGGCATATGCAAAGGTACAGACGGTGCTGGTCCCATTTTCGTGCTGGGTCTTGACAACATGTGAAATGGGCGAAGTGAGGAACATCAAAACCACGCTACAAACCCCGAGAAGTAAAGCACAAACTCTGCCGCCAGTCTGCCTATAAATATCAAGGCTCATGTTCGGAACCAGCGACATTGTGTAGCTAGTATCCGAATCCGCAGTTTCCCACTTTAGCCAAATTTCAGGTACCCACCTCAGACCAGCCGCAGAGCAGCTCAACACAACCTTTCCACAGCCATTCCTTCAGCCCCGGCCGAGACAATAGAACCTGAAACATCCAAATCTTCCCTTATATACATTTATTTCCGAGCCAGTTCGTCGCCGAAGATGTCGACCGAAGTAGTAGTTGGGATCATTGCTCTGCTCATAGCCGCGTTGGATACAGCCATCGCCCTCTGGGAGTGTATAAGCAACCATGAACAGGTCGTTACTCAAGAATCACACGCCAATGGAAGTAGTGATAGTAAGTACAATAGTCCAGGCTCATCCCTTTCGCTGGAAATGCCTAGGCTAAACTGATCTAAACAGCGGATGATATCAGACTCAGCGGTCAAGTTGTTCTCCCTGCCATTTCCAACATCGGCAGCGCAGAGAGGGAGGCCCTCACATACCGCAAACCCTCGTAAGTTAAATACACTTGTATCTCTGGCGATTCGTTTTCCATCTTCAGGAAATGCAGGAGTTAAAAGCCCTGCTCAGATCACAGCGAAAGCATCGCCCAAACCTCCTCTCGCAGGGCGGAATATGCAGCACGAGTCGAAAATACCGGGAATTTCGCTACAACAGAGGTACTGGATCGGTATTCAAGCGCGGTATGAGTGAGTACGGATGTGAGTTTGTGTGCTGTGATCCCTATAATCCTATACCAAGTACCCTCAACTAACTCCATCCACACTAGTAACCACAAGGCTGCAGACAATCAGTTCCTAGGTCGAGTCTATCAAGAAGGGAATAAAATAGTACTCAGCAGGGAGTCCTACAAGCCGTGTGTTTAGAGCATCCCAGGAGGAGAACTTTGTGAGGAGGAAAGTCCACAAATCGATGCATATCTCCCCACTCCCTTAAGAAAGAAAACGCCGGCTGCACCACCAGCCCAAGAACGCATGATTTGATCCCCGTTGAGGAATAGAACGCCGGCGCTGCAATGGCTGTACCCAAGTTCTTAGCAGCGCAAAGACGTTGGTAGGGGGAAGGGATCTCCGGGTTGGGGGGGGGGAGGGGTTCAAGGGTTAAGACAAGATGGAGAACGAGGGAAAGATATTTACGTGCTCAGTAGCATCTCATTTGTCAATCGTCGCTTTTAGACATTCATACAAGACAAATTGCTTTTAAAATACCATGCCCAAACACCATGGATTCGGAACCTCTCTCATCTAGGCGATCATGCCAGTCAGAACCTTGACTTGCTCCAGCACGCATGCCTTGCTCGTGCCACCCTTGGCGGCCCTCATCTCGACGCTCTTCTCGTAGTCAAACGACTCAGCAATATCCTCCCCAAACCGGGCGTCCACGCACTTCATCTGCTCGTACGTAGGCTCGTTCATGGGCGTGCCCGTCTGCTCGCTGAGCGCCACGCACCGGCCGCTTATGTGGTGCGTCTCCCGGAATGGCACGCCCTTGCGCACCAGCATGAAGGGGTCGAGCGCGGCGCGCATCTTCTCTGGTTGCGTGGCCAGCGTCGAAAGCACGCCCTCTGCGATCTGGATGCTGTCGCCGACGGTCTTGACGTGGTCCAGCAGCGGCTCGACGGACTCCTGGAGGTCCTTGTTATACGTGGACGGCAGACCCTTGAGCGTCATCATGAAGCCGGCCGCTCAGGCTGTCGGGTTCTTCTGGGGCATAAGGGACGAGCCCGTGGAGTAGGCGTCCGCCAACCGCACGAAGCCGAACTCGGCGGACGAGTAAATGATCAGGTCCTCGGCCCACCGGCTGATGTGCTGCATCAGGAAGCTGCCCCACTGTAGCGTCTCGAGGACGAAGTCGCGGTCGGCCACGGCGCCCATCGAGTTCCACAGCAGGCCCTCGAAGCCCAGCTCCCCGGCCATCATCTCCCTGTCGATGCCGAACGGGTTGCCCGCCAGCGCGCCGCACCCCAGGGGGCTGCGGTTGACCCCCTTGCGGATCTCGCGCAGCCGCTCGAGGTCGTTGGCGAAGGCGAAGCCGTAGCTCAGCATCCAGTGGCTCCAGCGGATGGGCTGGGCGCGCTGCAGGTGGGTGTAGCCCGACATGACGTAGTCGATCTCGGACTCGGCGCTCCTCGCGATGACGGACAGGAAGCTCCTGAGGAAGCCCTCGAGCCTGTCGAGCTCGTCGCGCAGCCACAGGCGCGTGTCGGTGGCGATCTACTCGTTGCGGCTGCGGCCCGTGTGAAGCTTTCCCGCGTCGTCCTTGACGATGATCTCGAGCAGGCCGGCCTCGATCTTCTTGAACTCGTCCTCGGTCAGGCGGCCGGCCTTTGTGTTTCGCGCGGGCGAAGGAGATGGAGCCGAGGATGTCTTGCTTGTGGAGGACGTTGTCGAAGGAGAGGGACTCGTTGTACTGCTCCATGAGGGGGTTGAGGCCTCCTGTTGAGCAGAACGCATGGTGGTTAGCTTGACTGGTCTGCTAGGGACTCAATTGGGTGGCAGGAGGGTAGTTGAAGGCTAATTGGTCCCTCAAGATGCCTCATGGGTCTCTAAGGGATACAATGCTTCTGACTGAAGGTGTCATGAGGGCGTACCAGTGAAGCGACCTCACCACAGCATGTTCTCCTTCTTGCCTGGTGCCATCGTCACAACAGCTCCGGTGTCGGCAGGGTCCAATTGGCAGTGAATTTGAGGCGTTGCAGCTTGTCTGAGGGCAATTATTGTGAGACGGAAGAGGCAAGTAGTTGAAAAAGGTCAAGCCGAGTTATGGGAAGCTTGGAATCACAAGAATCGTAATACCAGCAGCAGAGTCATCGCAGTTGGAGTCATAATCTTTCCAGGGAGTGCCAGAATTCGCTCCAGCTCCTCTTATCTGATAAGGACCCCAGGTCAGCCTTACGGTTGCGACAAGGAGCTCCAAACCCACATCCATGCCCCGCTGTGGGAGCTCCCCGCGACGGGAGGCCGGCCCCTGAACCAAGCCAGCCTGTCCGTCCTATACCTGGGCACACTGGCCATTCCCAGTAGTTACAGCAACCTACCGTCTTTTTTGGAAGCCTGAGTCTTGAGGTCAAAGATAGATGACGGGATTTATCCCACTTTTGCGCGTTGATGCGAGGTAGAGGAGAGCCATCCAACCCCTTTCACGACACGTGCAGTAAATTGCCTCCCTGCAAACACCCCACTCTAGCCAAAGTCTCCCCCGCCACACCACACCGGGCCTTGCATTAGTATCCAAAGTCAAAGACCACTAGGGCATTGTTAGATGGAAAATAAACTCAGAAATTCTTCGTCTCGGACGAACATTGTCCCTCAAACCGTCGCAAGAGCCCTTTTACATTAGTCCAACACGGTCTCATAGTCCGGTAAAACGTTGTCATTTTCCGGGTAATTCTCAACTCGAGGAAAAGCACAAAATCATAACCATGGGGGCTGGACTCTCTCAGCTCTTATTTACGCTGTACAGATACTCTGGGGACCTCCTTAGGCCATATAGAATTACGTAGAAGAGGGAACGGGGTTTGAAATTGACCAGGACCCGACGACTCGGTTGGCAACTCTATCTCTACTTCCGGTTTGTAATGCCATCGTCATGATTGAGAGTCTAATTCTGGGGTCAAGACAAATCAGGGAATCTCCCCTGTTCAGATACCCCCAACAGGCTCTCTACTACCTTCTCGAACTGGTGTGAAGGATCTCGGGGAATCGGGCACATATTGTATAGAGCTTGCTATCTATCTCGGCTTGCCGGAAAATTGCCTAGGCAGCCCCAATACGTGTAAACAGCCAACAAGGCCAAGAGAGAGACCCTTGGCCCGTACGATAACTTGGGTCAGTTGATCCCTCTCTGCATACAATCCAAGTCCAAACTGATCGTATTCAGCTGGCAAGTAACGTTCTATTCACTCAGAATGTGTCGCAATAGATAAGACAGGTTGTTACGTTGAATGGTCCACTTCAATGATGTATATAGAAGGGTCACACGCCCATGAAGTGTGGGTGCAGCGATCGCATGTTTAACAGGCACCCGAAGCTCGGAGTCAATGCAGGCTGCTCTCGGAACAGCCGCAGCTACAGGAGGACGTGCACGGTGTTAATTTCTTTAAGCTTTACGACGGATACACCTCTCGGAAACCTTGTCTGGCCGATCTTTCTTGGATCTATTTATTAAGGCGACTGCTGGTTTTCAATGCTAGTACCTCCGATCAGACCCGGCACTAGATCTATAATCTGGCCCTACCGACTTCTTACAGCTCCCATTTCCTTCGCACCAGCTGCTCTTTGGATGGGACAGCACCATAAGATGTGGTGTCGTCGGCATCGCTCACATGACTCGCCTTTGGTATTAGTGGCGGCGACCCTGGCCTTTTTCTCGTGCCTTGCATCCTCAGCCTGTATACCAGATGTGAGCAGTGGGTTAATCTCGGACCCGGCCATCCTGCAGGACGAGGCCATCATAGCAGCTTTTGCACAGGTCCAGCAGAACCTCTCCAGTTTGTTCACCAACACCACCAGCGATGGACTCAGCTTTGGAGTGGTAAGCGATAGCATCTTGCCTGACTAGATTTGGATTATACTGATCAAAGGTGCTAGGCGCATGCATCCGGACCAGGCCTGGCCTTCGCATTCAACCATGGCCGCCTCAAAATGAACGACTCATCTAGTACGGACAGAATCAGCAGCGACTCCGTCTTCCGCCTCGCGTCTGCGTCCAAGAACCTGGCCGCATTCTCCGCCCTCGCCCTGCAGAATGTCAGTCGCGCCATGGCTGCAGCCAATCCGAACATCCAGCCCCTGAGCGTCGACACGCCCGTCCGCACGGTGCTTCCCTCTTTCCGCCTCCCGGAGGAAGATTGGCTGAACGGAGGGAGCGAGATCACGCTCTCAATGCTGGGCACGCACAGCTCCGGCCTGACCAGGGAGGGCTACTCGACGACCGACTTCAACATGGTGACTGCCTCGGGCCGAGCATCCGCGGCGTACATTGGTGCCGAGTGGGCCTCCGTCACGCCGGACGATGTTGTGCAGTACCTCAGCGGGCGCAACTTGATGTTTGCGCCGGGCCAAAGAGCGGCCTACTCGAACGCCGGCTTTGCCGTACTCGGCGCCGCTGTGGCCAGCTATCGGAGCAGTCTGACGGGTACCAACGAGTCTTGGGCCGACTACGTCCAGAATGACATTTTCGGCCCGTTGGGCATGACCCGATCTTTTTTCGGGCCGCCTGCCCCGGAAATGGCGGAAAATCTCGCCGTCCCAGGAGTCGCCAACTGGGTCGACCTCGTCGTCGACGGATACAATCCCGCAGGGGGGATGTGGTCTTCTGTATCGGATCTCGCCGCCTACCTCCACCAGGTCTGGCTGTCGCCCTCGCCGCAACTCATCACCCCCACCCAGCGGCGCCAGTCCCTCCAACCTCGCATCTCCCTCCCCGATGGGAAGCAGCAGGTCGGCTTCGGGTGGGAGATCGACATCACGCCCGGCGCGAACAGACCTACTACGTCTACGGCAAGTCCGGCGACGCCGCAGGCAACCACGCCTGGATCGACGTCGTCCCGAACCTCGGCTACGGGCTCGTTATCTTGTCTCAGGAGTCAGGCGAAGCAAATCGATCGAGGATATCCCCCTCCTCCGTCAGGGACTCCGTCCACGAGATCCTCGTCCCGGCGTTCGAGGCCGCCCTGGCCAACCTCATGACCCAGCGCTTCGCGGGGAACTACACCGTGGCCGTCGACTCGGGCCTGATCGCCGACGAGGTCGCGACGACGAACCCCGCGGCGGGACCGGACGCGGGCCCGCAGTCCTACGCGCTTCTCGAGGTCGAGGGCGGGAACCTGTTCCTCCGCGCGCTCATCGTCAACGGGACGGACGCCCTCGAGGGGCTCGACAGGCTGAACTGGAAGGCCAACGCGACGAGTGGGGGGTTGTTCTTCGGCGTGAAGGGCGTGGGGTCCGGGCTCAACCCCTCCGAGGCGGCGGGGGATGCTGCGAAGCTGGGGGAGGGGGTGAGCATTTGGAGGACGATACCGGCGCTGGACGAGTGTGACTGGTTTGACTTTGGCGGGTATACTGATCAGAACGGGTGGCCGCTTAGCCAGGTCGCCCTGGTGGAGAAGGATTGGGGTGGTGTTGAGCTGCATTATCCGCCTTTTGACATCGTGTTGATGAGGTCTGAGGCATAATGAGTATGAGATATGGTTTTGGTGAAGGGGCTAAGAAGCATAGATGGTCCTCAATTCCCATATTACTCTTCGGCTCGTTGTTCTATTTGTGATCTCCCCCAGCTGGGTCTTCCCTTCAAGTCTCAACTTTCAGACGATAAAGGCTGAGACGACTTGCATCCGTTCGACTGATTCCAGGCTCAGCTTGCAGGCGGAGCCCGGTATGCGATATCTCGCAAGTCATTGTCGACCCGTCACAGCTTTGAGACTGCTGCCCGCATGCATTCACGATGGGTCCACGGTCCCAGGCCCACGTCGTCAAGACTCCAGCGAATATCTCATACGATCCAAGTCCCGTGTGACCTCGCTTTCCCCTCGGAGATGCGTTTCCAAACAAGTTGACTCCACCCCTGAGGGGCCACCTAGAATGCGAGAAGGTTCCCGAGGTCACCCCGAACAGGTTATTCACCTCGAAGAGACCATTCACCTCGCCCCGCTGGGGCGGTCAGGCTGATTTGGTAGTATAAAGCCTATCCGACTACGACTGAAATTGGCCAACGAACAGGGCGAGGGAGCCTAGCAGCAAAACACGCAGGTCTTGCACTGCCAAATACAAGGATTGTCACGATGGCTTCGTCCAAATTGAGCTATCACTTCTACGAGCACACGAGTCGCGGAACAAAGTAGAGCCCGTCATCACCACCACGGGCTCTCGTGCGTTGAGTTACGTGATAAGGGCGCTGTATGGCTCAACGGGGTAAAAAAATCATTATTTGGGCCACATTGCCCTTTCTTTAACCTTCAGTGTAAGTAATAAACATGTAGACGTAGCTATGCATGGACCAAAAACATTTCAAACAATGTGAAGGTAAACTTTCGCTCGCCCTTATTCGAATAAAGGAACGGTCTCATAGCCTTGCTGTTGGCAAGTACGACCCTCGTCACTTGGAAGGCTACTTTAGTTATCCCCTCCGGGGCACGTAGCCTCTTAAAACTTAGATAAAACAATATTAATATATAATTGCTTCCCATATAATTATTATATATATAAGAAACCTATTAATATTAATTAATAATTATAAGTATTATAAATTAATAAGGTAAAAGAAGTAATTTTATAAGGATTTTCTTAATTTAAAAATTATATCCTTTTTATTAATAAGCGTTATATAATAATAATTACTTCTTTAAGCCTTTTTATATTATTAAACTTTCTAAGTAAATATTATAAAGATTAAATAAATTAAATAGTATTTCTTACAATATCTATATATATATTTATTATTATTTAAGAAATATGCATTTATTATATATAAAACTTTACTAAAAATAAACTTATTTTTAAATCCTTTTTAAAACTTAGCAAAACTTAATAAAGCTTTATTTTATTAAATAAATAAAGCTTATAATTATTATAATTATTAAATAAATAAAGCTTATAATTATTATAATTACTAAAGCTAATATAATGCTATATTATAAATAAATACAAATTATGCATTATGTTTTTAATTAATATAAAAGGACTTAATAATAAAAAAAAGCCTTAGCTTTTAAGGCTTAAAGGAATTAATAACTTTTTTCTTTTAATAATTATAACTTATTTATTATTAAATTATTATTATTAACTTACTTTTAAATATTACTTATTTTATTAATAGCTTACTTTTTATAATATTTATTATAAAAATTTATAAGTATAGTTAATAATATTAAAAAGCTATTAACTTTTATTAAAAAGTATATAATTAATAAAATGCTTACTTAAATTTTAATTAACTTAGCTTATTATAAATATATTAACTTAAAACTATAATTTATAATTTTTATATAAGAAATATTAATAAAATACTTAATTATTTATTTAACAAATACTTTAGCAAGCTATATATAATAAAACCTTTATAATAATAATCTTTTTATTATTTATTATAAGAATTATATAGCATAAATATAAATAATATTTAAAGCATTACTAAATTCTTACTAATAATACTTAAAAGTCTTTTTTTAAATGCAAGGCATTTATATAAAATATAATAATTAACTTATAATATTATAATTAATTACCATAATTTAAGCTAAAAAAAGATTAAAATAAATTAATAATAAGCTTTATAATACCTTATTAGCCTTAAAATTAAGCATAAATAAATATTATATATAACTTTAAAGATAATAATTATAAATATAGCCCTTATAAGCATTATAAATAAGCTTTAAATAATAATAATTATTAAAAGGATAATCCTTAAAGCAATATTTATTATTATTATTAACTTTAAGTATATAATTATAAAACTTAAACTTAATAATATAATTTATTAAAAATTAATATAATTAATAAAGCTTACATTAAAAATATATATTATACTTAATATAACCTTAAGCTATCTTAAAAATACCTTTGCTAAATAAAAAGTATAACTTATATAAAACTCTTTCCTTATAATATATTTTTAATAAATACTTAAATTTAATAAAGTTAACATAATTTATAAAAACCTTTAATAATTTTTATAAGTATATTAAGAATTTATATAACTTATTAAATAATAAAATAAAGATATTTTTTAATATTTATTATTATATTAAAATTTAATTAAATTAATTTTATATAATTTTTCCTTAAATACTTAAAGATTAAGCTAAAACTTATTATCTTTATTTTATAAATTAAATTAATATATTTATAATAATATATCTTAAAATTAAAGTATATTTTAATATAAACCTTAATTATTAATATTATTATATAAATTAAATAATAATAATATTTATAAAAATAAAAATATAAAACTTAAATAAAAACTTATATAAGATTTTATATTTAATGCTTAATAAGTTATAACTTTATTAATAAGCATTAAGCTAAGATTATATTAAAAAGGATAACTTAAGAATAATAATAATTAAAGCTTATAAAGAAGTTCTTAAGCTAAAAATAACTCTTTTTAAGTTAGCTTAATTATATAAAGAGTTATTTTTAAACCTAAGATTTATAATAAAAATATAACTTAATTATATAATTATAATTTATATTATAAATAAAGTTTTAAATTAATATTATATTAATTATAAATATAATAATTAAAAGTTAAGAAAAAAATAATAATTATAATTTTAAGCATTTTAAGAAAATTAAAGATTTAGCTAATTAAATTTAAGCTATTTAAGCTTTAAGTAATTAAAATCTTATAACATTAATTATAAAACTTAAAATAATAATATTTATAAAAAAGAAGAAAAATAACTTTAAATGAAAAGATATTATATTTATAAAAAGGAAAGATATTAATTAATTAAATATTTAATTAATAAGTAATATTTAATAAAAAGAAATTATTTAATATAATATAAATATAAAAGTTATAATAATAACTTTAATATTTTTTTAAATAAATTTAAGAAATATAAAATAAATAATAAAGATAAATTTTATAAATATAAAAATAAATAAAATTAAGATAATAATTATAATAGCAATATTTATATTATAAAGATAAAACTTAATAAGAAGATTTATTATATAAATATTAATTTCTTAGCTAATAAAGCGTTTATATATTAAATTATAAAAAATAATATTTTTTAAATAAAAATAATTATTATAGCTAATTAATTTATTTTAAAGAATAAATATAATTAAATTTATTTTTAAGGAATTTTATTAAATATAAGAATATTATTAATATTTATAGCTAAATATAAGTAATTTTTTATATTATAATAAGAAAACTTAAAGTATTAAATTAATATAACCGTTATAAAAAAAGCTAAAATTAAATTTAATAATAAGATAATTATTAATTTACTTAATATAATAAAAGTTTTTACCTTAATTAATTATATTAACTTTTATATTATTTAAATATAAACCCTATTCTTACTTTACTTAATAAATATAAATAAACTTTAAGTATATTATAATAATATTATAAATAAAATAATTTCCTTTAATAATATAATTATTATATTAATACTTAAAAAATAAAGTTATTTATAATTTTTCTTAAATTAAATTATTAATACTATATATTTCCTTTTAAAAATAAAAATAAGGAAACTTTATTATTGCTTTAAATATTTATTAATAAATTAATTATGCTAAATACTTAAAAAAGCTAGCAATTTAAATATTAATAAATAAGTAATAGCAAAGATTAAAAAGATATATTATTATTATTAAATAAGTAAACTTACATTTAAGCGTTTTAAGTTTACATTATATAATAATTATAAATTTAATTATAAAATCTTAATTAATATAATATATTTAAGTAAATATTTAATTCTTTATATTATAAATTAAGCTATTACTTTTTAAAAAGTAAAATTCTTAAAATTTATATTTATAAAGATTATATAGTAAATATTATAAATACTTTAAATTAATATATATTAAGGATTATTAAATATTATTAAATATAATATAAGAATAAACTTTATATTCTTAAAATTTTATTTAAAGGTATAAATAATAGGAATTAAATATAAATAAGTTCCTATAAAGATATATTAATTTATTAAGAAAGTTAAGAAATATCATTAAGCTCTTAAATAAGTATATAAAATCTTATATATTAAATTGCATAATAATATAAATAATAATGCTATCTTATAAATAGCTATAAAAGCTATTAATAATATTATTAAATTAAATAAATTAATTCTTATGCTTTTAATCTTTAACGCCTACTTATAAATATTATATAAATTATTATTATTATTATTAATATAAAAGTAAGTAAAAGTTATTTTAAAGGTTATAAAAATATTATAAAAAATTATAGCTAAATAATAAGTATAAAATGCATTAAATATTAAGATTAAACTTATCTTTAATATAAAATATTTATTATAATGCAAAGTTTACATATAAAAAGAAAGAAAGGGATAAAAGAATTTATATAAGGTTATTATTATAAATAGCTATAATATAATCTTAAATATATTAAATAAAGCCATAATATTTAAATTAATAATTATTTAACTATATTATTAAGATAATAATAAGGAAATGCAATCCTTATAAGCAAAAAACTTAGCTATAAAACCTTAAATATAACTTATTATATAATTATTATTATTAAAAATAAAAAACTATATTATTATATTATATATTTTAAAGAAAGAAAATAAAAATTATAACTTAATAATTAAATTAAGATAAGATAAAGTTATTATAATATTAAGTTTATTATTTAAAAAGTTTAATAAAATAGAAATTAAAAACCTTATTATTAAAGATATTTTTTAAATTAAGAAATAATTAGCAAAGTAATATAATAAATATTATTTCTTTAAGTTTTATATAATATAAAAGGTAAAAGATAAAATTATAAAACCTTATAAAAAATCTTAATTTATTATTTAAGGTTATAATAATAATAAAAAGGGATTAATTTTAATATAAAGCCTAATTATTTAAAGAATAAGCTAATAAATAATTCTTATACTTACCCTTTTATTAATTTAAGAAAAAGGTATAATTCTTATATTTTAAGATATTACTTAAGCCTATCTTTAAATAAAGTTAAAATTATATAAGATAATCCTTATAAAGCTATTAAAAGAATTAAAAAATAAATATCCTTTAAGCATAATTATTTATATTATTTAACCCTTATATAATATAGCAAAATTTAGTATTTATTAATTTAATATATATTAAAAATATTATTAATAAAAGCTTAAGATAAATTACTTTATATATAATCCTTACTTAATAATTATAAAGCTTATATAACCCTTTAAAATAATAAGTATATAAATAAATAATATATTAATTTTATTTATATTAAAACTTTAAAATAAAAAGGAAATTAAGATAAAAGCTGCAAAACTATAAGAAAAATTAAAATAAAAGCTAATATTTAAAAATTTAATAAATTATAATAAGGCTTATATAATTATAAATATTATTAGCTTAATTACTACTTTATAAAAAGAATAAATTAATAAACTTATCTTTATTAATATAATAATTAAAAATGCTCCTTAAAAATACCTTAAATAAAGAGCTTATAAAGCATATATAGCTTTAATTTGCTAATTAAAGACTTTATATAATCTTTTAATAATTATATAGATATAAAATCTAAAGGTAAGAAATTATAAGAGCTTAAATATATAATTATTATAATAAATAGATAATGCTATATAAGAAATTAAATATATATCCTTAGATTTTAAAATAGCAAAACTTTTTATATTTATAAATAGATTATTTATAAATAACTAAAACTTAATATTTTAACTTAAATATATTATTATCCTTATAAATAAAACTTATAAAGAAACTAAAAAATTTATAATAATAAATAATATTCTTTATTAATTATTAATAAAGTATAAATATATTATTTAAAGCATGTTAATAAGTAAAATTTATAATATAGTAAATAAAGTAAATATTAAAATTTCTTTAATTATAATAATTAAAATAGCTATAAAATAACTCTTATTACTAAATATACTCTTAATTATTTATATAAACTTATATAACCTATATAAATACCTTATAAAGTTAAGAATAATAAAGGAAAAGCGCCTTATAATTAATATTATATTATTATAAAAATTATATAAAATAAAAAAAATTATTAAAGTAAAGTAAATAAATAAGAAAGATAACCTTATTAATATAATAATAAAATTAACTCTAAATACTATATTATAAAAGCTTATTAATAATAATAAGCTTTATATATAAATAAATAAATTAATTAAGAAACTTAAAATAGCCCTTTCTTATTAAAAAAGGAGCAATTTACTATTAATATCCTTTTCCTTTTAATCTTGCCATTACTAGCTATAAAATTTTATACCTTTTAAACTTAAACCCTTAATATAAACTTTAACCTTTTATACTTTAATTAAAACCTTTTTAATACCTTATTATATATAAAAATAATCTTATAATTATTAATATTATTAATAATTATTATTTTAAAATTAACCTTATTATTATTATTACCTTTTGCTATTATTTATTAATAATAATATTAAAACTAACTTTTATTAAATTTATTTATAATTTATTAACTTTTTTTATAATTAAAAAATAAATTAATAATTATTATATAATAATTATAAAATTTTAAATTATAAATATTTATTTTAATTATTAAATTCTTATAAAATCTTTTTCCTTTTTATTATAATAAAAAATATTAATAATAACTTATAAAAGTTATTTAATACTTTTATTAACATACCTTATAAAAATAATAATAATAAGCAAAATTATTTAATAAACATTATATTTACTTCTTACATTAAGAATATATTTAATATAATTATCGCTATAGCTACTATTAATATGGCTAGCATTAAAGGTAGCTTTACTATAATCATTAATTAAAATTAGGATTTTCCTGCAAACTTTATAATTACAACCTTAATTAATAAAACAAGCTTTATAACTATAACCTTAATTAATAAGATAAATATTATAATTATAACCTTAATTAATAAAATAAATATTATAATTGCATTTTTATTAAATAATAAGATAAAGATTAAAATTATTATTAAAATTATAAAAAAGGCTAAAATTACCTTAATTAATAAAGATAAAGATAAGCTTATTAATCTTGCTAATTCTTATAGCAAGATTATTACTAATAATGCTTATTTAATAAATATTAATAAAAATATTAATAATAATAACTTTTATTTACTTACTTATTTAATAAATATTAATAAAGATATTAATAATAATAACTTTTATTTACTTAATATTAATAGCAATTTAATTATTATTAATAATAAAGATAATTAAAACTAAGCTAATAAAACCTTAATAAAGATTATAAAGATTACCTTTAATTTTACTTTTATGCTAAATATTAAAAAAATAAGCTACTTATTAAGGTTAACTTTTATAAAATTATTAAAATTAATAAGCTAAAGGCTATAATTATAGCTTAAGCTAAAATACTTTTTTTAAATAATATTATTATAATAATTATTATTTAAATTATTAATAACTTTTAATATTAAAATAAGTAAATATTTTTTAATAATATAATTAAAAAGCTATATATTTATATTAAAAGCATTAAAACTTTTAATATAAAATTATATAGCATTCTTAATAATAAAAACTATTAAGGCAATTATTATTTTAAATGCTAAATTATTATAATCTTTATAATAAATAATTTAATAAAAGTTTTAATCTTAAGTATTTTTTATATATATTAAATTAAAAAAATTTAGCTATTAAAGGATTAAATTATTATATTAACTTAGCTTTAAAACTTTTTATATTAAATTATTAATAAGTATATATAAGGCTTATATATAAAGAAATTTATTAAGAAATATGCATTATTATATTTAAATAACTTAAGCAAAAGATAATTATTAAAAAGATTAAAAAGAATAATAAAAAATAAAAAAAGAACTTAATAAATAATTAAGCTACTTATAATGCTTAATTTTAAGAGGATGAGAAATAATTAAAGGAAAATAATTTAAAGCAATATTAAGTATATTTTAATAATAAAAGTAAGAATAAAAATAATAATATTTACATTATAAAAATATATAATAAAAATAAATGCAAGTTAAAGGATTTAGCATTAACTTTATAAGCATTAATTTTTCTTATAAAGAAAAAATTTAAAATTAAGGCTTTTATATAAAAGTTAATAATTTTTATAAAGAAGCAACTTTAAAAGCTAAGTATTAAGGATAATAAATATAATGTTTAAAGAATAATATAATAATAAAGATTATAAATTTAAAGAATAATGCAATAATAAAGATTGTTAAAACTTACTTTAAAACTTATAAATTATAATTTTAAGCTTTTTTAATAATGCTTTTTTATAATAAAGATTATATATACTTAATATATAATAAATTATAATTTTAAGGCTAATTATAATAAGGATTATATATACTTATTAAAAAAAGAGAAAAATTATAAGTATTAGTAAATATAACCCTTATTACTTAAAAAGCTACTTTAGTTATCCCCTTTAGAGTATATAGCCTTTTAAAACTTAAATAGAATAACATTAATACATAATTGCTTCCCATATAATTATCATACGTACAAGAGACCTACCAACACTTACAAACCCATTTCTGTGGTTGATGCTGCATTACATCGTCGTCACGGACCGAAGAGTTGATTTGAACTGCTGGCCAAGCATAGATTGCACTACTATCGCAGAATCTTTGTCTCTTTCGCAGTAACTAGTCGACCTGTTGTCAATTATTGTACCGTTGCAAAACACTATCATTTGCCCCTTGGCGGCCCTAGAGCGGTGGGCCGTCAATATATGTAGATCTGCTTTGATAGTAAAATGAAGCGTTGTGTTCGGCAGAGAGTTCATTCAAACGATTTCTGACATTGCCCGAGCATGGGAGCTTGATTAGCACTGCACGGCCTGGGACGGTTGCGGAGCACTGGTATCACCTCCCGAGCTTGACAAAGACGAATGACGGCCCGTGGCTGGCAGACAGCTCTGCTGTTGACGATCCCGCCCGCATGATGATGCCTCCTTGTCCGATGCCGTGGATGACTCGGTGTTCAAATCAATCTGATTGAGTGATCGGGAAGTTCTGCCCCATGCGAGCCCCGGCCTGTCCCTACTTCAGGAGGAATGTGCCCACCCGTCAAGGAAAATGGGAATGGAACACAGCACCTGAATTCGACAATCTCGAATCAAAAGCTTGCTCACGACGTAACTCAGATCTGAAAACGATTTGATATGAAAATTGCACTTCTCACTTTGCTGGCCGACGCTACCGCGGGGGCGGCAGGCCTAAGATACGTGATGTATTACGATCAGTAAGATGGATGCTTTCTTTTATACTCTCGAAAACATCACATGGGGACTCACCCGTTTGATAGGTATCACAATTTGTCGCTTCCTGACCCGTCCCTTGTATCGGAGGTTACCCACGCCGTTGTAGCTTTCGCCACCCCCGAAACATTTCTTGACAGCGCGAACACATCAACGTGGCAGCCATTCGAGGCGGTAGACAGTGTCAAGAGAAGGTTCTCGCCGAACACCAAGGTTTGCCTGAGTATCGGTGGCTGGGGCAGCAACGTCGGGTTTGAGAAAGGCTCGCTTCCTGCAAACCAGGCGAGCTATGCGAGCAACGTCGCGAGTGTCATCCAACGTCTTAATTTTGACTGTGTTGGTACGCAATTATCCTAAAAAGTATCTGGCTGACTATCTAGACTGCGTGGTTATACTGACATGGCCCTGTCTATGACAGACATCGACTGGGAATATCCTGGTGGCGGCGGCGCTGAATACAAACTTGGAAATGCTGCGAGCTCAAGCGAGGAACAGATCAAGAACTACCCTTCATTCTTGGGAGCTATTAAGGGAGCCATCGGGGGTGGGAAGGAGTTGAGCATCGCAGTGCCGGGGCTTGATGCGGACATGGGCGCGTTCACACCAGCCACCTGCCAGGCTATCTTGCCATTCGTTGACTTCGTCAACGTGAGTCCTCCTTTCCTCAAATCATACTAAGCTAGAAATTGACCCAACTCGAACGGCAGGTCATGTCGTACGACTTAATGAACCGCCGCTCAACATTGACTCAGCATCACGCTTCCGTGACTGGAAGCAAACAGAGCATGAATGCGTACATCAAGAACGGAATACCAGCTGCGAAATTGAACCTAGGCTTCCCCTTCTACGCGAAATGGTTCACGCTCCAGGCCGGGGCTAATTGCCAGAACCCCGTGGGATGTGCCGTCGGGGCTTTCGAGAACGCGGACGGATCGGACAATGGAATGTCTGGAGTCTTCACCTTTGAAAACTTCAATCTCGGGAAGCCACCGGGTGACGCGCAAGTTTCAGTGAATGGACGGTGCGGCGTCGTCGACGGCAAGCATTTCAAATGTCCTTATGGAGCTTGCTGCAGCTCTTCGATGTACTGGTAAGTTTAGAGTATCATGCCCCTGCCATTTCATAGAGATCCACAGTCGACTCACGAGAACTATTTACTAGTGGCACCGACAAAGAATATTGCGGTAGCGGCTGTCTCGCAGGGTATGGGCTTTGCAAGGCTCCGGTCACGACCGAAGCATTCCAACGAGTCTACCAAAGCGGGAAAAGCGATGATGCGAATGGTGGACAGTGGGCCATTGATCAACAGACCAATACGTTCTGGACTTGGGACACGCCAGTGGAAATTGCCAAGAAGTTCACCGAAATAGTGGCTCCATTGCAACTGGGTGGAATCATGGCTTGGAGTTTCGGGGAAGACAGTCACGATTATGCCCACATAAAAGCATTGCAGACTGGCTACAAGAGTGCGAAAGCTCCCACAAAGAGGACGAACCCTGACGCAGAATATTGGCCCACTACATGGAGATACGTTGGCCCATCGCGCCCGACCGCTGCCAATTGAAAGGCACACTTCGAGCATCCTTTGATCCAATTTCCCTGAAATTTCGAGATACACCGGCTCGATGCTATTTTGCTACCTTATTATGAAATTCATATGCATGTCGTATCACAAACTTCTTTATAGCAATGTTTCCGTTATTAAAATTCAACCGAATAATATGTTAATAATGGACTGGAACTTGTGGGTAGATCAGTTCCTCGCGCTTGTATTTCACTCGGTATAGTCATCCCTAAGGTGCACCCAGATGTTGTCGATTATCCCACACAACGACCCAGCCTGGGATACAGGTTAGGCCGAAACGAATGTCCGTTTATTGTTTATCTGGGATTAGGCGTGGCTGTACACACAGTACGCAATGCCGATCCGCACGTGTGCATAAGGGTAACTCACCATCTTGATCTGCTTCACCATTCTTCTCAACCTCTTCACTGATTTTCCGTTATGCCTTAGCCACCGAACCAGAAGCATCACTATGGATTTGACTCCAAACGCACCAGATTTGAAAGAATTACGACAGCTTTTCCACAACTTCTTGGGTTCATTATTCTGGGGACATCCACAAAGAATCACCCAAACTGTTCCAGGATATACGCCTAGTCAACAGGGCTCATAGGGTATTTGAAGAATTCAACCCCAGCTTTAAGAGCATCTTCTATACCAAGAAACATTAAATGAATTCGTAAAAAAAAATTCCCAGGATTACGCAAATATGTCACTGCTATAGGCCCTTACCTGACTATCCAGCGGAAAAGGTTACGGGGCAAATCTCTGGCAAGCTTCAGGGCGGCAACATCTTTTAGCTTAACTACTTCACACAGTTCATACAATGGGTGCTTTTAGCCTGTCCTTCAAAACCTAGCGTTGAAATTCTACTAGTACTCGACATAGATCCGTCATTAATCTCAATCAAAGTGTAAATCGTGGGCAGACTTGGGTTTCTGAATGGAGTTCTTCCAGTCTTGTCTACTGGTCAAGATTACGTCGTCCCTGCCGGGGCGGCGAGATGGTGAGGGGCAATATGGCCCGTTGATGGTGTATCTAAACCGTATTTTCACAGCATCTTTTGCCGCGTGCCACAACAGGTCCCTACTATGCTCTGGAGCCTCGGATATAAGATTTCCCTGCCCGGCGGGTCGGCTGCGCGCATGGCAATGCTTCGAAGAGCGGGGCACCGTGCTATTCGACACGAAGACCGTCGACCACGCACCCAAGGACTTTTTTCAACCCTTGACTGCGACTTTCATTCATGCTACCCTGACCTTCAAGCTATAAACTTCATTACAAGTCATGGATACACCAGTCGACTTGACATCTGCGTCAAGATGCGCCTGTTGTGGATCGGATGCGTTGATGCGCTGTTCAGGCTGCATAGGTGCGCCAGAGTACGAAAGCGGAGACGGTCCCAATACTGCGTACTGCGACAGCGACTGCCAGAGAGAACATTGGAACAGTCACAAAGTCCAATGCAAGATGTTGCAACAACGGAAGAAATTGCTCAGGGCAGCTAAGATACTCAAGGCGGCTCTGTTGGCGTACAGGGAGGCCACATATGACGTCGACCTGACGGGTGTACACTACGAAAGCGGAGTTCTCTGGCTTCATCAGAACCAAAGATCGATCAGTACCCGATCGAAACGAGGACCTTTTCCGAATCACCTCGTTGCCAATGCTCAGCACAAAGAGGCAGTGCTGGCACATAATTCGTGCACGACTGCAATGGCTCTGCTAGGCCGACTGACCCGGAAATTGCTCCAACGTGAGTGAATCACAGATCATCAGAACGTGTTGGACCTAATAAGAACCAGGAATAGCCTCAAGTATCGAGCTAGTGGACCTGCAGATCGGGAGGCCGCTATTTTCGACCCGACTTGTCCCGGGCCCAGATTCGAGCAACTGCCCGCATACAGTCCTGAAAGTACGGCGTCTTTCTGCTGATGAGACTTGGATTCTCGATACTGCGGGGTCTCAGTACGGCTTTCAGGATGTCCTCGTCCCATATGAGAAATATGTGGCCGACAAGGCATGCCGCATAATCAATGATCCCACCACCTACGATGCAACCGAGACAAAGGACCTGGATTATTTCTCGACTATTCCAATGTTGAACATTTCTTCAGCACAGAAAAGGGACAGAGAATCAGAACGAAAGGAGCGCCTCCATTTTGCAACCTTCGTTGACACTCAGGTCAGTGAGAAGCTGCTTAGTGGATCCAATTCCAACTTCAAGGACGGTCTCGACAGCTTTGTGCAAAGGCTGGGCTTGCATATGTCCCCTTCTGGTCATCAATAAATTCAAGCCTTTTCCGAATGGCACGAATGCTTCGTCGTTATCACGACTATGTGGTATGCAATTTGTACTTGTCAAAGCCTGACGGGCCCTTGGGGCGGCATACATAAACCCGGCCAGTCCCAGGCGGACTTGTTGCAGAATACTGCTCATGTGGCCATTATTCGAATTTTCAATACCTGCATTTCGGACGAGGGGTTGGCATCATTGACTGCGCAATGAGGCCAGATTATTCCCTGGGAGCGAGAATAGTTAGAGAATTATAAGGTTTCGCCAGTTCAAAAAGGTTCGAGATCGTCATTGTGGATTTAGCCACTGCCCGTCCTATTTGCAAAGTTTATCAACAATTTCCGAAGGCTATCTGGCAAGGCTTTGTTGCGATATCGCTTTCGTTCAGGAGGGGGATCGGGCTGTACGAAGTTGGCAGTGTTAAACATCCGTAGCCGACGGAATAGGAGTTGGAATCGGTCTCCAAACAGAAAGCGAGTGAAGGTATGAATAGGGTCTTCCTTTTGCTGAGACAAAGACCAAAAACATGCTATTCAAGTCTCTGAGTGTATTCCCATATAGATTTTAATACCCAGAAGAGGTAAATATTTTCAGCGCAAGTCGGTGGCCATGACCGACATCGGGTCCGGCCGGAACGTCGCATCGTTCGTCCACGCAGCCCACGATCCTACCATCCCGCATGGTATAAACCGTTATACCAGTTCTATGCGAGTCGACAGAAGGCCCCGTATAGTCGCATCACGATAGATTGTCCAGGCTTACCCAGCTCGAGCGAAGGAGGCTCACGTGTGCGTGCGACTGTGTTATCACAACTCTACGGGATACAGTCGGCAATGCAGGCACGCTGTACTCCTTGGAACAATGGGCTGTTACCGCATCAACGCTCACTTCAGCGCGACTCTATTTGAAACAACAACAGAGTATCTTCCTCCAGAACCCTCGGTTCTTTGCCTTGCGTCCATTCTTTCCCCGAGACCCATGAGCCTCTCCTCCTTGCAAGTCTCGAGATGGTGTCTGTCCCTGCGCCTGGTTCCGAGGTGCCTGTATCCGCCCATAGCGGCCGTCCGGCTGGATCACAAAAGTCCCAGCAATCAAACCGCCAGACGCGTCCTGGCTCGGGTCCGTGTGATACACCCTGTAAACGCCTCCTTCTTTTCCGTTCGCGTTGAGGCGGGTCTCGATAGCCCCCATTATGTTGTCCTTTTGGGTCTCCAGCCACTGTTTCGAGCCGCTGGTGCCGTTGGTGAAGATCACGAGAGTGCTCTCATCGATGATGCCTGCTAGCTGGGGGATGAGGCTTTCGTACTGCCCGCCTGGTAGATGGCAAAGGGACCGAAGCTTGGTGTCGGTGTTGTAAGTCGCAACGGTGATACATGAATCCATGTATTGGGTCCACAACGGCTCACTGTTTGTTGTCGTCGTCGCCTCGATTCGATGCAGTGGTGATATGGCAACATAACCAGCATTAGAAGGCTGGGGAAAGCCCTGAGGCGCCACAGCTGGCACAGACATGATGTAAGACTTGTTTCGACGAACCAAGTGAATCGCGATGAGTTGGGACGCTCAATGCAGGCGAAAAGTTCGGAGCCATATACGATTTAGCCAGGTTTTCATACCGGACTTATATAATTGATCGGGGATGTACTCGTTGAAAGCATTGAGTTACATCGCGTAGGAGGTGTGAGATATTTGCGACGACGTTGTAAGACATAACGAAAATAGATCATTTGGTTCGTCTGTCGTAAGCAACTCCTATGGCCACCGCCAATAGGCCTGGGACGAAGCTTCAGCTGGCCGTTTCTGCTTTCCAAAAGCGGAGACTTGAAGAGATTTAAAGTTAGTGAGATTATCTGATCTACAGGCGGACCGTCAGCACTGAGGCTGATTCGGAGGGTGTGTATGTGGAATTAATCTTTTCCCCCAGCTCAGCCAATACAACGCCCAGGTAATTACTTAAATCCAGTCTGCACAGTGAGCCATTCCGCTCGTCATTCGTTGCAACCTGGACCTGTAGCCAGTCCATGTTTACTAGCTTGTTTCGTCCTGGAAATAATCAACCAGATGCATTTGTCAGAACAAGCAGGCTTGTTGGTAGGTACCAAGGTATAATGAGGGCTCAGTCACGCTAGTTAGCGATCACGTTCCACTGCGCCATTGCTATCTGGCGCAGTAAGAACTTTGCCTTTCCAGCATTCCAAATTGGTATTCAATATTCCTTCTCTGAGGGTGCCCCTGCACCAGGACCCCGGAAGTAGGTATTGTGTAAACGTGGATATGATACCCTTGCAGCTCTTGGTTTGAAAATTTAATGAGATAGTAACGCTTCAGAGACATTATGGCAGATAACAGTCTGAAATATCTAAAGAACTGGAGTCGGGACCCAACACGAGAAACAATGTGGCAGATACGGCCTTGCAGTGGTGATGCATTGCCCATGACTTCTTGATTCTACTGCCTATCTCACCATCTAACTGCGCCGTCAACCTCATAGACAGACCCGCTCACATACCTCGACTCGTCCGAGAACAAGAAAACCACCACGTCCGCAACGTCCTCCGGGGTGCCCCACCTCTCCAAGGCGCAGCTGCTTTTGTCAGTAATGGTTCTTTCCATGTTGTAACTGGCTTACGTACGCCTTGGCCCATTTCTCCACAACCTCGCCCCCGCGTACAATGCCGGAGTTGGTAGGGGTGTTGATGTATCCCGGGGCTACGCAGTTGGCGCGAATCCCCTTGGGACCGACCTCGTGGGCGAGACTTTTCATCAAACCGATAACGCCGTGCTTGGTCATGTCTGTTAGTGCCCTGATTAGCATTCCCTTTCGAGTCAGAAAACCTTGTCTCGGTAATAGACTCCCGCTTTCAGAGCACGTTAGGCAAGGAAGGCAGACGTCGTCTGGGACTATATCAACTGCACAGTGCAACCTTTGGGGTGGAATATGTGCACTAGTTCACCAAACTCAAACTCACTGTGATTTCGTTAGTACATTTTATGTCTCTACTGAACAGATAGATGTTGGTAAGATACCTGTAAACAGATTGCAACGCTGTGCCGCGGGTGCCGCTCATGCTGGAGACGGTGACGATGCTAGAGCCCCTCTTCAAGTGAGGCAAGCTCTCGCGCGTAACGAGGAAAACCCCCTTCAGGTTCGTGTTGCACTGCTTGTCCCAGTACTCAAGCGTCGTTTCTGCGAAGGGAATATTGGTGGGATTGATGCCCGCACAGTTGAACACGTGGTCCAGCTTGCCGAACTTCTCCAGAATGGCGGATATGAATGACTTCACATCTGCCTCGGAGCCAACATCGACTTTTTGCGTGAGAAGTGGGGCGTTTGGGAGTTCCGAGGCTATGGTCGATAGGGCAGTCGTATTGATATCGCAGAGGGCGAGAGAAGCGCCGAGGGCTGCTAGCTTGAGCGTGGTTGCGCGGCTGCGTGTGAGACCTGTCAGAGACCCTATTTTTGCGCTTTGCGCTGTCGACAGTCCAGCACAGAAGAAGGCAGACTTGGTTCTACATACCCAATTCCACTTGCAGCTCCAGTTATGAGTACGACTTGGTCTTGGAATTTTCCGGCCATTTTGTTGCAGCAGTGGTTATCCTTCTCGGTCCTTGCTAGGTAGCGGCGAGAAGCGTCAGGACGGAAGTCAAGCGTTCGAGGTTCTCCAGGTATGTGTCGAATCTCGGGACCCCTCTACCTCGGATCTCTTTAGAGACGATTAGTCACGCCAATTCTGTAATCGCCGCAACGTTGGCAGCAATGCTGGGCTCCGGAAGCTCATCCGAACACCGATCTCGGGCTCTGAGGCTATCACCCCCGCCATTCGGCAACTCCACCCGATCGCGATAGCTACAATCCAATGTTGACTGCACATCGGGAGCTTTCCCGAGACCCGAGATCAAAACCCCAAACCTTCCCAATCGCGACAGCCACGGCGACTTGGCTTGACTTTCAATATTGGACCTTGCCCGGAAAAACGGAAATTCGAACTGTTTCCTCTGAATCTGTAAAATTGACACACAATGTCGTCGACTTCGCAATCCCCCAAAGAGCGCGTCATCCTTGGGCTGATGACTTATGGTAAGTCTACTATTGTCCAACTGGGTCAGCGACATCCACGCTCACTTGAGATCAGGCCCGGACGAGGAGGCGGGAGCACGCATTTTAGAACTCGATGAGTTCAACAGACACCTGGACTACTTCCAGAAACAAGGCTACAATGAGGTCGATACCGCGAGGATGTATGTGAGCGGCAAGCAGGAGGCCTGGACCCGTGATGCCAAGTGGAAGGAGCGTGGCTTGACTTTGGCAACCAAAATCTACCCCGAGGAGCCTGGCACGCACGAGCCCTCCCGGTTGCGCAAGCTCCTCACAAGTTCGTTGAATGAGCTCGGCTCCGACTCGGTGGATATTTTCTACTTGCACGCGCCCGACCGTTCGGTCCCGTACGAGGACACCCTGGCGGAGGTGGACAAGCTCTATCAAGAAGGGAAGTTCAAACGACTTGGTCTGTCGAACTACGCAGCATGGGAAGTTGCCGAGATCTGCACTCTTGCGAAGGAGCGAGGCTGGGTGAGACCTAGTATTTACCAGGCCATGTACAACGTGATCAGTAAGTGCGATGCAGCGGTCTCAAATTCCCCACAACTAACGGAAAGGCCAGCCCGTGACATCGAGTCTGAGCTTGTCCCATGCTGTCGCAAATTTGGAATGGACATTGTGGTTTACAATCCCCTGGCAGGGGGCTTGTTCTCGGGGAAAATCAAGTCCGCAGATCTTGCGCCGACCGACGGGCGGTTCTCCGATTCTTACAAATACGGGAAGCTGTACCGCGACCGTTTCCTAAACAAAGCAAACATGGAGGCACTCAAGATTGCCGAGGAGGCAACGCAGAAGCACAACTTGACACTCCTGGAGACTGCGATGAGATGGGTCATCCACCACTCGGCATTGAAAACCAGGAATAAAGGCGGGAACGACGGTGTTGTCATCGGCGTGAGCAACTTTCAACAGCTGCAAGGAAACCTGAAGGATTTCGAGAAGGGCCCGTTGCCCGAGGACGTTGTGGAGGCACTAGATCGAGCCTGGCTGGTTGCAAAAGCTACTGCCGCGCCGTATTGGCGATAGATGGAACCGATTGGTCAGCTTTTATTTTTGAAGATCATTCATGTCTTTGTTCGGTACCATTGCCTCACTCAAATGGATATAAAGTGGACAAAAGTTCTGAGTTGATATCACTCTCACACCATGGAGACGTATATCTGGACTTGGACATTGAATGCCTCCAGCCTCTGAACGACAAGCCCCACCTCCCCCTCGTTGCACCTGGTGTCTGCCGAGCAGGAATCAAGAATGATTTCATTCTTAGAGTTCAACCACTGCTTTTTTGGCATCAAGGCGTTTATAATGATTTTCTCCTGACAAGCATGTAGCTATCGGTGTGCAACGACACGATTAGCACGTTGGAGTAGACCCCAATCGATATTTGGCCCACGGAACTTGCTCTTGCCTCTGGCGATCCATAGGACAAATACAATCGAGACTAGACCAACGAGCACTACACTCGTGTAATTCATGGATCCAACTTCGACGGGCAAGCGTGGTGGCATGCAGATGAAAACGACCAGAACAAAGATCCATGTGCATGAGAAGATGTTACAGACATATCCAAACCATCTGAGGTTGAGGTAGCGAGGAGGCAGAGCCTCTTCCCGGTTGCGGCAGAGCAGAATGCCTTGCGGAATCGCGTAGGTGATATTTAGGAAGAGCACGGCGGATGTGACAATAGAGTTGAACGCGGTAGTAGAAGCGAGATATAGAAGGCCGTAAATGCAGGAGAATGCGAAAGCAGCCAGGGTCGTCCGCAAGGGGAAGCCGAGTCTTGGATGGATGTCTGAGAAGTATTCCGAGAATGGCACACCATTCTAGATGGATTTGTTAGCACCTGGCAGACCGCAAAGTCGGCTACAGACTTACGTCCCGCGCAAAAGCCCACGCGACCCTGCCACAGGTCACCCATTGTGATGGGAGGGACCCTAAACCTTGTTAGCGACGCTCATGCTGAGTCGGATACGAACGACCTACCCATGTACACGAGCCATAGCCAGGTGAATAGAAAGGTAGTAACATTCTTGTTCCTGAAACTTGGGAATGTTCGTCAGTGCCCAAAAGAAGTTTGGATTAAAATGCTTACGCCTGCGAAACAATCTCCAGGCTGGGCAAAGCAGATGCGGTCACGGCTTCCAGATCAGCCATGTAATACATCAGCATAATGACCAGGGGGAGTGTGGTGAGGAGACCAATCAGCATTGTCATGATCATGACCTGTGGAACACGTTTCCCGGGTTGGGGCATCTCTTCGCTGATGTGGATAACTGGATCTATTAGCGCCGAGGCCTGGATAGTATACTACGTGGTGAACTGACCTCCGTCCGTCGCACCGAATGCATACATCGCGTTGGTGATGCCAAGGACCCACGCTACACCAAAGGATCACCCACTACTTCCAAATGATGATGAAGTGATGAAAGATGCTGGTTGAGTAGGCCCATGCATAGCCCCAACAATGACGAGAAACACAAAACATCCAGTGACTGAGAGGTATAGAGTGGCCTGAGTTGTCCAGGCGATCTTGGAAGGAGCCATTATGAGCGGCATGACTGGGAAGGGGAAGGGGTTAGTTCTCCGTATCCCCAGCGCAGATTCTTCTGTCTACTCACTCGTTAAGGTTGAAACAGCAATGTATATGAAGTAAATCTGCCATTGCGTTGCGACGTAATCTGGGTGCCAGTAGTTAACTAATCCGGACAGCGTGACGGCTGCAAGTGATAGGCCGGAGCATCTAATGCGAAGTCAGCCAAACGCCAATCCGATGCGAATCGGTATACCTACGTCACAATCCACCAGGCGAGCACAGACATCCAACCGACGATGAAAGCAGCAAAGTTCTTCCATCGTTCTGGCGAGGATGTAGCAAGAGTGGTATTGGCCACCGCTGGACTAGGGGTATCAAATCAGCGACAGCGAGTGCTTATGATTTGCACGAATCATACCGGAAATGCAGAGCCGAGCTCCGCTAATCCTGTAGTGACTATGCCTTGGACAAAGAAGGCAGCGACGAGCCCGAAGAGGCATGACTGCGGACCCCCATAGACCAGATTTTGTCCAAAACAACTCTGTCATACGAATTAATCATCCATCATTCGCAGGATTCACGTTGGGAAATTGTTCATCCTCACCAGGTAGCCAACCCAAGAATTCGTCACAGAGAAGGCTAACCCAAGAGCGGAAATCCAGTTGAATTGCCTCGTCAGAACGGCCTCGTGGCCTTGAGCGTGTAGAATTGCATCGTCAACTTCCTGAATGTCACCTTCAAGCACACTGGGGACTCGCTGTAGCTTCTGGTCAGCGACGTCATCTCTCACATTTATATCTCCAGGCTTCTTTGTGATAGACTTGGACATGATGAGGTGAGATGAGGTGAGAAGTACATAACCAGTGTTTCCCTATGGGACAGAACGAGATTGGTTTTAACTTTATATTCAAGTTGCCAACAACGTTAATAGTAACGGCAGGTGGTTATCTGGGGTAGTACTATGTTTGATATGGTAGATGAGGGCAGTCCCAACGGTTGCACTGATTACTACATTAGGAGATAGTACCAACCGTGACCGTAGCTGTGGGCTTAATCACACGGCTCGCTAAACCGGACTTGGTACTTTATTCCACTTGCACTCCCCCTCGGCGAGTGTAGATCTTACTTGATGCTTAACGCGCTCGTTGTAAGAATCGTCACGTTGCTGCCCACGGAAGCAATTGCCGCCTTGGCTGTTTCATCTTTACTTGTGTTCGAAATTTCCTTCCGTCCTTCTCTCTATTCATGGCTAGAAGAGAATTTGTTCCTAAGTTGGATGACAGGGTTGGCTCTCTTATGTCCTTGACAAAGAATTATAACCGGTCTTTTACATAACCGCTTTTCGAATATGTCTAAACAAGCTCAACTTAATGCTTTTATAAGACAAGACGTCAGTTACAAGCAGCTTGCCAGTCACAATTTTCAAACTTCTATCCTCGTGCCAAAAGATGTTCGCCAGGGCACATGTCCTCTGATTGTCAGGTGGCATGGCAGCGGCCTGGTTAATGGTCATTGCCTATACACAGAGTGGCTCCCGCCATACATCATCACCCACGCTCAAAGGTCGCAAGCAATGGTCGTCTTACCGGACTATCGTCTGCTGCCTGGAGTTTCATCAGCCCGAGACATCTTGCAAGATGTTCAAGACTTCTTTCTCTGGCTTGCCTGATAGATTCAACATATAACACGGGAGTGGAGGGCACAAAAGAAAAGACTTGCCAGCTTTAACAAGGTCACGAGGAGCAACCGGACCGGTGTAGCCCGCGCCGATGACGATGGCTTCCCAATCATCCTGAGCAGACTGGAAGTTGCACTCTGGCTCGGTCACACTGTACGTGTGCAGACCTGCAACAAGGCCGCCCTCTTTGGTATAGCTGTGGCCGTCGCTCGTGAGTTCGGCCCGACAGGGAGGCATTTTGTTTCAATGGCTGATCTGAGCAGAAGATGACTGTTTCTCGAAGGAAGGGGTCAGTTGTTTCCCATGTGCCGATGGTTTCACATCAAAATGTGAAGGGCATTGTTATCCTGCCATGCGCCGGTGTGCTTCTCAGCACACTGGTGGTTGGTTGCAAGATATAGACCAGTTTCGGGAGCTCCGCCTACGAGCTGCTGGTGAAATTACTGGATGGAGTAACAAAGTCCACAGTAGGTATTCGCCGAGATTCTCTCCCCGCATCGACTCCAACACAGCCCAATTCGGAGAATAGGCTACGTCCTTGAATGGAAATTCGGCTTGTACATATGAGCCCATTCGCGCTCTCTTTATGATCACGGTCTGCCGGCTACCGGAAGCTAGAACAATTCGGTTGCGCTGCCAATAATTTGTCGGGTTTATCTTGGATTGGCACTAGATCCAACTTCGCTCGTAGGGTTCAGATGCAGTTGTATCACCGACGTCGCGAGGTGGGGTGATGTAGAACCTGCACAGCAAGATCCGATTGTTTATCAAAGCATTTTGCATTTTCGCTCGATAAGGCTCGTGGACAGATCTACTAAGTTAGTCTGCTGAGTTTGTCATCAAAGTGACGATTTCATCCTGTAGACATTCCTCTGTACTAGTGTAATAGGGAGAGCTATACTATGCAGTGGAAGTGCCCTGAAGAAGAACATATCTCATCTCTCCCAGCCCTAGGAGATACTGTGTAGCCAGCATTGACACCTATGTGACAGACCGGCCCACGCCTGCAAGGCTTGTTCCACTATTATGCCCAGCTCAGTTACAACCACAAGCGATACACCTCAAGAAACCTACAAGAACTCATTAACGGCCTTAGCAACACCATTGACACCATCCAAGACGTGCCAGTGCCCAACATCAGGGAGCACCACGAGCCGGGATCCACTGATCCTCGCATTGTACTGCTCACACACCGCCGGGGGCGACACCTTGTCATCCGCGCCAGTGACAATCAGCGCCGGGGCCGCGACGCCCTCGACGCCAAGGGCCGTCGTGCTCGAGCCGGCGAGGGCATGGCAGGCCTTGGCGTACGCCTCCGGGTCCTGCCCGAGCAGGGACATGCGCACCGCCGCGACGCCGACGGGGCTGCTGCGCCTCGAGGCGTCCGAGGTCCCCGCGGCGACCACCGCGTCGACGACGGCCGCCATGCCCCCCGGCCCGCACGAGCGCCGCGCGGGCGAGCGCGGCCTGCGCGCCTGCGTCCGGTAGGGGGGAGGGCGGCGGCCCGGTGAGGATCAGCTTCTTGACGAGCCCCGGGTTGTCGAGTGTGAATTTGAGCGCGACGAGGCAGCCGAGGGAGTGGGCTACCAATGTTGCTGGGGCTGCGGTGGAGGCGCCGGCGGCTTTGAAGACTCCCGAGAGGTCGTTGGCCATGGATGAGAGAGTCAGCGGGCTCAGGGGGTGTGTAGGCGTCTGGCCGTGACCCTCAAAGTCGTACAGGTGGATTGTTGCCCGGTCCGTCAGGGCAAGTGTCGAGACCAACGGTGTCCAGTAGTCCTTTGTCCCGCCGAGGCCGTGGACGAAGACGATGTTCTCGGGGCCGGAGCCAAGCTTGTTGTATGAGACGGGCTTGCCGTCGATGACCGCCAAGGCGTCACCTCGGCCGACGGCCTTGTCCGAGTTGATGAGCGCGAAGGAGCTTGCGGCGCTGATGCGTTCTCCCGTAGTGTTGCTGGCAGCCGGCTGCGCGACATTGTTGGTCAGAGTGCCGAGGCCTGTGACGGAGATGGCCACCTCGTCGCCGGGCTTGAGGTAGACCGGAGGGTTCTTCCCGATACCCACGCCCGCAGGAGTTCCGGTGGCTAAGACGTCGCCCGGTTGCAGAGTCTGGCCAGCGGACAGCGTCTCGATGAGCTCGGGGATTGAGAAGATCAAGTCCTCTGTAGATGAGTTCTGCCGCAGTTCCCCGTTGACATGAGTTTGGATCCCCAGAGTCTTGGGCAAATCTTCCTTCGGCACTGCAATGGGGCCCTTCCGTGTAACCAACGTTAGCAAAGTCATGGTCCATTGCTAGTCCGAGGAGATTGACGAATACTCACCATAGGGCAGAAACTGTCGGGCGACTTTCCAATATAGAACTGCTTATGGTCACGCTGCCGCTCGCGGGCAGTCACGTCGTTGATGATGGTGTAGCCCCAGACAAAATCCCACGCATTTTCTGCCGAGACGCGGAGCCCAGGCTTTGAGATGATGACACCGATCTCGCCTTCGTAGTCGACAGTCGAGGTGAAGCCCTCGTGGGGTAATATCTCCTCCCCGTCAGCGATAATCGAAGTGGCTCTCTTGGTAAAGATGACCGGGTGGCTCGGGCGATCGACCTTGTCGGAGCTGTCAAAGCCGGAGCTGTTGAACTCCTTGGCATGCTCCATGTAATTCTTGCCTACTGCGAGGACATCACGGCCTGCGATGACAGGTAGGATCTTGGCGGACCCGACTTGCAGGGGCGAGCCGGTGGCAGTGATCTGGTCTCGAGACCCGGCTTCGATCACCTGGTAAAGGTTACCCACCGGCGTCCCGGACCCGAAGCTGAGCGGCTGAATCGTGCCGTTCTCCTGGTCTAGGTGTCCAATCTGCTCCGTGCCCGTCTCGGGATGTACGAAGGCAACATAGTTGGTGAGCTTTGCCATTTTGTTCGCACTAGATAATCGCCCTGGGGGAGCTTTGGAGCTCTGGACAAACCACAGATGCTTGGGGTGCTGTCGGGACTGTAAAGGCGGATGAATTTATTCATTTAGTCCTACTAGTAATGCTGCCTTTGTACTGCTATCAGGAGTGAAAATCTCAAAATCTCGTCATTGCTCGGCTCGCTCCACTCTGAGATGCCGGGAAAAGCAACAAGCCATGCCCCGCGTAGTTGATGACACTGACAAGGGCCCCAGGTGATTCGGAGCCGCCCAAGAACCCTGTCATGTGCAGTCCATAGCGGCGAACGCGGGGCGGCGTGGAGATACGCAGACAAGCACGGCGATGGCGGCGGGCATGTTGACTCACCAAGCAACATCCCACCAATTGACCCTGGAAGGTTTCACGGCACTGCACTTGGCACATTGGTGAGAGCTTCAGCCCCAAGCAAGCTTGGTAAACACGGTCAAGAATCGCGGTAAACTTTGTGCCGGAAGACAGTTGAAAATCTTCAAGAAATCGTTTTCGCTTCATCACCGCCTTATTTACTAAATACAATTGATTTACAAGCTGATCTCGATCAGCGGGCCGCGGTATTGCCTCCTCCCCCACACGATGTAGTAGAACACAGCGAACAAGGCCGTGCCCCCAAAGACTAAACTACTCCAGTTCATGCTGGCCGCCGTGACCGGGATGGTCGGCGGGAAGAAGCCAAAAACCCAGATGAGGATCAAGTAGCAGCACGACAGGATGTTGTTGGCGACACCAAGCGCGCCCTTGACGTGCCATGGGCCCCAGATGAGGACATACTCGTCAGTTTGTGGGTCCTTGTACGCGGCGGTTGCGGGCGCCGAGGGGTCGGGCATGCGGATGTTGTTTGCCAGGCGTCGGTACAGAAGGAGGGCGCAGCAGATGAAGTACGTGCTGTAGAAGCCGACGAGGGCGAGGGAGGTGACTCCGTTGAAGACGACGGTGGAGCCGATGTTGATCAGGACGATCAGGCACGGGATGGTAGCGGCGACTATGACGGCGTATGTGGGAATTGTGGTTTTTGGTGAGATCTGAAAAACTGTCAGCTGATTCTCATCACGAGGAAGGGCTAGAGTACCTACGTGGCAAAGGATCTTGGAAAAGGGCAGGCCGCGGTCACGCGCGAATGACCATATTATGCGGGAGGCAGTAGCCATAAAACCGATGGTGCAGGAGAAGGCGAGTGCAATGACAATAGACGTCATGCCCGTCGCGCCACCGAGGGATTGCGTGGCGGACCAGAAGACCTCAATGAAGGGGAAGCCGATGGTCGTCTGAGCTTCGAGCGCGGCTTGTGGGTCGCCAAGGCAGAAGATGATGGCCAGAAGCATGCCGAAGCCCAGCGAGCCGTTGATGACAATGCTGAGCACGATGGAGCGAGGCACGTTAACGGCGGCGTTGGAGATCTCTTCCGACATCTAACGCGGGTATCAGCAGTTTTTTCCCCGGCGAAGGGTGATGTTTGTCTCTACTTACGTGAACTGCGGCATCTGCTCCCACGAACGAGAATGCCGCACCAAGCGTACCAACCATGAACGATATGCTATAGGTGGGCCACATTCCAGCGTTCTGATAGCTAGTCGCGGAGCTAAAGACCTCGGCGGCGGTCGCCTTCGGAGCATAGTAGACCAACGGAATCAGGATGGCGAAGAAGCCCAGGACGTGCAGCATCATGAAGCTGCCCTCCACTTTTGGCAGCAAGCTACCGACCACGGTGTTGAAGAAGACGCAGACCAGGACGACGGCCCAAGAAATGAGCGTGCCCTGCCAGCCAGCGTACACGCTGGCGTAGTCGGGCCAGTTGATCAGACAGAGCGACTGGATCATGCTGGCCGACAGGAAGGCGCCGGTGGCGATGGTGGCCACCCACGCGAGCACCGTCATCCACCCCGTGATGTAGCTGAGGAAGTTTCTGTTGGACCTGGGCGCCAGCATGCTGACCCAGTGGTATTGCCCTCCCGCGGTGGGAGCCATGGAGGCCAGCTCGCCGATGGTCACAAAGGTGCTCAGGGTGCCGCCCCAGACGAGGATGAACTGCCAGACGAGGCCTGCCGTGCCACCGTTGATGAAGCCTGTAGCGAAGAGACTGCCAGAGTGGTAAGTGACATGTAAAGTCTCATTTCGAGTTCAGTTCACATACACCAGGACACCTTCCCATGTTACCAGGACGGTGCAGCTGAAGCTAATCATGGACAAGAATCCAAAGTTGCGCTGTATTGCCATTAATTTATGCACGTGAAGCCAAGCCCGGAGAACGACGACCAACCTTGAGCACCTGCTTCTTCCCCAGACGAGCCAGGGTCATCTCGTCGCGGTTGCCCTCCATCATGTGACGATGGACCTGTGAGGACTTGGAGTCCGATCGGGCTTCTAACATCTCGACGTCCATCGTGGCTGATCGACAGTCCCGTAGATGCGATCAGTTCTGAGCAGTTGTCTTCTTTGTGGTACCCAGTATTGAGATAAAAGCTATGGGAGAAAAACAAGACTTGTAAAGGCCAGGCACGCAGCTGCTCGGTGCAGGCAGTCCGAGTTCAGATCAGGGTTGCAATGACAAGCTTCTCTACATGGTTCCAGCTGACCCGGTACCTTGATAGGCTATTGTCAGATTTGATGGTACCTTCTCAGCCAGGTTGAATTTGACAAATGAACTTAATTGTTCCTTTGTCCTTTGAGGGGGAAGGGGAGGGGTGAGGTGATGGGTGGCAACCAGAGTTGTGAAGATACAAAAAATACAAAATACAAGATACAGATACAGATACAGATACATAAAATTTTAAAAATATAGATATAGATACAGATACATAAAATTTTAAAAATATAAAATATAGATATAAATACAAAAATATAAATATAAATATAAATATATATATTTAAATACATAAATATAAAATATAAATACAAAATACATTATATATAAATATTAATTAATTAAATTTAATATAAATTCTTTTAAAATAAGCTTAAAACTAGCTATTTAAGTATATTTCTTTTAATTTTATATCTTTTTTTTAAAAAGATATTATATATAATATAAAAGTACTTTTTTTTAAAAAAAAGCTTATCTTCTTATTTAAGTCTTATCTTATCTAAGTTTTTTTCCCCTTAAATATAAAGTATTTATAGCTTTTTAGTAGATTTAAATATAAATAAAATAAAAATATACTTAAAATGCTTAAATTAAATAGAATTTAATTAAAATTTCTTTCTTTTTTAAAATAATAAAATTTAAATTAAATATTATATAACTTATATCTATATCTATATTTTATATTTTAAATATAAAATATAAATTTAAAATTTTAAAAATATAGATATAAATATAGATATAGATATAAAATACAAGGCCTATATAAATATAAATATAGATATAGATATAGTATTTAAATATAGATATAGATACATGTATTTATGTATTTTGTATTTTTAAATATAAAATACACAGATACTGTCACAACTCTGGTGGCAACTAAGCTCACCCCAGCCTCTTTCCTTGATAACATAAATACTAATCTTATTGTTACCTTTTCTCATTTATTTTAAGCCAGAGCTGCTTCTGTGTTACCTTTATATATAATTCGTCTTTTGAAACAAAAAACAGTTATTAAGAAAATTTACAGGGTTTTAAAAGCAGTTAATCTTATGAAAGGAAACCTTGTACAACTTAATTTTTTTTTTTATAAATTAATAATTCCTATACTGGCTACAGAAATTAATAGTAAATAATAATAGATTATTATAATGTACCAGGTAAATGACATTATCGCAGTTAATAACAGATATATATATACGAAACTTTATATGACTTTGCTTCCGTAGAAGGGTGTGAGGGACTGCAACCCGGCGTGGGGGGGCTGCAGCATGGGTCGGGCCTGTAGCAGGGCGTCAGCGCTTGCAACGCGGTGGACGCGCGGGTGTAACGCGGCAACAGAACGGCAGAGAGCAGTCAGGTCAGCACTATAGTCTTAGCGGGGTTTGTGCCAGGCCAATAAAGGTGGGTTCCACGGGATTACCGCGCAGACTGCATGAGGTAATGCAACAGGTTCACGGATCGGGGATATCTGATTCGTACCATGCATTTTGTGTTTGGAATCCTTTTCACATGCTCATCCGCGACCGGGGGTGCTGGCCTGGTGGGTGGTCAGCATCGCCGGCAAAGCTGGCCGCGCAGGCAGCCACCAGCTCAGCTCATCTTGGGGTAAATGGGCACTTGTTCACCTCCTTGCAGATCCCGGCCGTCCTGGCTAGGTTCACTAAGTTCATGTCGAGGCCGCATGCGGAGGATTTTTTTGATGCGACGTGTCTGCCTGCGCGATGACCAGTCGGCATGATTTCTTCTGCGAACGTCTGGTCGGTCAGGAAAAGGATCGTCCGAGGTCAACTGTATCATACCCACCCAGTGAGGCAGCTGCGAAAGTGATTCTCATCCCGCAATTTCAGAAACAGGAAGTGAGCCGATGGCGGCCTCATGAAGATTACATTGGAGTTGGTATCAATGCAACTCCAGGAAAGTATGTGAATCCTACTTTTTGGAGGCCCTGAGCAGGCACAAGTCTACATCTCGTCCACGGGGCACGAAACAGACAATGACGCGTTGCAGAGCCCGGGAGGTAGGAGAACATGTTCTATAGCTATCTTGAGTAAATACAACACACGCTTCATGAAATCGTAATAGCCTGCTTAGATGACCCCTCAGTGGTAGGTCCAAGAACAGTAAACTGGCAAGAGATATGGACAGTGCCCCCAAATTATCTTCGTAGCAATGTATAGACTCAATACTCATCCTCCGACCGGATCTCAAACGTCGTCGTCGCGCGGATGATGCGCGAGTCGGACCGCTGCGAGTGGCGATCCAATTCCTCCGTGCCACGCTCCGCCGAGGCCGAGTGCGTGCCGCCGCCGCCGCCGTGCGCGAAGTTCCTCAGCGGGTAGAGGCGGCTGCCGATGCTCTGCTTGCCGCTGCTGCTGCCGTGCGACGACATCTTTGGCTTCTTGAAGTAGTAGCCGCCGCCGCCGCCCGTGGAGCGGCCCTCGCGGCGCCGCGTGTCGTCCATGCGGATCATGCCCGACTCGAGCGCGCCGAAGAAGGGCTTGAGGTAGGGCACGCACGCGAACACGATGCTGAGGCACTGCACCCAGAGGGCGCAGACGACGGCGGGCCAGGCCGCGAAGGTCCGGTCTGCCGACTGGCCCGCCCGCTGGACGAAGATGAGCTCCGGGATGATGGCGGCGGCGACGAAGACGCGGAGGGAGAAGACTACTATGATGACGGTCTTCTTCCCCTGAGGTATCTGCACGCTCCGCATGATGACTGCCGGGATTACGACTAGGAAGACCTCGGTAATAATGTTGAGGATTCCAAAGACAATCCAGAAAGAGGCCTGCACCGGGTGGTAAGTCCGTGTAGTTTAGCGGTTTCTTATGGAGTGGATTACTGACCTGATTTATACAATGTCCTGTCACTATTGCCCATTTTTGAGGCGTTGAGCACTGGAATCCCACCGCGAACAGACTAGATATCGCCCACAACCCAAGCACACCAGCGACAGCATACGTCAGAAGCTGGTGATTTCTCACGGGTGTGAGCGCTCGGAGGAGCACGAGGACTGAGGACTTTGAAAAGAACAGGGTCGTGATGTAAAGGAAGTCCGTGGCATAGACACCCTGCTCGCGGTCAGTTCGCTATTTAGACCTGGCGTGGTTGATGTTTGCAACAGCAACCGACCTTTTCAAATGCGATCAGCTCCGACTCGGAGAGAGAGCTCTCTCTCTTTCCCAGTCCATTTTGCGCTTGTATGGAAACAGCGATCACCATCCCGATGCTGAAGGCCTGGTCCCGTCAGTCATGTTGAAGCAAGTTGAAACTCGGTTGTCGTACCAATGCGGTAATAATGGCAGCATCGTCGAGCGCAAAGCTGCGTGTCATGGACAGCTTGGTCACGATCTTAGTGGCGACGAACAGCAGCGAGGTGACGCCTAGGAACCAGCTGATGATGCTCGGAATCGACGAGTAGTCGTCCGGCGTCACCACCGGCTGAGAAGAGGCAGACATGATGGTGACGAAGGCGCCTCAACGCCGCCTTGTAATCGTAGGAGGTCAAAATAGACGTGGTCTGTGATATAAAGAGAGGAACACAGGTCAAGGTCATCTGTCGGCAATATTACTGGTCCCCAACACACCTGTCAAGGTCGGTCTGCTGACGACAGAGCACTGCGGTGGCCATTCTTACATCAGCTTTTGGCCCCCAAGGATGAACCTTAAACCTGAGAGCACAGCTGGAGCCTGGAGCGATTGGTCTAATATACCGTACCTGACATTCATGTGACAGATAAGCTGATTATTGCATAATTTGAAATAATACTTATTACTACTGTAATAATTTGTTAAAGAAATAAAACTCTTAACTAATAATAACAATAAATATTTTATAAAATAATATGCAGATAAATGGGGAATTAAATTAAGCTTTTTCGATCCCTATAAAATCATTAACATTATAAACTCTACATACTAGCTGTACTATTAAATTGAAAAAAAAAAAGATTTTTAAATCGTATTCATAACTTGTTTTCATAGCTTGTTTAAAATTACTAATTATAGTATGTTCCGCTCGGCCGGGCCACTGCCTCCAATTTCTCTCACACCTTATCTTTCAGCCCTTTCAGCTCACAGACATCCAGGACCGGCGCGTACCGAAGTAGCGGCGCGCCTAGATCAGACGGTGGCGACGACGGAGAGATCATCTTAACTACCGGAAGGCTGTGCGCATAAAGCCCGGTCTCACTTGCATATCACCCTAGCTAATGGTTCAGCGAAGGTGGGACCGCGTAAGAACAAGCGCCTGTGTGATCTCGTAGTACATAAATGTCACGGTGTGAGAGAGAGCTCTATATATATGTCTTTGCCTCGGTCTCGCTCACATCACGGCCACCTGCTTGCCATGAACTTTCGAGTCCCTTTCAAACCTCAAAGCTAGCGGTGCTGTATCCTGTGGATCTCAGCGTCAAGACTGCAAAAGGTTTGACCAAATCCGTTCCGGCTGTACATCACTGACTGACGTGTTCGGTCAGATCACCATGCATTTTTCCAACTTTATTACCCTCGCTCTTGCGGGCCTTTTTGCCTCCGCAATTGCTGCTCCCACCGCCGATGCGAATGCCGAGGAGCCCGGCCCCGGCTATGGACTGAAGCGCGGTGCCAAGGCGGCTGCGGAAGAGCCAGGCCCAGGATACGGCTTGTGAGATAGGCCAATATCCTGTCCTGGACGCCTACCATCAGCATCCGACTATCAAAACCAATCGAGGAGGTATTGGCGTGGTCGGAGGTCCGGAGGGGAAATTGGGGCCGTCTTTATGTGATGAGTTCAGGCCAGCCTTCATGTTGATCATGTTGATAGAGATCAAGTACTACAGTGGACAATATCTACCAGTGCAAAACGATATCCTGCGCGTCTGTTCCGCCTCTAAAGCTACTCACTGCTTCTCCCACGGGATCATCCCCTTTCCAGGCTCATACTTGCCTCGCACCGGACGAATCATAGGCCACCACTCGAACGGGATCATCAGCTCCTCCAACTCCTTCTTCCGTCGCGTGTCCTTGAACTGCGACATGTCAAACTGGCACTTTTCGCCCTCGACGAAGCCGTACGCGCGGTAGAGGCTCCGACCAATGTCCGTGGCGTCGATGAAGATCTCATAGCCGCGCTCGTCCGCCTGCTGGACACCCCAGTCCATCAAGAGCTTGCCCACCCCCCTCCGCCGCGCATCAGGGTGCGTGAAGCAGATGTCGAGGACTGCGCTAGGGTTAACCCGCCTCCGTCTCCCTAATTCCTTCCCGCGTCACCTTAGGGCTGAGGGGCTTAACTCACAGACGTGTGGCTTGCGCATGTATGTCATGCGGGGCGTGACGAACTGCCCCATCAGCGCGTTCCCGATATCACGCTCCTCGCCCTCGGGGAACCAGTCGCATTCCTCGTCCGACTCGACGGCGTAAGGGTCAGTGTCGTAGATGTGCCAGCACGCGGCGCCCACGAGCCGGTCGTTGTCGTCTGTGTCGACGACCTTGATCCAGCGCGACGTCGGGTCGCCGCGGTGCCAAGCCGTCTGGCGCTGTATCGCGGACTGGATGGTCGCCTCCTGGCTGCCCTGCGGGGGGAAGAAGAGCTCCTTCAGCTTGCACGGCGGCGTCTCGTAGGCGGTGAACTCGCACCGGACGAGGGCGTCGAACTCGCCATCGGACTCGAGATGGACCAGCTTGAGGGGCATTTCTGGTGGTTGGATGGCGGATCGCTGCTCCGAAAGTGTCCACAGAGGTCTCACTTTGAGATCCTTGGGTGTGAAAGAAAGTTTAACGGTGTCTTATCAGCTTACTTGCACATTCACAAACGCCCCTCTTTCTCCCCTTCTCCCCTTCCTGCTGTCGAGTGTTGGTTTCATTCTCGGTTTCGGAGTCCGTGCTGTACACTGTGTACTTGTCACTATCTAGGTACCTCCCCAAAGTATCTGGATGCCTAGATCCGGCTGGGGCTCCATATCCCCCCATTTCGCGATCCCTGCCTCCCGCATACCGCCCCCACCTGCCATACATGCTGTACTACGTGTAAGTGATGCTTGGTATAGGACCTGCATCAACCAATCTACCGACCTACATACCTGGGATGTCTAGGCAGGTATACGACAACTGGAATGTGCAGGATTATGTAGCCGCTGCATGATTTTCCAAGATCCCGCTTGACCCGAGCATCTTGGTTCTGACCTTTTGCAGATCTGTAAGACCTGAGCACTCATATGATAGGACGCTGTCTGCGCCACGTCGAGATGGCAGGCTGACATGGTGTATACTCCACCGGCAGTGTCTCACCAGTGATGATGTCGTCGTCTCATCTGGGGAATAATTGCTGAAGCGCCGGTTGAAGGCAGATCGTAGGCAGCGATTGCGACGCCTGCCCACCTCCACGGGAGCTCAGTCGCGGTCATCGGCGCTCGATACTCGATGCTTGATGCTTGCTCCTAATCCTCGGCTCTTGATCATCCGGTTCAGCTTCAAAGCTGAGTCAGATATCTGCATACCTATGTATCCTGTGTCTTCTCTCTCCAACAGGCCGATGTTTCGTCACCATCATGCTCAGGCCTGCCCGTGACGATGGACGACGCCGAACGCAGCAGCACATCCTCCCAGCCTCTCTTGACTGAGAAGGACGACGCCTTCGTCTACCGAGGGCCCAAGCCTCGCCGCTCCTATGGGCTTCTCGCCAGCACAGTCGTCCTTCTCCTCACCTCCCTGGCTGTCAATACCTATCTACTGCTTCGCTCAGCCCCTAATTGCCCCTCTCCCTACGCCTCCCTTGAACCGACCTTACAGGTCCCGTTCGAGTGGTCCACCGAATATGCCGACATCAACATGACCGCGGCCGGCGCCCTCTGGGACAGCATCTCCTTCGACGTGGGCTTCGTGGCCCTAGACAACGACTGGACCGCCGTCCACGACCTCCTCCCAGCGCAGCCCTTCCCCTGGGACCACAGCAAAGGGATGTACGTCCTGAACGGCTTCCATGCCCTGCACTGCCTCAAGAACATCCACCGCGCCGTCCGCGAGTACGAGCTCGGCCTGCCGCAGTCCCTCTCCCTCTACCACATCACCCACTGCCTCGACAGCCTGCGGGGGGACATCCTGTGCCAGGCCGACGACACCCCGCGCTACACCACCATCACCAAGAGCCCCGAGAGCGCGGTGGGCCAGCTGCGCCAGTGCAGGGACTGGGGTGCGCTCGAGAGGTGGGCCGAGGAGCGGACGAGCTGTTATCACTACATTAGTCATGAGGCCGATTTCATCAACCAGTTTGAGCGGTTCAAGTACTGTCCTAAAGATAGCCCGTACTGGCCGGCGCTGAGAAAGCATTTTGGAAAGCCGGATGACTGGTTTGGGGAAGGGTGCACGAAAGGGAAGCTCGGGGTAGAGTGCTAGAGGGGTGAACGAGGCTGAGTGACGGGAAGTGCTGTAGAGAAAGCTCGTCGTCTCTGTTGTGACATGGTTCCACAACATAGATCTTACTGTGTATGGCCATTGGATTGACATCTTCTTGTATGTTACACTGTGGTAGCGGGGACTTGACTTATTCCATATCCGTTCAACACCAAGAAAAACAAGTGTCTTAGATACAAATTTTCTGTTTTATAACTTCAGGATATCTTTTGGTCAATAGTGCCTCAACCCGCATGTCATCCTTAGAGAAGCTTTCTCCACATTTTCTACGTACATGAACACCACAGGAGCAACAGACTCAGAGAAAATGATAACCCATCCGACCCAAACCTCCCCCGCCCGCCCAAAGAAAAAGAAGACTTGAATCTCTCTGTGTATCAACATCGCCAATGAGACCCAAACGTAAAACAAAGTCACAATGATCCTCTCATCGGCCGACTCCCCCCCAATCAGCCTCCAGCTTACCTCACGAGAGCCCTCCCCGCGGCAGCCCATCATCGCCGCCATCATCAAAGTCCCACCAGATCTCCCCCTCCGGCCTCGGGTTAATATGGTCCTTCCACTGCGCGTTCCGCCCGCTCGCCCACTCCCGCAGCGCGTCCCAGCTCCGACACATCTTGGTCTGCCGGACGCCCGCGTCGTGGTGGCCCGCGCTGTACAGCAGCGTGTCGTCGGCGTGGCACATGACGTGCTGCCGCAGGCTGTCGAAGCAGTGCTCGTCGTGCTCGACGGGCCAGTCCCCCAGCTGCGGCCAGTCGCCGACGTAGCGGTGCGCGTGGTACATGCGCATGTAGTGGTCGCGCAGGACCTTGAGGCAGTGCATCGCGTGGTAGGCGTCGATGATGTACACCTGGAACTCTGGGCGGAAGGGGTGCGCGAAGGATGGGGGCAGCCCGAGGGAGGCGGCCTCGGCTGGCGTGAGGAGGACGTCGCCGTGCCCGGCTTCTATGGAGGCCCAGGCGGCGTCTGAGAGGGCGCTGGAGGGCGAGTCGAAGGCAGAGTGGTTGTTGGCGAGGAGGGGGATGTTATACTCGAGGGAGAGGCGAGCTAGAAACAGATTTTAGTGAAAGGTAGAGACAAAGAGTTCAGTGCAAGAGACGTACTGTGAGGGTGGACCAGACGCCGCTCGAGCTTCAGGATGCGCCAGGCCTGGGCGGAGGAGACAGCAAGGAGGATGACGCAGAATGTCGAAAGGGCCACGGTCGATATGAAGAACCGTCGATGCCACGGCCGTGACTGTGGTGGTCCATCTTGGCCCTGTATCCCGTCGTCGTCACTGGAGAAAGAGCTCTGGTCACGCAAAGGCTGATAACGACCCTTCTCGGACGCCATGATGCTATCTACATTGGAATCTGGATATCTACCGGAGCTGATGAGCGATATGGAGGCCCGACCAGGGACAAATGATCCTAGGGCGAAGTGATTGCAATAGCTATACAGTACAGGGCAGCCAGCTTTCTAGCGTCCAAGTAGAAGCTGAATACTGTAGTATGTACCTAGGTATGAACCTCATCATGTGCCAAGCAATGGCAAGCTCACACGTCCGATTCAGGACGACAGGGTCCAAAGCTTCACAGGCATAATCCATGCTAGTGTTCCCGGGGGCACAGTGAGATGGGTGACATTCAGCGGCTGCGGGAAGAGTAGACTGTGTACACTGGCATAGCCTCACCCGTGCACGAATGTGGCGGTTGGGGAACTGCGGATGGCAATGTGGGATTAAAAGGATCCGAGTGGCACCTGGGTAAACTGATGGTGGGGAAAGAACGGCGCCGACCAACAGAACAACAACCTTCAGTTCATTGCTGACTGCATGCATGTAGTGAAAGTCAAATGTTCCTTTGCGCCGAGAACCGCTTCGATTTGGGCATGAAGTGCACTACGTATCCTACAGGGTAGCCTCCGGGACCGAAAGAGGATATCGCCATGCCAAAAGGAAGAGGGTCCTTGCCCGCCTTTCCGGATATTGTTATTGCCGTCGAGCTGGGTTGCCTGGATGACTGACGTTCGTCACCTGTTCAGCGTTTCACTACCATTTTCGAATCCTTCTCGTTTGAAGGTCGGCAACTCGGCTCGTCTTGCCTCCGGGCATCTCGAATTTTCAAATCTCACCCTATGATGACGTCCAATACTGACGCCTTTGTGTCGTATTCACATTCTGTTGTTGAACAGGCTGCGGTTTTGTTGTAATCTCACGTGCTTCACATTACATGTCACGCACCGTGTAATCCACAGCCCTGGTCCGGCTTAGAAGCTCACCTTCTATTACCTGGGTAATTTTGGCTTTCTTGAGTCTCCTTCTTTTCTTTCTCCAGCAAATTCCACATCTGATTTCCTCGTAGTTGTTCCCGTCTTAACCGTGCCAATATCTGGCTCATGATAATATGTCACAAGTGCATTTCCCATCCATAGATGGGTTCGTCTCTTGCATGGTAGTCCACCTCTCCTCCCTGGGTCAAAGAAACGTAATTCATGGCACATTGAAAGCAGCAAGTTTTGCCCGGTGAGGAAGCGTGGCATCTTGCCAGCCTCTTAGAGGACGGTATCGATGCCTTCGCGGGTAAGAACTGAGGCCGCTTACGACCCTCCCGGCCCTCCTCCAACGATAACGACGGTGCAATTCTCTGGGATTGACATATTTCCTTGGTGTAATTGGGAACACTGTCGGAGATTCCTCTGTGTCTGGGTCTCGAATCACAGGGTGCGCTGGACTCGGAATGCCAATGATCGACGTCATACAAATGAATAGGACGTCAGCCATTACCTTCGTCTTCTAATTTCCCTTGGGAGGAGCCCGATCCTATACGAACGAGTCTTTCTTTGGACAATACTTGATGGTACTCCGTCCTTGAAAGCGAAGATATCAGTCGAGCTACCACAAGGAGAGTGCGAAAACGAGGACTGTGGGGCACTTCTGCGGATTGGTTTAAACCGCGTCAGCCTTCGCTGGCCGGGGACATCAGCCGGAGTTGTTAATTACTTCCTAGTTTAAGCAGAATTTGCTGATAGCCACGGATTGGCCGCTACTCCCTTCTTGGCTTTGTTAAATTACCAATACCCTTGATTATCTCTGAATGACGCAAAACGGTCTGCAAGACTTCAAGGGGCACAGTGTTCAGGGCAAAAACGGGTGAATTCAGATCGAAAGAAATAAAAGGACGTAATTTACAAAACCGGTCTTGTTCCCTTGCTGCTGTGGATAACTTCCTTAGCAATGCCGGTCCCGACCTCACAAGTGAATTTGGTTTTAGGGCCATCTGGTTAGTCCCCGACTTTCCCGCTTCCAGCAAAAACATCTCCATCAGACCAAGAGCATATCCTCAAACGTGGGATCGTTTTTCATCGCTTCACCATACATGATCCCATCCACATAGCATGCTCCGACCAGCTCATACTCCATCTTCTCTTCACACCGAGGTCGGATGATGAAGGGGAACTCGCAGCCCTTGAAGATGACAACGAGGTCGCTTTCTTGCATTATTCCTGGTCCAAGGCCTGCCCTTCCGTCGCATGTCACGAAGCCCTTGTTGTTATTAAGTTTGAGGCGTTTCACATAAGTCCAAGTGGCGGTAGCTTTCGATCTTCCCACAGAGACGTCATCCGTTTTTTCGCCGGTGAGAGCCTGATAGCTGTTTCGTAGCATTTGCAATTCGTAGAACTTACCAAGACTTCCATCTGCTTCCTCAAGGGTAAGGACTTTCAGTGCGTCTAAACAGCCCGACCACCTCCTGGTGTCATATTCTTTTCACTCAGGACTGTTCGACTGGCGTGCACGCCATCGACGGTCTCGGGCCATCCGGTCCCTTCGGCCTGACAAGTTATCAAACCAACGGCGCTCCTCTCGCCGCTGCCTGTTGTCGGCCTGCACCCGCTCGCTTTGCTGGCGTCGCTCATGTTCCATTTTGCCACGTTGCTCTGCTTCTGCCAGAGACTGGCGAGGCTTTTCCATTTGGGCCACAAAGGGGCAAGGTGGCCATTCTAGTCGATAGCTTGCCGTGGACTTTGATCTGACTGAATAGCGACTCGATTGACCTCCTGCGATTGGGACAAGCCACAAGTTGTCCATTGATGATGACTTTTCTGGGCTTTCAGAGCAATTTTCCAGGAGCTCTCTCATCTGTTGCAGCCAAGTAAGGCATTTGTCGACATGATCTTGGACCTGTTCCTGGTCTTTTGCTGGAGGAAGGCTAATATCAAGCTTCACAATTTGTGAAACTTGTGACACTCTGGTGGCCTTCAGTGACACCCGAAGCCTTTTCCCCTCTTGAACCACTTCAGGAAGGCACGACTCGTAGCCTGCCGCGGCAAACTCGGCGTTATAGGTGGGATCGAATATGACTGATTCGGTACGTATTTTGGTCCAATCAACGTATAACGATGAGTAGTCGCCGGATTCAGGAGGAGTTGAACGGAATGCGAGAATTCGAGGACCATGCCTCTCAATCATCGTGCATGTCATGGCGTTCAAAACGTCAGAAAGACTAGTTTCCTTCGAGTAGTCGACAGGAATATGCTCTCGGCCATCCTGAGAGAAGAAAGCGAGGAATGCATAAATGCGATCTCTTGCATCAGATGCCTCGAACGCTCTGTGGGCTAGGCGCATAAAGCATATAATGCCTTCTTCAAGCGACAGACCTGTGTTCTGGGAGTCCTTCCAGGTTATCTTTTCAGGCTCTTTGCCTTCGCGCTGCTCCCGTTGTACGATATCCTGGAACAATAAGAAGTGTTCCACGGGAGCAAGAAAGCCCCTCGCGTTGGGCAAAAAGAATGATTGTTGCCAACCATGCTCCAAGTCCATGATATAGTGAATAGCTCCCATCACTTTTTCCCAGGGGAAGAGGTGAGTGCCGCACAATAAAAACACAGCTTTAGCAAGAGTGGCCTCCTGAACAACCCACACGCGATGCCACCAAGCCCTGTTCAAAAGCTTTCGGGCCCGTTCATCGGGGGCAAATAAGGAACCACCGACCAACTGGACGAGTGCCATCAGGAAGGGTTCATCGGAATACTTCAGAAGTGTACCCACGAGGTTGGGAGAATCTTCCTTAAGATCCCTCTTGGCAGCTTCATTGTCCAAAATCTTTTTCAGTCTCCGGGCCATGGTGCTGTTAAAATCGGTTGCGGCGTCGTGTTCCGATAATTGGAGCCAGTGGATCCCAAGTGTGACCATATTATCAAGAACATCGGCACTCTTGTCTTCTTCTTCGCCGATCCAAGCAAGCACCTCGCTTGCTTGGCTGTAAATCCTGCCCATGAGAGGCACTTGAATGTTCTTTTCCTCATCGTTCTTCTGGGCGATACAGATCGCATCGATCCACAGAGGACGTCCTCGAAGCTCTGGGAGTTTTGCAAGTACTCCAAGTACAGCATAGAGATTGGCTGTGACATTGAATCGAAAACCATCCACGTAAATTTCATGAGGAGTCTCTGCACTTCCCTAGGTGTAGGACAAGGCCACGTATTCCGGGTGGTCGTCTACGGAGACGGGCTTCAAGCAGCCAGAAATCCAAGGCGTATCGGAGCACTTGTGTTGCTCGGACGGGATTTCTTCAAGATAGAAGAGGCGACTTTGGCTTCTGGGTGTTTCCAAGGGATCATATTCGTATGCTGTAGTCTGCGTACCAGTCCCGTCCAACTGCTGGTCTCCCTGCAGCGGGGTCGATTGGCGAGGCTCGTTCAAGGACATCGTATTCGTACAATTCTCGGGCGATTGAAGGGAGTTCACTGAAGAGGTGATCAGCGAGAGCAATTAACTGAGTGATATTCAGGTACAAGAAACTTTTTGGGATACCGAGTTTTCATTGAATAGATGAGCAATTGAAAAAGGTGGTGGAGGGCTATTTCTTACTTCGTGAGCACCCTGCCCAAATCCGATCGAGTTCAAGCCCGACTTTCCCTCCTCTCTGTTTGCAAGGAGGACTTCGGTGCTGGAAAAATAGAGCGCGGAAAGTATTGTAATTTGAGTGCGAGGAATGATTGATGATTTGACTGGGCCTGAGCCGACTATTTGATGAAGGGTCTTGACATGAGTGTATCCCATTCTGGGCAGGTGTCCACCCAGTCTGCCGACCAGGGCGCGAGCAAAAGCGATCGGGAAACGATTATCATCCTTCATTGCACAACAGAAAGTCATGACAAATTGCCACAAGAGGTGCCCCATGTGCTCAAGTGACGCGAAGCCTGTTGCGCATGTTCACGCGACCCGCCTCACGCTAGAAGCCGGTCAGCCTTCCAAACTCAACCAAACCCCTTACTACTCTTAGACAAATACACCCAGATCCACAAAGTGTGTGATAAAACTTTTCGCTATAACTGATCGCAGTATAGTTGTCCAGCCTTTTTCGTCTCAGTTTCTCAGATCTGTGGTTGGCATTGACAGTCTGAATAAAGTAGCAAGTTTTAGGGCGTGGAGACTGACCGGCTTCTTCCGTGAGGCGGCTGCCTGCAAACCACATTTTGATGCAAAAGCAAGTTCGCCATGCACTTCTTTCTCTTGTACATCGCACTAGGAGGAGTGAGACCTCTAAGCAGTGGGTCATATGCTCGGTAGCTACCCGCATTACGTGGCAGGACGGCAAGGACGGCAATTGTGTGCGCCGGTTGACCAGCATCAAAATACTTCGGATTTCACTTCCCCAGCTTCGTGGGCTTATATGTGTGAACAAAAGGACACTATGTATTATAAATGGTGTGGCAAAGGTGGCCGCCAGAAAGGGGAGCAGTCTAGGATATCAGGAAGCTTCCGCTCGCTGATACTTGTGCAAGCATTCACGTATTCTACAAGGGCGACGGCACGGTCCGAGAAGGCTTTGCAGATTCTGCGGATTCTTCTCCTTCGCCATCCCAGCAAGGGAACGGACGTTCCTCTACAGTCAAAAGACTGAGCCTCAGTCGGAATCCTGCTCCACGTTCACGGATCTTTCCGGGTCATTCGTAGCCGCTGCCCGCAACAATTTCGGGCCAAAATACCCGTTCATGAAATTCCGCGTCCACGACATCGAAAAGGAGCCGTCGTCTGAGTTGGGACAGCATCACATTATAATCTTAAGCAATGCGATTCACGCGACGCACAACCTCCAGACATCCGTCGGGAACATCCGCAAGACGCCGCGGCCCGATGGCTTCCCCATGATGTTGGAGATGACGCAGCCTCTGTACTGGGTCGACATGATATTCGGCCTGTTCGAGGGCTGGTGGCTGTTTGACGACGGGCGCCGCCACGCCATCGCGAGCCAGGCGCGGTGGGAGGCAGAGCTACAGGCCGTGGGGTATGGGAGGGTCGACTGGACTGACGGATGGAGACCAGAGATCAATATCTAGCGGGTCACTGTTGCACAGGCCAGCTGGACGAGACGCTGCACCGGCACCCGCTGCACTTCAGGGTGTCGGCGGTGCGCCCGGGGCAGATCGCCGGCAACTCGGCGAGCGTGTGCTGGAACGAGAACGAGCACCTCGCCTGTTAACAAAGGATGGATGCAGTCCTCTCCACTCAAGATGGGAGCTCGGTGCAGCTGTCATTGGCGTCGTATCCTGACGATGGTAAAGCAGGAAAGGTGTCATTCGCACGGACTGGGCGTTCTGATAAGCCCGGAAAATGGCAGCGGTTGAGGCAGTGTTGGTTGGAAGACTCCACGAATAAGAAGCACACAGAGGGGACCAGATATCTTCATGGGCAAAAGATCGACTAGATGTAGAGGGGTCGTCCCCACTCTGGCTACATACTGTACTGTATTCATAGCAGCACAGTCGAGCCAATGACTGAATCTGGGTATCAGCAGCCAATCAACGCAGTCTAACTTGGGCATGCAGAACCGTGGTGACCAACTCACGGTTGCCAGTTTGACACCGTACCATTTCAAGGATCCTAATGGTAAGTTGGTAGGCGGGGAATGAGCGCCGCTAACCAACAGACCAACAACCTTATATTTATTGCTGACTGCATGAATATGGTGAAAGCCAAATCTTCATCTTCGTCGAGACAACTTTTAATGACTGCGGGCGAGGATGTTCCGTCTCGAGGTCAACGAACAAATTCACGACGCGTAGTAGACTATACCAGCAAATTAACAATCATCTGAGCGAATGATGGCGGCCGAAAAGGACGATGGTTATGTCTTCCAGCGCACTGCCAACGCGACCTCGAGGTGAGTTCCGAGCCGGATTCTCTTGCCAGATGCCAAGCTGATCACGATCTCCCTCGTAGGCTTCACTATCAGTATTATCTCTGGCAAGACACGTATCGATTTCACCTGCACCCAGACATCCCGCCACTGGCTCCAGATGCGCGCATTGCGGATGTCGCAACAGGCACCGGGTAGGAAACAAACATGAAACCCTTCTCATCTGATCTGATCTCCTCGCCCCCTATCTGACCAAGACGCAGAATCTGGCTCTCCGACCTCTCTCGCCAGCTGCCCCCTACCGCGCAGCTTCATGGCCTCGACATCAGCCTGGCCCAGCTCCCCCCTCGGAACCTAGCCTCTCCCAACGCCACCTACCACGAGTGGGACTTCTTCACCCCGCCCCCGCCCGAGCTCCTGGGCTCCTTCGACGTAGTGCACATGCGCCTCGTCGCCGTCGTCGTCAAGGACATGCAGCCGGGCCGCATCCTCGCCAACGTCGCCCAGCTGCTCAAGCCCGGCGGCTACCTGCAGTGGGAGGAGCACTACACCGCCGAGGCCAGGGTCGTGCACGGCTCCGGGGGGAGGCTGCCGCCCGCCGGCGAGTTCCCGGGGGTGGACCGCCTGTGCCGCCTCATGTCCGAGCAGCTCAGCACGTCCGACGGGTCGAAGCTGCTGCTCGGCTCCCGGGACTGGCTGACCGCGCTGGACCGGACGATGGAGGAGGGGGGATTCGAGGAGGTGCGGAGGGTTGTCTACCCTGACTCGCCTCTCATGGGCATGTTTTGGAATGATGTCTATGTGTCGTCGGTCGAGGAGTTTGCGCTGCAGATGTTGAAAGTGGATCCGGAACTGGGAAAGGAGCTCCAGGAGATGATCGGGCGGATTGAGGAGGAGAAGCGGCAAGGGGCGTGGCTTTCAAACCCCAAGGCCGTCTTCCTTGGCAGGCGAAAGGCGTAGAAATTCTGCAAGGTCAAATGGCGCGAGAGAGCGGATGCGCGTTGACATGAGTTGGTATTGCAACACAAGTCCAAAGATTCTTGTCCCAGTGGCTCACATGATGCCCTACCTACCTTACCTGGCCTCTCTTGCCATCCACATGACGCAGTTTTGTAGGCCTGATAAAACCAGCAAGGCATGGCTGTCTCTCATCCACTCCATGTTAAACGTGTTAGGAATCTTCCTCGTGACTAGAACCGGCGTCAGCTTTTTGGCCTCATGTTTAAACACCAAACAGTCTAACTAGGGTTTCTCCCGACGTGGCCTCATTAACTTGGCTTACTTTCTCCAGGAATTAGGGGGAAAATCCAAAGAGTCATATTGTTGAAATAAGAACAAAGAATGGCGAAAGTGATCGTATAAGAGAATCAAATCCCAGTCGCTTTATCATAATATTGTTCGGCTGAGATCTCCCCGCCTGGGGTCTGTGTCGACGACTAGCAATCCAAGCCCATCCCACCTGGATCACGGCCGACTTACGCGATAGCCGATGACGATCTGGCACCTATTCCAGGAAGATCAACTCGGCTCTCGGCTCTGGCTAATGATGGTGGGAGTGTACCATTGCGTCTTCGTCCAAGACGTTCTAAGGTTGCTTGCAATGCGGGGGCACAATGTCGTGCTTCCAGCAATCGCATCAACTGGTCTGAGATAGCCCGTGTCACAGGATGGTGACGGGAACTCGCATTTGAAATCAGGATATGAAGCGAGGTCGGAACGGGGTAAAATAGAGGATGTCATCATTCAAAGTCTGACAAGAAATCCATCAAAATGGCTACAGTCACCCAAACCCTGGAGTCTGCCAACGCCGAGGGCAAGCCCATCAAGCTTGCCGTGGCATACGATGACAAAATCCATAATTCAGTAAGTATCCTAAAGGAAACAACCGCATATTTCATTTGTCATTCTAATGTGCACAACAGTCTAAATATGCGGCGTACCTCCCCGTCTATGACACCACCACCAAGTTCCCGCCCACTGAACTGTTTGACTTCAAGGACCGCGGTCTCGACGCGGATCCGGCAAAGCCAAACCTTCTGTCCAAGGACAATTCAAACTTGAAGGCCACCAAATTGACACCCCGTGTCGGGACTGAAATCACTGGCCTTCAGCTGTCCCAGTTGACGGACGCCCAGAAGAATGAGCTCGCATTGCTGATAGCCGAGCGTGGCGTTGTAGTCTTCCGTGACCAAGACTTCAAGGATATCGGACCCGAGAAGCAAAAGGAATTCGGCCAGTACTTTGGCCGTCTCCACGTCCATGTAAGTCCTTGACTTTCCGATCTCGGTCTAGTCGCCCGCTTACCATTTGCAGCCTACCGGTGCGCACGTCAAGGACCACATTGAGTTCCATTCCATCTACCTCGGGAAGGACAACCTGTACCGCCTGGGTCGCAGCACGAGCAGACTCACCACCATTGGGTACCATTCGGATGTCTCATATGAGCACCAACCCCCCGGCATCACCCTGCTCACCCTCCTCGAGGTCCCCGAGACTGGCGGTGACACCGGCTGGACCTCCCAGGCAGGAGCCTACGACCGGCTCTCGGAGCCCCTCAAAGCCTTCCTGGAGGGGCTGAGGGCTGAGCACAGCGGCTTCCAGCAGGCGGAAAACGCCCGCAGGGATGGTCACTTCGTTAGGCGTGAGCCAGTCAAGAGCTACCACCCCATCGTGCGCGTGCATCCAGTCACGAAGCAGAAGGTCCTCTTTGTCAACCCTGGATTCACCCGGCGTATCGTCGGGCTGAAGGACGAGGAGTCGGATGCGATCTTACAGTTGCTATACAAGGTATGTTCGAAATGCTGTCCCTATATTCGTTGAATCATACTGATGTAGTCGCGCTGCAGCATATCGCTCAGAGCCAGGACATCCAGGCGCGCGTCAAGTGGGATGACCGGACGGTTGCCCTATGGGACAACCGCGTTACGGCGCACACGGCCATCTCGGACTACGATGTGAGCGATGAAGGCGAGGGCCTTCGCCAAGGGTTCCGCATCACGACCCTAGCAGAGGTGCCTGAGGGCGTGAACGGCCTCAGGTCCGAGTGGGACTAGGTCGTTGACGGCCAAGCTTGGACTGTTTCTCGCCGGAAGATACAGGTTGAATAAGACATGTCTGCACCTGGAAACGAAGCAGGCTTTTTGCCCAGGCGTCCTCGCGATAAGTTGGGTTTGATGATACTGAATCGAGATTGAACAATATGTGATTCTGGTGCCAGGATGAAGAACACTATTATGGCCCGAATCCGGTAGCCAAATGATTTCTCTTAGCACTGCCTCGTGGTGAGACTGAACAATCCAAGACGGTGCAAAATGCATCAAGCCATACTCTATGATTACCATATCACAGCCCTGGCTGCCACCTTCTCGCCGTTGTCGATCTTCCTCACGTTGATATTCCTCCACATAAATATGCAGGCGAAAGCCACCGGGACAAAGCATAGACCCATGATGACCATTTCTTCCTGAGCTGCCCAAATTGCTGTAACCACGGAGTCCCGTATCGGACTCCCAATCGGATATGTCTTTTCGTTCTCCGAAGAGCCGGTTATCGCCTCGGTGAAATTCCTGCTGTCGGCTGGGAGAGAATCTAGCAGGACCGGGGGCACAGCTCTCGCCCATATCGACCCAGAGATTCCAGAGCCGACGGCCGCTGCTATCGAGACGAACGTGCCCCAAATTCCCACGGAAAGAGCGACGTCTTTATGGTCGATGTTGGCCATGACTGCCATTTGACTGCATGCTATGAAGAATCTCAAGGAGTACCCAATGAACATCTGGAATATTACGAGCGCAGGGGCAGGAGCCTCTGGTCCGTGGAAGACCAGAAGAAAACCTGTGAAAACTCCCAGAATAGGAACGGCAACGAAGGCTGGGACTTTATAATTTCCAGTGTGACGAATCATGCTGGGTACCTGTTAGAAGCTCTGCGAAAACCATCATGGGATCATCAAGCTTGATGGAACAACTTACAATCCAAGAAGTGGAGCAACGAACGCGTAGGCGGCCAGATGGCTGCTTGTAATTAAGCCCACAATAGTAGTTGTTTCATCATGGACCACCTGAAGGTATGAGCTGTAATAGGAGCCCCAGCTCGCAGTGGATGCGACGGAGAACAAGCCCACCAAGCACCCGCCAAGTACGTTCCTGTCTCTCAACAGGGCCCCGGGAACCCAAGTGGCAGGAGCCAGGTCACTCTCCCAGACGAAAAGCCCGATCAGGCTACAAATTCCTCCGACGATCATGACGATGACGGTGCTGTTTGCCCAGCTGTCCTGAGCCCCAGGTGGGTGGGTTAGAGGGAGTAGCAAGAGGCAAAGTCCAGCAATAGCAAGGAAAACACCGGGCAGATCAAGCTCGACCGCGAATCGTCCCAGGCGATCACAGAGACTTGGTTTGCTTCCTAGCTTGGCTTCGCCACTCTCTTCGTCGGCCTCCCCGGAAGTGGACTGAGCATGAAAAAGTACAATACCAAGGGGAGGACAAACGACAGACAAGATGCCGGCAGAACCACTAAACGCCATGCGCCAGCCGAATCGAGAGTAAATTTGTTCTGCGATGGCTGGCGCCGCGAAGCTGGTGATAACAATAGGGGTCACGTAGATGCCGTAAATTAGGGCTATTCAGTAGGAAGTCAGCAAAAGTCTCTGCTGAAAGCAAAGAAGGACGCTGGTGCTTAGGTTTGCGTAGACGCCGTATCTTGGGGTTCTTTTCATTCTTGGGCATCTGGAACGACTTTGCAACGAGCATACTGCACAGGTCATTAAGGAAATTGGCGTACCTCTGTTTTTGAGCGAGGTCATGTCTGCTAGCACTATACTCAATACATAGTCCAGGCAGTTCCATCCAATGCCGAAGAGAACCTGCGCGACGATCGTTGTGACGAGGGATTGAGCCGCGGCCTGGATGATCAGACCCATGATCGAGAGCCCGGCCGCCATGAGAAACCCATGAGCACGACCGAATTCGTCAATGAACTTGGCCATGGGGAGCCTGAGAATGCCGCTCACGATGAGGACCACCATGGTCAGGACGGTTAGGATATTGTGCCCGGAGAAATGCGACATGACATATGAGTCCATGCTGAGCACGACTGCTCCCACGAGACAAAGGAGAAAGCTGACACCATAAATCCTGCGGACATATCAGCCTTTTGACAATCAAACCCGTGCATCAGGTAACCAGGCCTTACAGAGCGAACGTAGCCCACAATGCCCTCGTAGAAGTGAATACTATAACAGCCGGGGCTCTCTTGCGTTCTGCGTTTCTCTTCTCACTGTCGCCCTGAGGCGAGCTCGTTCGAGAAAGTTCGATCTCCTCCATGTTCGTTGAAGGATACAACTGGGACATGTTTTCGACCAATATGGCTGGATGTGAGTTTTGTGTTGACACACAAAAGATTGGAATCCAGGAAAAGATTCCGTGCTGAAGTCTTCAGGACGACCGTTTGGGACCTCAAAAAGGAGGCAGGAAGAAGCCGCGCGGGGAACATTTGAATCGGCCATACAGAACAGGTTGTTTTAAAACCAACCTCGCTCGGTCCCAACATTGATGCATGGAAGCAAGCTCTAGAGATAGCTATCAGCGGACTCGGACCGGCGCTGAGCTCGGGTCATTCGTATCAAGACCGTCTGTTGCAAGCGCAATTGATAGCAGCCTGTAGCATCTCCGGGTCTGTGTCATGACAACATCAGAATACTGATTACGATCGGAGTAGCAGGTCTGGATGGTGATTCGTGGGCAGCGATTGTGCCCACGCAGGTACACACAAACACTGCATGGTCAAGAATGAGATTGTACGGAGAAGTTCTGGTGCAGGCATCTCGATGACGCATGGGTCCTGTTGCCCCTTAGGCATTGTAGCTCGAGGCTACTGTCACCATGGGATCTTGGTGTTGCACCTAGCCATGTGGGCAGTGTGGAACAGAGCATGTTAGTGTTTTAGCAGTAGACGCGACTACCTATTGCTTGCTCGTGAGGCGGCAAGACGTCATTAACATTGAATCCGCAGGATTTGGGGTCCGCTTGTTATCGTATTCACCCAGCTTAACGCGTTGGGTGGCCCAAGCTCCGTGACCAATCTGCCTCCTTTCAATCAATGCGTGGTCTACCTCTCCCCTCTCGCCTTTCCAACCTCAACCTTTCCCGTTCCCAAACTCCTCCGTACCCGCACCATCCACAGCTGCCATGATCACTGCATCTGCTGCGACAAGTCCAGCGACAAAATACTGCATTGCACTCTTCCCGCAGTAAGCACCACAGAACGCCAGTGTGCCGTCGCCCCATCGCCAAGCTACAGGGTGGCCCCAGCCGAGCATCTGGGTCGAGCTCCTAGAACTCGACAGGCCGGAGCTCGACCGTCCCCTGGGCTTTGGGGCCAACGCTTTCCATCTACCTCTTCGCATTCTCATCAAGTCGAGGCCAGGAAGGACCGTGTCGCTGGCGGAGCTTCAAGTTCGGATTCGACGTCGTCTTGACTCGTCCAGTCGCTTGAGCTTCGGCAGTGGCGCCGTTATCTTCCTCCTCGTAGAGACCGAAGCCAGAGAGGACCGCGTTGCCGACACGAGACTGGGTTGCCATACTGGTGTCGCCACAGGACAGTTGCCAGATCCAGGGCTTGTGACTTCTGTACCTCCCTGTCCCTTGACTCTTGTCTACATTGAGCCTGGTCTCGGTTCGATCCTCTCTTCCTCAAAGCCACACCACATAACATCCTACATTCAATATTTAGACCCCGAGCTATCTCCCTGACGCGGAGTCGAGGCTGCTCCAAGCTACCATAGCTGACTCAAAGCCAGGGAGGGCGGGAATCCTGTGTGTGCTTGTGTCCTCTGACGCTCGTCTCACTCGGGGGGATCACTTCCAGTGAAGCGTGCCTTGCGGAGTCGACTAGAGCCTCGTGTTCGATACTCCTGCATCGTACCACCGTTGGATGGTCCGATACTTGCTAATGCGGGATTGTTTTCTTTAGTAGTACCAGTCATGGCGGCGGCGCTCCCTGCCCCTGTGAACATCCGAAGACATGTGATCGTCGACTCCCGAGAAAAAGATGCCCTCCATCCACAACACCTCGAACAAGGTTCTTGCGCCATCCACTCGTCCATGACCATATTCTTCGACCTGTGCTCCAATGCAGCGTTCTTCAAGCTCCAGTCGCCCGTCGTATTACTGGTTCCATCCTCCCAGACCGACCACTATGATACCGTGCGGTCCAACGTGCATCTGTGCATCCGCCCCGAACAAATTGTGTCGCTCGTGTATGACCGACAACAATTGCCGGAGAGACTGGCTCCACTATATAAGAAGATAGCAGGCCAAGAAACAATACGTCTACATTTCACTCTCTCCAAACCTGCCGAGTGGATCGTGCCAAACTTCCGAAGCCTAGTGCCGAAAACTCACGAGGATGCCCGTTTGCTAGGGGCATTCCAGCGGCTTGCCAAGGTACAGTCCATGGCAATTTACATGCCGAGCAACGCGATATCAGACGCAAAGGCCTCGTCCCTATGTGAGGCGGCGTCGACGAGCGGGCAACTGGATTCGAGTCCTCACCATGCCGATTTTCAACGCTGGTATTCAAGTCCAGGAGGGAAGGTTGTCCCCCCGGACGACATAGCGGATGCGGTCGCCGCAGACCGGCCAACTGAAAGCCCGCCTTCCTATGATGACCTCGGTCTCTCACCGCCAGACCCGCACGACGCTTCGGTGTCCCGAAAGAGGGCACGAACGAGCTCCGGGGGTCACGAGAAGCCACTTGATGTCCACAAGGCGGTTGTACCAATAGACAAAGCCGGGCAAATGGCTGATCGACTAAGAGACCTGGTGCTGCAAGCCGAGAAGAAGGAGGCTCTGCTCAAGGAAAGAATCGATGACGCAGACCAGAGGCTGGTCCGGCTGGCCGAGGCAACGGCCGAGGACAAGGAGTCCCAACTAGAGGGGCTTAAGCAATACGTAGATGATCGGCTTGAAGAGACGCGTCTAGAGATCCGCGAGTTCATAGATGAACGATTTGATGACATTGGTGTCGATGTTGTGCTCAAATCTGAGATGGAGGACTATGTTGATGAAGCGCTGAGGGCAGCGGAAGATGATCTCCAGGCGAGACTAAGCGGCAGTGGAGTTAGGGTCATTCTTGATGATTGAATGAGCATTGATGCCCTCTATACTGATATTCTCGGCGTTGTCTTGTGCTCCGTGCCTTCCCTCGTGTCCATCCCTTGTGTTCAGGTGGTCGGTTATGGTGTTGCTACGTGGAGGGATGCCCCACGCGGCTGCTGAATGTATCTGAACGTCGACCATGAATGGAATAGCTTCCACCACACTAGTCGACTCTGAGCTGATTCTAGAGCCGGTTTATAGCATATCACCGGCAGACTGGTTATTCTTTCCAGAATCATGGGACAATTTTGGCCTAAGATGTATATTCTGCAAGGCTCATGTGAGGGAGGAGAACCAATGAAGAGGGCAAGTGGTCAAAGAATACATTATCAAGAGCACTCAAGGAACAAGGTATTATGTAGTGAACGTCCTGGACAGAACAAGGCTCCTGTCTTAAGCTCCTACAATGAAGTCTGCCCTTCTAACTTCAAACGCTTCCTAACCCATCCGTATAGGGACGCGAAGGTTGCACTCTCAGGCTGTTTCCCAAACGCAGCCTGGCCGCTTGGTCTGGGATTCCTTTTAACCTCCTATACTACGCCTCACTTTCAACTAGACGATTTCAGCCGCGTTCGTTTGTGTTTCCGGAAGAGTGATCTCCCGATGTTAGAGTGAATAATCCACTCTGGCTGGCGGTGATCAGTTGGGTCCAGTGTTCTCGACACACTGAGCACCATATCCACAGCTAATGTCGAGTTATGCACGGTGGTAGATGAACCGATTTCCTCGGCCGAGTGTCCGGCCCATGAAAACATGAGCCCCTTTCAGTAGCGAGCACAGTCAGGAGGAGATTTGTCTCCGGCTAATCGGTGATAGCTGGCTGGATACACTGGAGCCTTGGATTTACCCTGTGTGGATTTCGGAGAGGCTTGGCCCAAGACGTTTAGCTCAGGTGGTTCTGATTGAAGGCCGAGTGGGTACTTCGTAGTTGAAGACGACGGTCCAGCCCGTCCATGAATCAATGGCGTGCAACTCGTTTGGAGAGACCGGGAGCCCCCAGTTAATCCTCGACCCATGCCGGACCATGCTGTACCCTTTTGGACAAGTACGGGAACCCAATGTCCGTTAAGAAGCCAAGAATGGTATAGAGGGCATCTGAAACAATCCGCTCGGGAGAGCTTGACTCGGGAAAGCAATTGACTTTTTTGCCTCTCTTCGTTGATGCAGTATGGTTCCCGACTGTTGAACAAGCTCAATGCGAGCCTTGGACGAAGATTTACAAGTGCCGGAGCTAGCTGTTAATCGGCAGTCGGTCGACCGTGGCATGCAAGACATATTGCTGTCCTTAACTAGCGGCGGACCGAGTGGAATCATTTTCATCGCTTACTGCTTTCTGAAGAACGATGGTGGGCTTTCGGGTGGATGTTTCGAGGAGTGGCCCCCACAAAAACGGCCTTAACTCTACTCCTTAACTTTAAATGGGCGTCAGTTTCAAACAATTCGTTCTCCGCTCTACATGTTTAGCGGCACTGCCGATTTTCCGGACACGACCAAAACTGGCAGGAAGGTAACCAATGGGTGAGCCGAGGTCAGGCGGAGGGTGCCCGTCACCGCAGCTTGACATTTCGGCACATTTTCTCATTGGTGGATGAGGTGAAGTCCCCGATCAGGGGAAGGCCACTTCCTTGCTCTTCCAGAACGACAGGCCTTGTCCGTGGGCCCACGATCGTAAACAATTATCTTTTGAGGCAGGCCAGCTGAGAAGATAAAATGCCTTGTGCCCTGCATTCCCCCGGTGTCGTTGAAGGTTGCTTTCATCATCATTCATTCCCTGCCTGAGTTCAAAGCAAGATACACATTCACTCATTAAACGTCACTCATTAATCTTCCAGTCATAATGCATTACTCAGGACTCTTCCAGTCGGCCGTTGCCGCCGCCATGGTCGGCACGTCTCTCGCTGACAGCTGGGGCGGCTCCGTCTCCCTTGGCCCAACTACCTCTACCATCATCAAGGCTGTCACAACCCTCATCCCTGGCGCAGCTCCTTCCACCCAGAACGGCGTCCTGTTCCTGTGGCCCGGCATGTCCAACGGCACCGGCGACCTCGTCCAGACGACGCTCGAGTCGTGGGCCGACAACTCGTGGTGCGGCGCCGGCAAGGGCGAGTGGTGCGTGCGCGCCTCCCTCTTCGGCTCCTTCGGCCAGCTCGACGGCAACGCGAGCCCCGTGTCCGCGGACCAGAAGGTCAAGATCGTCTACGAGCTGCTCGAGGACAACGACACGTGGCGCCAGACCGTCACCGACGCCGACACCGGCAAGGAGCTCAGCTCGTTCGAGCACAAGTCGGGCCCCTTCATGCGCGGCTACGGCACCGGCACCGAGTGCAACAACAACTGCAGCCCCACCGTGGCTGAGCAGAGGTACATCGACACCGAGATCACCCTCGCCGGGGCGGATGCTGCATTTGGCAAGACCATCGCCACCGCGCAGAAGGCTACCTACTCGGGCCTGTCCAACAGCCAGAACGGCAAGGTCTGGACTATCAAGGAGATCGTTGTGCCCAAGATGGTCTAAATACCGTTCGCTGCTGGGAATCCACATGGCACATACGTTAGGGCGGTAAAATTCATTGCATATATAAATGCATAAGCAATTGCAAATAAGAATCATTACATCTGCACCATGGACTGCCATGGGAGTCATACTTCCATCAAACGTGATCTCGATGTCATTGCTAAAGACATAGTTTTGAAGTCATACTTGTGCCTTTCAAACGGCAATAGCACCTTCGAGGCATGAATACCATACAAAAAAGGCCCAGTTGTCGTGAAAATCGAAGAAACTGCAAAATGTAGAAGTGCCAGGGTTGCAATTCTTTCTCCCGAAATTTCCATGCGATTTGAGAAATTGGATACTTTCATGGTGCGAGTGCATGTGTTGTTACTGAACTACTTAATCATTCAACGGTCTACGATACGAGAAGATTTCTTAGAATGAAAAACCCCGGGTACAGCTTCAGTGGTCGCCAGCTTCTAACGCGCCGCAAATAACGGCGCCAGCACAGTATTTTCAAACCACCTTTTGTCCTTTTGCCATCCTTTCAGAACGAAGTCCCTCCCGAGAGCCAACGCGGACAGGACTTTCTCCATGGGATCCGAGAAAGGGACATTTGGGTTGCGCCTTATGTGCCAGCAGATTAAGTGGACACCCGCGTGGATGGCAGTCCGAAAAGCCATCTCATCACTGATTTGTCCGTAGCCATCGGCCAATCCTTCCATGGCCGGAACTATGGCGTCGTTATCCTTGAAATGCTTCCGTTCGTACAGGTCAGCCAACATCCCACCGACGTCAATGGCCCGGTGGCCGAACTGAACCAGCTCCCAGTCAATGACGAAAAGATGGTTGGGCTCTTGCACTGGGTGATGGTCCTCTTTCCATTTGGCATTCGGAAGCAGCACACTGATACGTGTCATCAGTCTTCGTTCGGGATTCTCGCTTGATTCTTCAACTTACTTGCCCGTCCAAAAGTCCCCATGTATGAGTCCCCAGCTTCCGTCGTCACCCTTTGGTGGCTGGTCAAGCTCGAACTCTGCGGCCATTGCATCCTGTACGCCTTTCAATTTCTCCGCATGCCCTTCCACGAGCTCAGGATAGATCTCAAGTATTCCAACAAAGCTATCATAGGTGACTTTGCGTTTCAACTTTCGCGCCTCGGAGTTCCGCCCGATAGTCTCTCGGAGAGGAGCCTGCCCGGGCTCTGACGTCCACTCATGAAAGGAGCGAAGCCAGGACCCTACATCGCGGGCCACAGAGGCTGGGCTGGTGCCCGGCAGAGCTCCGTTGACCTCGGTGGAGGTAAATATCGTCTTGAGATCTGTGGTATTGGAACAATCTTCCAGAACCTGCGTATTTGTTTTACGGTCAAATAAGTAAAGACGTGGTGACCTTACCACCGTGTTTGCGGTAGCGGGGTTCCATGAGAAGTTTGTGAGTCCATGGAGCATCGACGCTTCAAAATTCTGGTAGAATACAGGAGGTTTAGAACATGTGCTAACACAACGAGGAGATTACAGATGGTGTGGAAGGGGGGGGGGGTCGTTACACAGCGCGAAACGTCGAGCAAGAAATCTCAATTGCCCGGTGAAAAGCCCTCAGAATGTTTGACTACTACCGTCTTGGTGTCTGGTTCCATCGCTCCATCGTGCGGATCCAGAGGCTGAAGCAGGTTGCCGCGGTAAAGGAAGTTTGCAGTCCCGCCATTCAGCTTGGTGAGACCAGAGCAGGCATATCGCGTCTGCGACAGCTCCTTCAGGAGTGCTTGAATCATTAATTGTTCATCCGCCATTGCGCCCTGACTAGGTAATATGGTGAGAAATTGAGGATGGAATTTTCGAGCCTACTTTTGAAAAGAAACTGTGACTCATCGGCGGTGAGGCGGGGTTTTTGGGACTGAGGAGTTGACAAGATTGCACCATCAGATATTCATCAGACTGCTAGTCTGAATGGACCGATGGCAAGGGACAAATTTGGATGTATGCTTATCATCCATGTCTCTTGTGGTCAGAAACGATCTTATGCCTATTGCGATATCCTTACTCCGGTTCACGGCCCTGATTTCATTGTTAATGAACTGATACCCAGACTCCAGTTGCTAGAAGACTAAACTTGATCTGGGCTCTTGTCTTTGCCTGTACAAGTCCTTACCCGAGTGAGGCCAAACTTCGGCCGTTGCCGATTGTATTAGTTAACATGCCTAGTTCCCCTTGAACTGCTTCTCTTTTGATACAAAGCAGTGCCCGCTACACTACTGCCTTCGGCCAATTGCACATGTCTACGAACCCTCGCCTGACAATCCTGGATTAGCATCGACCTCTCTTCTGCAAGCTGATTGTTACACAACAGTGATTAGCCTGACAAAGTCTGTCAGCCGCGATTTATTCCCCGCTTGCTTACGTTTCCATCCTGCATGTATTTCATTCATCCTTTCTCCTCACCTGTCTACAATAGAGGCAGATCCACTTCTAGTCGACAACGACCAAACTCAGATGTCATGGCAACAGAATCACCACGAAATCTCGCCGAACCGAACGGAGGAAATCTGTGCGCTACGTGTTCTGTGATCCCGTTTAACGACGAAATGCTCGCGTCATTTATCGTAACACAAGACATCAGGGAGCCATGCTGGGACATTGACGCCGCAGCTGGGTTTCACCCTCGCAATTACCCGTACGCTGACTTGTACGGTGACGCAGTTGGCAGGTTCCCACTCGATTACAGGGTCGTTGACTTTCTACCAACTTTGCCGCGCTTGGAGCAAAATGAACTTCGAGGCTGCGGCTTCTGTTCAATTTTGCGGCTCGAGATCCTCCGGGCCAAATTCGATTATACTGGCTTTGTTGAGATTACTCTGGCATATCGTTCAGGGTGGCCCGACTTTCCAAACCTTGGGCTAGCAGCTTTAGTGGCCGAACTGACCTGGCGCCCTGATATTCCAAGCACACCACCCGCCTCTCCCATACCCGATATACTTCGCGACTGTGTGATCTTTGCTCTTGAAAGCGATAGCGGTTAGTCCCCCAGAAGAGCTCGACGAAAATGGTGAATCCATTTCGCTAATCTCACCACGTAATTGTATAGCAGATATAGCTTCATGGCTCAGGATCCCCCGCCTTCGGAAAGCAGATCCACTATGTGAAGAAAGCATCCAGTTTATGGCCGACGCACTGGCCGACTGTGTCCAAAATTGCGACCACTACACAGCGACTGACTTCCTCCCAACTCGCCTTCTCGATCTGGGGCCTCAGACAAGTCTCGATTTCATCCGCTTGATTGATTCATCTCAAATTATTCGGAGGGATGAAAACGATAACCCAAGATACGCCGCCCTGAGTTACTGTTGGGGCTCACCACTTGCGACTGGCGGTGTAGAGCAGGTGCGCGCTGAACTAGGCTCTATGGAGTCTATGAGACGGCATGTGCCTAAGCAACGTGTTTCTCAAGTCATATTGGATGCATTCAAAGTTTGCAAAGTTCTATCAATTCGTTATCTATGGGTCGATTCGCTATGCATTATCCAGGACGAGATTTCGGACTGGGAGAGAGAAAGTGCGTCTATGACACTGATTTACAGCAATGCGTTTGTCACGATTTGCACCCCATCATCCACTGCCAGCAACGAGGGTTTCCTGGTACGGCATCGCAGACACGTCTCAGTCCCCTTCCAATCACGGGTAGCACCGGATATCAACGGTCATTACAACCTAGTGGCATCTGGATTTTGTCGCGAAAAGGCGCTCTATGGCTGGCCCCTCTTGGATGTTTTCCGAACCTCATGGGCAAGCCGAGGATGGACCTTGCAGGAGTCTGAGATGTCCAACCGACTCTTAATCTTCGGTAAATCAATGATCCATTTCCAATGCCGTCATATTGTCTCCGAGAACGGATATCGGCAAGAAAATGCTATTCCCCGCATGGCTAAGGCGTTGGATGACGCTCATTCAGAATTCGGGAACACTCAATGGCAATATATTTTGAGTTCTTATGGTGTCAGACTCTTCACATACGTTGAGGATAAACTACCTGGGATTTCTGGAATGGCCAAGTATCTTGCCGATAAAAATGGTGATGAATATCTTGCTGGCCTATGGAAAACCGAATTGCCATCCTCGTTGGTTTGGTATGCGCACGTGCATCCTATCGAGAACACGAAGTACCACATTGAGCTTCCGGGCCTGCTTGCCATGTTACGCTCACCATCACCCTACATTGCGCCATCGTGGAGTCCGATTAGACTGGATGTCGGAGTCGAAGCAGGAACATATCCAGTATTTTGTTCTGAGATGTCCGCGGAGAGTACAGTGGGCGATGCAACTGTCATTTCCGTTGGAAAGAATCCTTTCGGTCGAGTACAACATGGACGCATTCGCATCCAGGGTAAGATCACGCCGGTCTTGTCTGATCTTGCTATGCTTCAGTGTTACAAGGCTTCCTTCCTGTGGTGTAATTGGGACAGAGAAGCTGTCACATACTACCAGCTCGATTGGGTTCCTGCTGGGGAAATATGCGATCGAGGGAAATTAGTAATGTTACTTATTGCAAGTACGAAGTCGAGCCAATCATCCCATACTTCTTACCACAGAGGACTCCATACTTCTTACCACAGAGGATCGCTCGAAGCAGCACACCACTGTTGTATAAATCGTCCCGACGATTCTACCGAGTCGAGTTGTGCAATCTCAGAGAGCCAAGCAGATCGGCAAGGCGACGAAGCTGAAATCGAGAGCGGCTCATTGTTGTCGACAAGATTGGCAGTTGCGCAGAGCTCGGAGGAAGTTGACCCGGAAGCACAAAGACAGACCGGTCTCGACGGAGAAGAAAAAGTGATTCAAAGCGAACTAGACGCCAACGGATTTCGCGCCGGTTCTGAGGAAGTGTCATGGACCTCACGCATTAACAACAGGGACGCTTGTGGCCTCCTCATCCACCATCTCTCAGGAACCGATACTTATGTGCGGGTAGGCGTGTGGACATCTATGGTACAAGATGGCGGTGGAACTGCGCTCTTTGAGGACATGGATGTACAGGAGATTGACATTGTATAGCGTCCGCTCCCGAGTAACTTCGCGCCGCACGCGGGCTTCTGCGAGGCGCCTCAATCACCGCGTCCTCTTCTGCAGCCTGCTGAGCGAGAGACCGACGTTTGAGGCAACAGTGTTGGTTTGTTTTTTATCAACCAGACATGTAGCAATGTATTTCTAATTCTTTCAAAGCCATGGTGCTCTCCACAACACATTGGATAGGGTAATCTACGTATTCAGAAGGTAGATCATGTGACATTAGGTGGTTTTCAGCTATGTAAGAGACTTGGATATCTTGGAGTGTGAACCACTTAAAAGCTAGGGAAATGGTTCAGCTTAGAAATGGGAGAGTGGTTACCACCCGCCGCTAGGTGGGATTACTCGGGGATTCATAATTGAACCATGCAACCATCATTCACATGCAGGTAGATTGACAAGAAGTACAAAGCGTCAAGATATGGGCGGGGTGTAGGTTGATCAAAGCTGGGTTGCGACCAAATCAGTTGGGACGTGTCGGAAGCTAAGTGAGGGAAGACTACATATGTGGACTATTTATAAATACTATAAGAAAACGGAGATTCGTACAGACTAAAACGGAGTTTGCACAGATACCTCACCAGCGCCAAAGCTGCAGCATCTCACCCAATTGGCATGCCTACACCTAATTCACACGTTTAATTTGCACACCTAACCAGCCTTAAGCGTGTGACTTGATCTTAGGCGTGTGAATTAGCTTTAGGTATGTGAATTAGCTTAGGTATATGAATTAAGTATGTAAATTAGGTATGGATGTTAAGTATGGGTGTTGAGTGTGGGTGTTGAGTGTGGGTGTTGAGTGTGGGTACTAGGTGTGGGTGTGTAATTTGCTATTTGGTGTACTAGGGGTATTACATATCTGTGTACCCTTTTATTTAGTCTGTACGAATCTCCGTTTTCTACTATAACGTGGGTAGAAAACCGAAAACTCCCCCGAATCAGCAAGCCCAGTATTTTGGTAGGACCGATATTTAGATATGTAAGTGGTGTTGGATCGATGCACGGTTAATGATTCTGCCAGGCTTGGCCAGCTGAAAAGCGGTTTAGCACATGCACAATTGACTCGAAGCGAACCACTGGCCGATGTCTACCGTCGTATTTTGCCCCGTCAAGCGTGCGACGGTCCACAGCTTTCCCGTAATTTTTCCCACATATCTGTGACGGTAATTGATGGGCTGAAAAGACCCGAAATCATAGAAGAAGAAAAAAAGGGCGAGCACCAGACAGGATCAATCAGGCAATGCTATCACAGAGATTTCTACGCTCTTGGCTTCGCTAGACGAGTGACAGCACAGCGTGATATGGAGCAGAGTAACTAAACCATCTGTACCAGTACAAAGTTTTTATACTTTAGGTCTGCATCGCTGAAACGCCACACCGTCCCTCCCCCTTACTGAAAGACAGCATGCATGTGCAAGGGTCGTGTTTGGGAAGCGTCCGGGGTGGCGCCCCACGCCTATCAACAGGCGCGTTCACGGCGGCTGTCTTATACAGAGTGGAATGTCTCCTAGATTTGGCTCTCGAGATGCATCCCTCCTCCATTTCCTCAACGCAGAGGGCTGGAAACCTCTATAACTTCTCAAGTCTCAGCCACTATCTTCCTCGTACAGTTGTCAGGCTGTGCAGTGTCTTCACAACTAGACTGTCCGGCACCGCAGGATCCCTTTGTTTTCACAAGATCCTACGACGCAATACAACATGGAGGATCACAAGGTAGCTATTTCCCTATAGAGAGCAATACAGCTTCAAGCTAATGCGTGACTATCTACCAGCCGTCCCGTGTTCACCGTTTTTTCTCGGGATTGTTTCATTGCCGTTCTCGCTCACAGTCGCCAAAGCCCCAAGAGCACAAGCAGGTCGATTTCGATGCCATTCATAAGGAGGACCAGGACGCGTTCCACAAAGATAGACGCTCACTGCACTCCGCCACATCCGCACATCAGCTTGACTCCTCGCAGCCCCCGCGACCTTTGCCGGTCGAAAATCACGAAAGGACTGAAACGGAGTCTCCTGGTGCCTCAGATAGTCCTGATGCACAGTCTGACAAGCCCGATACCACCAGACCTCCAGACCATGCGCTTACGCTGAGACGCTCCCCTGAGGCTAAGGTCTCGGGCACCGCGTATGACGAGGCTTGGTCGCGGCTGAGTGAGGACGAGAGGGCGAATTTGTCCAACGAGACCTCGATCAAAACCCTGTTCGAAGAGCTGGACGAGACTGACCAGCAGCACCAGTCAAGCTCCTGGCTCAAGAGGGGCAAGATGGCCGCCGGCCTGCAGTACGTGAGCAACATCTGCAGCTACATCAACCTCGTAGCCACTTGGATCCCATTGCCGGAGCTCGGTGCTGTATTGGGTCTCTTCAAGGGAATCGTTGCGGTATGTCATTGACACACTGGCTGACTTGTTGATAAATGCGATTTAGCTAATCACGCGCGAGCGACATAGATAGCCGTAAGTCTATGTGGCGCCTATGATGGTCTGACAGGACACATTCGCGAGTTTCTGAACCACATACCGGTGATTGAACGGTGCAACACAGTGCTCTGGTCAAACAGTGATTCCTCTGAAATACACAACGTAAGTCAGCTCGCATCTCGCCCTGCTGGCTATTTCACGAGACTTGAGCTGATGATCGACAAGATCCTAGTGGCGTGCTATTCGACCCTGCTCTCTTTCTATAGTAAGGTTATGGCATTTTTACGGGAAGAGAGTCGTATCAAACGACTTCTAGAGACTTTTCACTCCGAAATCCCGGACATGGTGACCACATTCAACGGCCACGCCGACAGATTATCTAATATGATGGAAGCTGAGACTCTTGTGACGGTGAAAAAGATCTTGGATCAGCAGACTGAAGACTTCGGTGCGTATCCCACTTGCGTCGATCATAGCGGGAATCTTCGCAAAGCAAATAACCCCTAGCCCACCATTCACTTACTCATACTGTCTCCTAGTCAATGACAACTTGTACAAGCAACACCACATCGGAAACCACAATGTCGACGAAGACGGCATTTCGGATGAAGCCTGTCGTTGGATCATCTCCGAAGATAGCTTCGAAGACTGGGCATACGGGCCTCATGGTGTCTTAACCATGTATGGAGTCGTGGGCTGCGGCAAAACAGTCATGGCCGCTTTCGTTACAAAGTATCTACGTGAAGAAGCGAGAGCACCCGTCCTGGCCTATCACTGCACGCAGCAGGAAGACGACGAGTTCCGATACATCCTCTGCAGCTTGACGTACCAGCTGCTACAGACCAAGAGGGAGCTGAAAGAGAAGTTCAAGGATTGGTCCGAGCAACGTCAGGCTACTACCCTAGACAAGCCGTCCAACAAACCCGCCGTCTTAGCCGAGTTCCTCTGTAGTTGCCTGCAGGATTCCAAAGAGCAGGTCTTCATCGTACTCGACGGATTGGATGAGTGCGACGAGGATGCCAGGAGCGACGTCCTCGTTTTGTTCAGAAACCTCATCAACAACGGCGCCCTGGTCAAGGTATTCGTGTCTTCACGGCAGCGAGACGACATCCTGCAGACTTTGACTAGCTCCGAGACGACAGAAGATGAGCCCGCGATCAAGAAAGTCCGCCAGATACCCCTCTTCCACATTGACATGAACCCCACTGAGGAGCGCGACCACATCCTAGCCAGGCACCTAGGAGACAAGCCCCTGCGACAGATCAAAGACAGCAAGGTGCGGGACAGGGCCATTGAGCAGCTAGCAAAGCGCGCCGGGGGCTCCGCCATCTGGCTCCAGATGGCGATGGCCTCGCTGGCCGGCGCCAAGAACGAGAGCCGCATCGAGAAGTGTCTGGAATTCCTCGAAACAGACCCGAAGCTCGTTGACATGTACGAAAATCTCTTCAAGGACGCCGAGTCTGCCACATGCAACGACCGGGAGATCCTGGAGCGAGCCCTGGAGACCCTCGCCGTTGCCCGGAGGGCTATGACCGTTGACGAGCTCGCGAGGGCGGCGCACTTGGACGATGACGAAAGTGCGGAGAGCCTGGTTCTTCTCAATGAGGCGGCGGAGGAGATCGACTTTCTGAGTCTCATCCGCCCATTCGTGGCAACGTTGGAGTCTTTCGTGGATGGGAAAGGGTTGGCGGTGCGTTTGGTGCACCAGTCACTGCTGGAACTGCTTCTCACAGCCCGGCCGTCCGAATGGGATGAGATGGCAGCCACTAAGGAGCACAAAAGAGTTACAGACAAGGAGAAGGAGAATCGCAGACGCAAGCTGAACGAGCAGCTTATGAGCAGGTGTGTCAAGTATCTCCTCTTGCGCGATCTGGAGGACACGCCGTCCGACAGGGATGCAGACAGGATTCCGGACACTGCTGCAGAAGACGAGGAGCCATGGGATGGGTTTGGCTTCGTTGAAATGTTCGCGGAGCCCGTGACCCAAATGAGGACACAAACCCGGGCTCAGATCTCGCATCTTCACTTCTATGAATACGCCGCCTCACATTGGGTCAGCCATTTTGCCGCCTGCGAGAAAGATGCTGCGGACGACCTGAGAGAGAAAGCAATGTCCCTTCTTGACGTTACCGGCAGCGGGTGCACCGACTGGGTGTCCTTTGTCCGAACCGAAAAGGAGGCCGAAGGGGAATTATTTCCAAGTTCCTCCGAGCCTGCCACCTTGGCAGCGCATTTTGGTCTTGAAGAGACCTCGCCGGCATCCTCGCCGGGCCCGGTACAGTCTCTCGGCAGGCCAAGGACGAGGCGCTCTTCTGGGCATCTCGTGGAGGCCGCGAACGCATTGTCAGGCTGCTCCTCGAGAACGACGCCGATCCCAACCAGCACCACCTCGCCGACCTACACACGGCCCTGATAACTGCTGCACACCGCGGGCACCTCGGCTGCGTCCAGACCTTGCTCGCGGACTCGCGGACAGACGTCAACGCGCAGGGCAGCAGGAACCGCACGGCGCTCATGTTGGCCGCCAGCGGCGGCCACGAGAAGATCTGCGCGGCCCTCGTGCAGCATGAGGCCTGCAGGCCGGACGACACAGACTGGAAGAGGATGACGGCGCTCTTCTATGCGGTCGGCGTCGAGAATGTTCCCATCATCAAAGCCCTAACGGGGCTCCATGGTGTCAATGTCAACCATCAAGACAGCGCGGGCCGCACGCCGCTCTGCCGCTCGGCCGAGACCGGGACGACTGCCTCCCTCAAGCAGCTTGTTGGCACGGAGGGTGTCGATGTCAACCTGCCAGACAATCAGGGAAGGTCGCCGCTCATGTGGGCCGCCTTCAAGGGAAACGCTGCATCCGTTGACGCGCTGTTGCGGCATGCGGAGATCGAGAAAGCCGCAGTTCAGCTCAAAGACAGGAAGAATGCGATACATTTCGCATGTGAGGGAGGCGCGCACGAGGTGCTGCTTTGCCTCCTGAACCACGACTGTCCCGGGATTGACGACCTCGATGTGGACGGCTGGACCCCGTTGATGTGGTCTGTTCAGAACGGCCCAGCGTGTGTCTCAACTCTCCTCGCGACGGGCCTGGTCGCTGTCGAGCGCCGTGATAACGAGGGCAAGACTGCGCTGTCCCTGGCGGTGCAGTGGGGCCACTCGGTAGAGGTCATCAGAGTCCTGCTCCATTACGGCGCTGATCCGGAGACGACGGATAATAACGAGCTGACGCCGCTCAACGTGGCGATGAGGAGGGGGCTTCCCGTGGACTTTAGGATGGCGGACGAACTCTCGTCCTGGATCAACAGGAAGCGAAGCGAACACAACCCCGTTGTTCAGGACACTTGATACTTACCTGGCAAGAACGGCACCAGGTAGCAGAGACGTAACAGCGGAGGGGAGTAACTTCATTTGACTTCGAGAGCAAAATTTATTTTAGGACCTGCATCAGTGTCTTTATCCAAACCAGTGTTGATGTGACATGGTATCCGTCGATCCATGGAGATGCCTTGGCGGATCGAGCGTGTTGTCGCCCGCCCCTTTCCCCGGCTCTGATTCCGGATCAAGGGTTGCTTTCGCAGAGTTGGGAGTTGGCCCCGGCCACGCCCAGGGATAGGAATGAGGATTCCTGCAGCCAACGTCCAACAGAAACACTAAAGACTGTGCGCGTTGGTGGTCCACTTGGCCTTCTGCTCCGCTCCCGTACCACGTGCAAAATATAATTGTGTGATGCACGCACTTTCTCTTCAAGTGAGGTGACAGATTCTGTCCTCTTGAAATTCCTGGATACTCTGTTTTGCTTCCATCCATTTACCAACGCAGTCCACTGGCTTCCAATCAAGCTGGCCGCCAATACAAATTGCCTCGTAACAGATACCTCATCGTCACTGTAAATATCCTTCGTCCACATCTCTACAATGTCTAGCCAGAAAGCGAGACTGCTTCCGCAACAAGAGACAGAGAATGGTCCTGTTACGCGCGCGTAAATTTTCTGATGTCTTGATCCACATCTCATTCGCGCCCAGACCCAAGTCGCTAAGATTTTTCATGCAGCCTTGAGGGCGCCATCACCACGCGTGCTCTGCCTGCACATGAAATCCCACAAGGTCGCGATCATATGTTTGAATGCGTCTTTGAACTTGACCACCCTCGCTTCGTGCAATTGGAGGGTCAAAAGCCACCGATGCATTTCCACTCTTCTCAACGGGAATTCATGCAGGTGCTCGAAGGTCGGCTGTGTTATGAAGTTGAGGGCCAGGAATTTGTGTTGACGCCAGAAGATGGTGAAGTCTGTATCGAGCCGTGGACGCGCCACCGACTTCTGCCGACACCCCCAACGGACGGCCCTTCAGGGAGACGCACTGTTTGCACACTCTCTAGCTTATTCGGATCAGGTATTTAAGCTAGACTATATTTTCTACGAGAACTGGTATTCATACCAGGAGGAATTCATCATCCATGGCGGAAGTCTCAGTCTTCTTCAAATCCTAATTGTAAGCACCAAATGGCATCATCAAGTTTCTTCTTCAGATATGAGGCTGACTGACTGCATCTGTAGATGTTCGATGCGGGTGGATCTTATCTTTCTCTGCCAAGGTGGATTCCTTTTGGGAAGCAGATTTCCTACCATGTGCTAGGCATCGGTATGGGGAGGTATCTAGCCGCGGCTTTGGGATATCAACCATATTACCGAGCATGGACAACCAACTGGGACGAGGCGTGTCGGAAGATGGAGACCACTTTGTTTCAACGGCGGTTTGCCAAGAAGGAGTGAGAAGGCTCCGTCTCCTGTTTCTCGCTTTATCGGCAATTCGTACAAGGTAAATAAGAAACTAAAACCACCTGCGACTTGGCAATGAGATGGGGTCCATGATAACGTGGAAAATTTACCTTTGCGGCCTGCGGCGTGACATGCGTCCTCAAAGCCATGTACACGAATACTAGGTTATTTTCACGCTCCGTCCATCGGACCTACTCACGATGCCGAGGCACTTTGCAATCACATTGACGAAGAGTCTTGATACAGCAAGTCATGGTCTTTGTTCCGTCCCATTATTATTTTTGGCATCTAAAGAACGATGCTAGATAATGTCCCTTGGAGTAAATCCTACATGTCTGGTATCCCACTGGCAACGCTCACTTCGGCCCTCAGGCACGGAAGGAGGATGAGCTAACGTGAACCTCGGTCTTCCGCATGATACCCTTACGACTCGAGTCGTCGTCATCCACCTCCATCCCCGGGGCAACCGAGTTAGTACGTTTAGCCGACGCGTGGTAGCCCTGGTTGTGCCCGCTCATCGAACTCAATTTGATACCCGGGCCAGAGCCTCCGAGAACGTTCTCGCTCTGCCATGAGAAGTCAGTATAAAGTCTTGGAAAATGCGATCATTGAATTCTCAGATGAATTCCGTCCCATCCCAACTTATTTGCCCCCCCCCCCCGGCGGGACCGATAATCGTGACGAGTTTGTGGAGAGAAAATAAGTTGGTTGACTGACCTCTTCGGGATATTTGTAATTGCCGTCTTGTGAAGAACCGTAGTAGAACTTGAACAGCTTGCGCAGAGGTGGAAGGGAACACCCAATTATACCAAGGCCGCACTCAATGTTCGATGTGATGTTGACGACTCCAAGGTGATCTCAAATTGTGTCGTCTTGATCAGCGCTGAAGACCCAACAGTATCATGACTGAGCTGTGGTTGTCACACTTACATGCTATCTCAGTCGGGTACTTTTCAGTGTCGTAATACTTCAAATACGGCATGCGGACGCACGTCGCAACGCTTGCGAATATTCCAAGGCCCAGAATGCAGATGACGGATACTTTCTTGCGACGCGACATCTGTAGTCCAGCAACTATGATGAATGGAATGGCAGCGCATACCCAGTCGGTTGCCATTTGGATTGCAGAGACAATGTAACTGACTGTCTGCAGGCTGATAGTTTTTTGGCACGTTCCTCTGGTGGTAGGGAGTGTTAGTTGAAAGCTTCGTTCAGCGGATGATACTTGAGGAGACGCGAACTGACAGTGACGGATTCCAAGTCGCCGCAAGAGGCGTGCAATTAACGAACACGAATACTAAGGCGAGTATTGCGACGACAACCATGATGGTCATGTTGATGGATATTGGGACAACTATCCGTTTCGCCAGTCCAGTCGAATGCAGGTAAAGCCAATTGCACATTTGATGATCGTGGAAGAAATGAAATATAGAACCTCCCAGTAGATCTCGTATTCGGTTGCGCGAATCAGATAGAGCTGAGATGGGAGGTCGACATCGTGTGACCCGACGCCATAGCGAGCCGCATATACAGCGAAGACGACGGATGGCAGGAATGGAAGCTATTGCACACGTGGTCAGTTACCATTGACATCTCATCAGCAATATAGACCGATGGATGTCCGACGACTTGACCAAACCTCGCAGGAAAACTTACAGTTCCAACCACGGCCAGGTAGTCTTCAACACCCCATATTCTCGTCGATGCTCCTGATAAGCCAGCTCGAACATAGACTCGAAAAGACACGACGAGGACACAGACAACACCCAGTAAAATGGCAACAACCTCAACGGCGCGACCGAGGCCAGTTGGGTTGAGCGGTTCGAGCTCGTTGACTAGAGCCTGTATCTGCTCGCCAGACATAGAAGCTGCCATTCTGACGTTAGGTCTCCCGGAATTCGACCCGGGAGATGTCTGCCTCTGGCGCAGCCAGGAGACAACTCCGAGGATGTTGACGTTTGTCGGGTGCTGATATGCCAATATTAATAGGGAGAACGGAGGGACTTGTCGAAGACGAAAAATCAGGTTATTGTACCTGATTTTGTCAACCAGTGCATGTGGCAATATATCTCACTGCCCTTTAGATCTGCTTCCCTGCCCCCTTCCTTTTCAGTTGGTTCTGAATTACCCTCTCCCCCTTGTCCCAACTGGTCATCTTGGGCAAGGGTACAAGGTTTTTTGGAAATGTCCCCACAGCCCAAGCCTCGTGTAAAATATCCATGGCACTTTAGTGGTGGTTCCAAATTCAGACAAGTCCCTTCGAGTCAGGCACATCCCGGAGCGTTCGTCGATCCAGCAACTAATAAACTTCCCCGGCTGAGACGGCCCGTGGGTCAATCATATCGACAAGCGAGGGTGTCGTCTCCATACCGGATGGCTCGCTAGCTTTCCGTTGTTGACTCGTGAACGCCACGCACAAGGAGCCCGCCCCGCGACTAGTGTATGATGGCCAAGTGTCTAACTAGCATCGATGCGCCAACAGCGAGCGCTTGCATGGCTTTCTTGGAGCTTTTGTCTTCGCCTAGTGAATAGAAATCATGGCGATGCGTTGGATCTGCGCAGATATCAGACTGCCCTGGAGGTGTGAACCCTAATAAATCGTTTGGCCTTGTCGGTAGCTTGATTTGACAGCAGCACAAGGATATGGTTTCAACCCCATGCAGGCCACGTTACCTTGGGCAGTCTGGCAGTTCCACCACGAAAGCCCATCGGGTCGTTGTGGGGTAGGGAGGAATGCCCCGGTGGGGTTGAGGTGTTCGTAAGACGATTCCTCCTGTTACCTAGCAATCTGGCTAGGTAGCGCTGCTCCACTGCACATTTCCCAACACTATGGCGATGCTCGACCGCCACGGCTGGCTTACCGACTGACCACTCAGGAGTCGGTAGTTTTTCATCTCTTTTTCAAGCACAACTCTCCTTTCTCACACTCAGACACGCGCTTCGCTTTACCCAAGTGGACGACTCTGCATCTCTACTCGAGACACTCCCCGTCGTCGTCACTGTAGTGTCGCTTGTGCAGTGCCTCAATAACATGTTGACCACCGTCCTTGCCGTGCTTGGCTTGTTAGGCGCCTACCTACTCGCCAATGCCATCTATGCCGTCACATTTCACCCCTTGGCTGACGTACCCGGTCCAAAGATCTGTGCGATCACTCGCATACCATACTGGCTCGTAACACTCTCGGGCGATGACGTCCAATGGATGAAGAAGCTTCACGACCAATATGGACCGGTCCTTCGCTTTGGGCCCACGGATCTGAGCTTCGCGGCCGGGCAAGCTTGGCATGATATCCACGGACCGAAGGTGACTGAGAAGGCGCAAGAATTCTCGGTTCAGCCTGTCAATGGTGAGCCCAATGGTATCTTGAATATCCTCGACCTACCTCACACTAATGTTGCGACGTAGGTGTCCCCAGCATGCTCACCGCGAATACTCAGAACCACGCGCGAGTACGCCACTTATTCTCACCGGCCTTCTCCGAACGTGCATTGAAGCAGCAGGAACCTCTTTTTCGGAAATACGTGGATCTCTTGGTGTACAAGATATCAGAAGTTGGTGAAGACGGCAAAAAGCCTGTGGAGATGACCCAGCTGCTTAACTTCGCAACATTCGATGTCATGGCAGAGCTCTGCTTCGGGGAGCCCCTTGGACTGCTGGCTAAGAACGAGTACAGTCCATGGGTCAAATCGATCTTCGAGTCTCTCAAGATGCTTCCCATTGCTTCTATTATCAACTACTACCCCATTCTGAACGCCATCTTCACCCGATTCGAGCCGAAGTCTGTCACAGAGCAGCGGGTGACACATTGCAGGCATTCGGAGGAGCGTGTCAACCGCCGTCTACAAGATGGTTCCACCCAGCCTGATGTCTGGAACCTTGTGTTGTCAGCCAAAGAGGGGAAGGAGTTGACTCTGGAGGAGATGCACTCCAACTCTGAGCTGTTCATGCTCGCTGGCTCGGAGACAACGGGTGAGTGCAGAAATTTGAACTTGGCGAGCCAAGAGCAATGAGATTCTGGATCTGACCCTTTTTCTAATAGCTACATTGTTGAGTGGTTGTATCTATAATCTACTTACGCACCCCGAGAAGATGAGGGCTCTAGTCGATGAGATCCGGGGAAACTTTACTAAGCTCGACGACCTGACCTTTGAGAATCTTGCCGAGTTGAAATACATGAATGCTTGTAAGTGCAATCCAAGGCTCGGATGTAGTATATCACAACCGTTCAAAATACTTTACTGATCGTAGCCAATAGGTCTCAAGGAAGCACTTCGCGTATATCCCCCTGTTCCAATAGGTAGCCCACGAGTGGTAATGGAAGGGGGACAAGTCATCCTCGGCAAGTGGGTTCCACCGGAGACACGCGTATCAGTTCACCACTGGTCAACATATCAGTCCGAGGCCAACTTCAAGAACGCCGCTACATTCACACCAGAGCGCTGGCTAAAGTCCGATCCCGTGTACGCGGGAGACGCCCTGGATGCTCATCAACCCTTCGGGTTTGGGCCCCGAAATTGCCTTGGGCAGAATATGGCCATGCACGAGATGAGACTCATTCTGGCCACACTCATATTCAAGTTTGATTTCGATCTCTGCGATGAGAGCCGCAGCTGGGACGCGCAGAAGTCGTTTGCCCTGTGGATCAAGAACCCGCTGAAGGTCCACGCAAAGCCAGTATCTACGCAGACCAGACTAAACATTTGATGCGAACAAGAAGACTCCATTGTACAAGTGGAGAATCAAGACATGGAATTTTTGCGAGGTGTAGGAGAATAGGCTGGCAATCAGTTGAAATCCTCATATGAACGCTGCGAGAATGCGTTTTTAATTGACTGTTGTGTTGCTTTGTCTGGTTATTGGCTGCATGAAGCGATTCGGGTACTCCTATGCCTTCCATAGCGAGGGGGCCGATGGCATAGCCACACGGCCATGCTTGTTCAAACATATTCCCGCTTGGGGGATCCATTGATTTCCGCTTAGTGGTTCATTCTTGTGGTAACCATTGGTATTGTTATGCTATAGCAACACCGCTGCGATTATTGGAATCGTTGTGGCTGTTGTTACTTCATATGCAGAGTTGGATATCGTCGGGGGTTGAGGTATGAGATGCGGCCGCTTGAGCCGCCTTAAGCGCTTGATCGTAGTCGTGCTGAATGTTGACTATGGCCACTGTGCGTCCATTGATATCGATGGGGAGGGTTCGGCTTACCATTTTAAAGATGTCTTATGTGTTCTGATGATTTGTTCTGGTGATGTGTTCTGGTGATGTATTGGGAAGAAGAAAGCAGAGTGAAGCTGAAGGAGTCGCGTCGCTGAATTTGAGCGCGTTAGTTCATCACGTGAGATGTGATCAACAAACAAATCTCAGCGATTGCTCTCAGTTATCGACACTGTATCTTATCCTGTTCGGGTGAAGACTACATAATCGCGAGTTTGGGGTTGGGTGTTACTAGTCTAGGACTAGTTGGACACGCACCACTTAGAACTAGAGCAGTTAGCGTGGGGCCGGGGCGAAGTCCATCATGCCACCGCTGTCTACCCGCCAAAGATAAGTTACATTGGCCTTGCGATATAACTCCGTCCTTTAATTAGTCTGGTAGATATAGTCTTTAAATGATTTCCATGTGTGAATGTGAAGTCCTTGTGGTGTAAGGGTAACACGGCTGTATACCGCTAGCACAAACCGTGGGCGTGTAGTGACCATAGTAGTGCTATGATACGGGCTTACAGACACTTTGAGTTCCAGCCACTATTGTGTCGTCTCCTCGGCCTGTACTCGCATTCTCTTTTTGATTTTTTTCTTTGGAAGCTCCTGGGCCGCAACCGGACAACCCTGTGTCCACTTCGATGATCTATCGCACAACCCTTGGCTTGGCATAATCTTGTGAAGGGTGTGATCGGCCGTCCAGATGTATGGATTTAACTGTACAATGAACATATCTCTATAATCCCAGAATCAGTACCTCAAAGTGGGAAACCTGGATGTTGGCACAACTTCCTTCACCCAGAATACCGTCAAGGGCTTGGAGAGTCACGCCGCCTTTGCCACGGTAACATTACCCTTATCCTTTTTCCGCAATTGATACAACAGTAAAGGTAGACCATGCGACATTGGGTGATTTCCAGCTATTTCAGCATACAGAATATATTAATAAAATCCTTGTTTACATGGGATGGGTAGGGGTGGGCCGGTTTCAACTGCCATGGGCTGCCCATTTTACTTAGCTAAGCCAGCGCGGGGAATTGAAGGCCCGTTTGGCGAAACGCTGTGATTACGCATCAGTCTACACACTACAGACGCCGTGAGACTTGCCACTTTCTACCAGTTTTAATGCCGCGAACATTTCGTAAAGGTAAGCTCTTTATCACCGTCCAGTGATATATTCTTGTGGATGAGACTTTCGTGGAGGAGCACAACCGAATTCTATGGCAGGCAGACGCCGAAGAACAGGAATCAAACGCGGCAGTGTCTCCCTCGTACTTCACCCACCTTTCCGGGATGAAGGCCTCGGGGTCATCATTCCAGGAGCCATGGATGTGACTGTGAGACCGAGAGCTCTCACTCCTGAGCGACTCATCAATGGTGAATGGTGCTTGTGTTATGCTCGGACCACGCAAGGGGATTAAAACCTCAACGCCCTTGGGCGCCCGGTGGCCCAAGATTGTTGTCTCCACTTGTGCCTGTCGAACGACAGCAGTGATTGGCCCTGAAAGGCGTAGGGACTCGTCTATCACGGCGTCCAGGTATGGCACTTGGATCTTGGTAATTTCTGTGACCGTGGGTTGCCGATGTTGCGCCGCAGCATCGACGTAAGCGGCACGCAACGACTGTCTGAGCTTTTGTTGGATCCGAGGATGGCCAGATAGATGCTTGACGGCCCACTGGAAAGACGTCGACGTTGTCTCGTGTCCAGCGCCAATGTATCCGTACAGCTCATCTTGCATATATGGTGAGTCTAGAACGGGTTGCCGACCGGTCTTGGTGGCAGCGTTCACCTCACGCTTGATCGTGTAGTCCAAAGCGGATTTGACCGTGTCCCCTCCTTCCAGACGCTTAACAGCTAATTTGATCTGCTGCTGAACCATCCGATGTCGTGTACCGTACGCCTCTTGCATCTTGAATCTGCGATTGTTGCTCTTGTGGTATAGCGAAGGGGAAGGTGACGTGAGGGAGGCACCAACGGCTTCTTGGTGCAAGTTGTGCGAGACAAGGATGTCGTTGGGAGGGTAGGCGGGAAACTTAAAAATTGTATCCATGTCGTCTATCCCTCCACCTTCGGTTTCTTGCACGATTCCCATATGAAGTTGGGTCATGCTCTGGGCGTCTCCTTCTCCAAAAGCAACCGCCTTGACTATGTCGAAAGTCACTATATTGATGTCCTCGTCTGCTCGGAAGGGACGGCCGTTCGCTTTCTGTGCTTTGAGCCGCCAGATATCGATAAAATCAAGGGTATTGTGGCGTATTTCAGGAGCGGATACCTAGACGTCAGTCAGTACTTAGTTTCCCTGGTCCTGCTCCTGTATGACCTACAGTGTGAAGGAAAACGGGTGTCATGAGATCCTTTATCAATTCTCTGTTGGCCCGGAATCGGGGGTCTGATGTCCGCATCCCAATGTGATGGTTTGCCAGCACACCGGAAAACACAGCAAGATTGCGTGGGCCATGATCGAATTCTTTGCTTCTTCGTAGTAGAATGTCCTGCCCCTCCCGGAAGTTGTTAAAGGATATAAGGCTTGATCCGCTGACGGATTAAGCGTTCGCTTTTTCCACAGAAGTCGGACAACAGCAGCATTGGCTTCGATAATGGAGCTACAAAAACTTGGACAAGAGGGCTCTTGTGTTTGGCATTCTGCTCGCCGAACCAAGCACGAGGTCTTCCACCCTGTTCCTGTAATTTCTTGATTGCTGCTGCATCCCCGAGCAAGGAATGCACCGCCTCGGTGTTGTACGGTATACCTTATCTTAGCCATTATAATTAGTAAGGAAGCTTAAGCCCCTAGAACTGGCGTGTTTCAATCGACACCTGAACCTTTGAGATAAGGTATACCAGGTAAAGGTTTCGGCAGCGCACGATGATATGCGAGGTACAGCAGCACGACGGCGCCGGCAAGAATGGTTATGACAGTTCCCACCATCTTCTGCAAGGGGGCTGGGTGTGTGTGTTGCCCTTGTCGTCAATAGAGAACTAGAGATTGCTTCTCGATGTCGTCAGCGAGTGCAGTGCGTCGAGTGCGATGCAGATTGCAGGTGATGCCCGGGTCATGTGTAGTTTTACAAATGTGTCGCATGCCGGGTTGTGCTGAGACAAGTCAAGATTCTAGGACAAGTCATTCTGGAATATAATATTGATCCGACTTTGTTTGGAAAACTTATTAGAAAAACTATAATATTAATACTTATCCGCCCCCCCCCCCCCCCTCTTCCTCTTCCTCTTCCTCTTCCTCTTCCTCTTTCTCTTTCTTTTTTTTTTTATGCGTGATATACAGCGTAGGTGACCAAATTGATTTGTGTATATTAAATACTCTCACAATGAGCCCCCTATTTACTCCTGTTGCACAGGTTGGCCGCCTGAGTAACCATGAATTCGCCGGAAGGATGCATTTGCACCGACGGAGGGTCCGACGTCCCGCCGGAGTGCCCGGGACCGATTGAGATACCGAATCCGAGGGCCAGCTCATTAAACCGATGACACCGGGAGTAACCCACACCTTGACTAGCCTGGCAAATTGAATTTTCCCCAACGGCCCCATTAAGCTTAATTATTTCAGGTGGAGCTGTCCGTCATCTCACGAGGTCTTTCAACGTACCGGACGGAACGCAATCTGGTACTCCCTGTTCCCTGTGCCGCGAAACATCTGCAGGAGTCTGAGAGCAGGTCAGCGCACCGCCGCTTATAGATCACCTCATCGGGGGATCCATGCCACTGCTACGAGAGTGTCGTATGGGTAGCACTCAATGAAGGCCGAGCGCGAGACGCGATTGGGGTCACCAGAGGTCGAGTCGCTGCCTGCATTTTCTGCAGTCACAATCTGAGGCTTGAATTATTTGGGAATTATTATCTTGATCTGCTCTAGTTAATGGGGCCATTCCTCTCGCTTCTACTCCTCGCTCGGCATGGGGTACAGCCACCTGCATTCGCCCTCGAAAGCCTCCTTCGCCGGTACAAAGTCCAGCACCTTGGCTATCTGGATGGACGGCGACATAGTGAACGAGAAGAAGATCCTCTGCACGAACGAGAACGCCATTGCATATCTCGCCAGCAACCAGTGCGAAACCGACGCCCAGGCTTGCATCCTCGTCAACTGAGCAGAGGCCTTCAAGTCCTTCTCCAGGGGCTCATGTCTCTCCTCTCGATAATCATCGAATAGCTTCTGCAGATTGTCAGATGAGGGCCTGCTGTCGTTCGCAACCAGCTTCCGCAGCTTGTTGCAGACCGCAACAATATCCTGCACACCGTTGTTAAAACCTAGGCCGGCATTAGGTGTGAACTTGTGCACGGCATCGCCCACGAGCACGATTCTTCCGCCCCAGCTCCAGTTGGAACATATGCCCTCCTCAAGGCCAGCCCCACCTGCACTGTATCGCTCTCGGAAGACGTCCTTAACCGTGAGCCCCTCTCTAACTGGCCAGTCTGCAAAACGCTCAGCGAACTCCTCCAGCTGTTTGGGAGTGAACGAGATCCTCTCAGTTTGCGGCTCAGTCAATTTTTCGTAGAGGAAGATCCACCCCCTTTCTTTGCCGGTGAGGTACATGATGGAACGATCTGTGCCTTGCGTCTCGAAAGCTTCACCAGCTGCACTAGGTCGTGGGAAAGACGCCCACAAACATTGGTACTCTGTCTGGTAAGGGTTGATGGGGTCCCACTCGCGATCAGGGTCTTCGGCGAGAGCGAGCTTTCGCATCTGCCGTCGGGTTGCAGAGTGAACGCCGTCAGCACCGATGACCATGTTTCCGGAAAACTTCGAGCCGTCTTCGCAGGTCACGGTGATTCCTGCATCAGTTGTCTCGATATCTTTGAGCTTTTTCCCGGTGTGGTAACGCGCCTTCGCTGATTCGGAGAGGCTGTCGTAGAGAGCCTTTATCAGATGGGCTCGGTGGAACGTTGTCAATCCCGCGCCATGCCTAGAACCACTAAGTGTCAGCCAAAAGTACCGCAAAGTACGTTCGATACATGACCTGCCTCTTCATCAAAAAATTTTCAACCGAAAAACGTTTGAAATTGTGGCCGTCGGCAGTGAATCCCTTGGCGGTTGACATAGTGTTGCCAATCTCCATCAGCCGGTCGAGAAGGCCAAGCTGATGAAATACACGCAAAGATCCGGGGCTGAGAACCAGGCTGGCACCAACATCATCAATTATGTTGTCTCTTCGCTCAAGGACAACGAATTCGATCCCAGCGCGTTCCAGAACATGCGCGGCCGTGATACCGCTCGGCCCGCCGCCGATGATGATGACTTTGAAGGGTGTAGATGCCATTTTGGAATGAATGTTCACAAGGGTGGTGGCGCTTGAATTCCAGACAGGGCAGCTTTGCATGCTTTAATATAGAAAGGCATTCTCGACGTCGTCGACCCCTGAGACAGGACGGTGGAGCAAATCATGCTACCGGAATTAGCGATGGCAGGTTTTCGTCTCCACCAAGTTTACCGGGAAGATCTGCCACCCGACGCTCCCGAGGTTACTGCTGGGTTGCATTTTGCCATACTGAAATACCGGAGACTTTAAATGGTGTGGATTCCATCACGGAAATCCCGGTTCAGGTCACGAGGAACTTCCTACCAGGGGGGAGGGGGGTTTCTGACTGAGTCACGCAATGCACTTATATTTTAACATTTAATTAAAATTTCATAATTTTAGCAAAATGTTAACAAAAGGCTATTATAATATTATTAAAAAAAGTTATATTAAGGCTTTAAATTATATTTACATTAACTTTATATTAGCTAATATTATTATAATTTTATATTAAGCCTTAATTTAAATTTTATTAACTTTAACTTTATTTTCATTTTTAAATATTTTTATAATTTTTTAAATTATTTTATAATAAATAATTAATTTAATAAAAAGTAAATTAATAATAAAGTTAAAAATAATAAAGATTTTTACCCCTTATATTAATGGTTAATATTAAATTAAAAAATATTAAAAGTAATTATATATTAATAATATATAATTTATATAAAATATATATAAAAAAGGATATTAAAATTATAATTATGTATTATAATTATATTATTAATTTATTAATATATTAATGTAATATTAATAAAAAAAACTTTTTCCTTAATAAGTTAAGATAAATGCTGCACTTAAGAAGAAAGTCCCCTATATTAATGCGCCGGTGCAACGCCGTTCTTAAGATAACTTTTTAAATTTTATGTTATTTTTATAATAAAACCCTTATATTATATAATTATTATTAATTATTAACGTAATAATTTTTTAATTATTCTTTTTTTAACTTTAACTTATTATAAGGTTAGTTTTAACTTATAAATCTTAATATTTAAGATATTTATTATAATATTAATTATAAAAACGGATATTTGCACCGGTTAAAACGGATGGCGCATTAAGCATAAACCACTTATAATTATATAACCTCCCTTAACGTTATTATACCACGCTCTATAACTGCAACCATTAATGCCTTATAAAGCCGCTATTATTACTAAATTTAATATAATTACCTTATATTAATGCTATATGAAATTAATTAATTTAGCATTAAATGATATTTAATTGCTTAAATTTTATTATTCTTAATATTATAATAATAACATAGGTTTAAAGTTACTTTAATGTTAAGGCGTAATAATAAAATAATTATAATTAGTTATTAAAAACATTATTAATAATAATAGCGGCAAGGATATTTAAGATAATATTATGATTTATATAAATTTAATTAATATTAAAATATTACGTAATTAAATATAATTAAGTATAATTAAGCGATTTATGCCTTAAAAAATATAAAAAAAAGCTGCTTATAATAACGGTAATAATAAGTTTATTTTTAAAGGTAACTTAATATTATATTATATTAATTTAATGGTAAGCCATTAATTATATATTAAGGTTAAAATAAAAAAGGGTTTATACTTAATACGTTATTTATTTTAATTAATATATATATTTATTCTTTTATTTATTTCTTAATAAATTTATAATATATTTATTATAAATTATTTATAATATTATTTAATTATAATATATTTATTATTAATTAAATTTAATATACTTCCTTAAGCTTATAAATATTGAAAATTTAAGCCTTTTTATTATTATTTATTAATAAGTAATTATATTAATAATAATTATATATATTAATAAATATAAAAAAGTTAAATTAATTTAATTTAATAATTAAAAATAAGTAATAATTATTAAATATATTAATATAATAAGTTAATATATTTTATTATTTATAATTATTTAAAGAGCTTATTATTTTATAAATTAAGTTATAAAGTTAAATTTTTCAAAAGATTAAGTAATTAAATTTACTTTAAAGAAATAAATAATAAAGTTAATTTAAAATGAATTTAATAACTTAATAAATATATAAAAATGTAAATAAAGGGTATATAATAAATATTAATATTAAATAACTATAAAAGCTATATATTAACTAAGTTTAATTAATATTATAAGAATAATAATATTATTTTTATTAATATATTATTGCATTTTTTTTTATTTACTTTAATTATTAAATATTACATTATATTTACTTTTAAAGCATATATATAATAATAAAATTAACTTCTTTATTTAAGCCTTAATTAATTATATTATTAAGTTTAAGTTCTTTTTTATATTTAAGATATCTTATAATAAAACTTTTATAAAAAAACATATAATTTATATTTAAAGGAGCTAAAACCTTTTCATAAAACCTTAACTTTATAATTTTTAAGATTAATATTTATTTATAAACTTTAATATAATCCCTCCTTATTTTTCCTTAAAAATAAAAGTTTTAAATATTATTTAATACTTAATAAAATATTTAATAAGCAAGCTTTCTTATATTAATTATAAACGCTATTAATTAATTAGCAAAGAGTATATAAATAATAACGTACTTATTTATTATAATAAGTTAGTAAATTTATATACTTTAAAATACTAATATAATACTTATTAAATGCTAAAGGGTTAAAAAAACTTAAGTATAACTTAAAAAAATACTTATAATTATGGAATTTTAAGCTTTTATTTAAGAAATAAAAAAGAAAAAGTAGCTAATTAATAAAATAAGTAATAATATTAAAAAGGCGGTTAATAATAAATTAATTAAATAATAATATAATAATATAATTTATTAATAAGTAGCGGATATTAATAAGTAATAAATTTTCATAACTATACCTAATTTTAATTAATATTAACACTACCTTAAAGCTAATAAATAAATAAAAAGTTAGCATTAATTAATGCTAACTGCTTTTAATTCCTTATTTTTAATTAATTTAATTAATTTAAAGTAATTAAAAATAATTATATTTAAATTTAAAATAATTAACTTTTATTAATAAAAGGGTTTTATTTTAATAATAATTATATTTAAGTTTTTTATATTAATTTTACTTTAATCCACCTACTTAAATATTTAATATATTAAAAATTAATAATTATTAATATATCCTTTATTTAAAGAAAATAAAATCTTTTTAGCTATTTAAGTAATTTAAAAATTTAAAAAAAAAATATAATATAAAACCCTTATTTATAACTTAAGCTATTAAGATTTTTTATATCCTTAAAATTATACTTTATTATAAAATAAATTAATAATACTTTTATAAAAAATTATACATTAATATATATATATTTAATTAAATTAAAAAGTAAATATTTATTTAATATATTATTAAGTAAAATATTTAAGAATTCCCTTTATAACTTTTTAATATAAAAAATATAATTAATCTCTTATTAATATTATATAATGCTAAACTTATTAATAAGCATTAAGCTTAATGCTTTATAAACTTATAATTTATTTTTAAAATTAAGTTTAATTATTTTTATAATTATTAAAATGCCCTTTATAAAACTTTAAACATTATTAAAAATTAATTTAAGCTGCTTTATAATATAATAACTAAATATAAAATTATAAATAATAATCTTTATAACTTTAATAAAATTAACTTTATAATAAATATAATTATTATATTAATAAGCATAAAAAGGCTAAATTAATTTAACTTAATAATTAAAAATAAGCTATAATTATTAAATATATAGCTAATATATCTTATTATTTATAATTATTTAAAGCATTTATTACCTTATAAACTAAGCTATAAAATTAAATTTCTTAAATAATTAAGTTATTAAATTTACTTTAAATAAATAAATAAATAATAAAATTAATTTAAAATAAATTTAATATTTTAATAAATATATTAAGTAATATATAAAGGGTATTTATTAAATATTAATATTAAATAATTATAAAAATTATATATTAGCTAAGTTTAATTAATATTATAAAAATAATAATATTATTTTTATTAATATATTATTATATTCTTTATATTTACTTTAGCTATTAAATATTATATTATACTTATCTTTAAAATATATATATAATAATTAAATTAACCTTTTTATTTAAGCATTTATTAATTATATTATTAAATTTAATCCTTTTTTATATTTATAATAGCTTATAATAAAATCTTTATAAAGAATAATATTAAAATAGTGTTTAAAAAGGATAAAATCTTACTTTAAAACCTAAATTGTATTATTTTTAAGCTTAATATATACTTATAAACTCCTATATAAACCCTTCTTATCTCTCCTTAGCATAAAAAATCTTAAATATTATTTAATATTTAATAAATTATTAAGTAGTTAAGCTTTATTAAACGTAAGATCTTTATTTATTAAAAAAGCTTCCTTATATTAATTATAAAGGCTATTAATTAAATAATAAAAAGTATATTAATAATAATATATAAACTTATTATTTTAAAAAGTTAAATTTATATTCTTAAGAATGCTAATATAATACTTATTAAATGCTAAAAGGTTAAAAAAACTTAAGTATAGCTTAAAAAAAGCATTTATTATTAAGGAATCTTAAGCTTTTATTTAAAAAAAATAACAAAAGAAGCGGCTAATTAATAAAATAAGTAATAATGCTAAGAAAGCAATCCGCAATAAATTAATTAAATAATAATATGGTAATTATAATAAAACTAAGCATAATGCAAGAACTTATAAAAAAATAAAAAAGGGTTAAGTTAATTAAATTCTAATTATATTATAATAAATTTAGCTTAATTAATACTAAATAATATAAATATAAATATTTTAATAATCCGCAATAAACCGAGTTTTTAATAATGTAATTAGCATTATTTAATGTAAAATATAGGTTTTCCATTAAAAGTTGCCTATTTTAAACCTATATTATATTTATATTAATTACTTTAAATTGATTAAATTAATTAAAAATAAGAAATTAAAAGCAATTAATATTAATTAATGCTAACTTTTTATTTATTTATTAGCCATAAGATAATATTAATATTAATTAAAGTTAAGTAAAGTTGCGAAAATCCGTTACTTATTAATATTTACTACTCACTAGTAAACTACGTTGATTATAATAAAACTATGCATATTATAAAAATTTATAAAATAAATATAAAAACTTTTAATTAATTAAATTTTAAATAAATTATAACTTTTTTAATCTTAATAATATTAATTAATATTAATATATATATATATATATATATATATTAATAATTTATAGTAAATTTAATTTTTAATAATATAATTAACATTATTTAATGTTAAATATATATTTTTAATTAAAAGTTAATTAATTTAAATTAACATTATACTTATATTACCCCTTTTAAATTAATTAAATTAATTCCTTTGCATTAAGTGGGTGTTAAGGTTGGCTAAAGTTAATAGATATGGTGAAAATCCGCTATAAGGTGATATTCATTACTTAATAGTAAACCACGTTATGTATTATTTTAAATTATTTATATTAAATAAGATTTTAATTAAAGATTTTTATATTATAATTAATTATATTATTTATTATTTAAAAACTCTATTTTTTCTTTTAAATAATTTATTATTTATTTCTTTATTAATCATTATTTACAATTAAGTATTTTATTATATAAAGGGTTTCTTTATATATTTTCATTTTTTAATATTTAAAATGTTTAAAAAAAATAAGAAAGGTGTTTTTAATAAATATATAATTTAAATTTATATTACTTTATATCTTAAATTTAATTATTTTAATTATTAAGCTTTAATAAAAATATTATAAAGTTCTTTATATTTAAGTAATTAAACGTATCTTTAATAGCTTAATTTAATAAACTTTAAATTATTAAATTTTATATTATTTTTATAATAAAGCTCTTATATTATATTATTATTTTTTATTTTATCTTTAACTTATTATAAGAGTTAATTTTAACTTATAATTCTTAATGCTTAAAGAATTTACTATAATATTATTTATTTCTTAATGAATATTATAATAAATTTATTGTAAATTTATTATGCTATTATAAAATTACGATAAGTTTATTATAGCACTATTTAACCACGTATATTCACCATTGATTGGATTTAAATCTTATCAAAAACTTAAATATCACTACAACTATAATACTTTAAATTAACGCAACACGAAAATCGGGTTGAAAGCTGAAAACTCTCGGCGTTGCTGGGCTCAGTTTGGATAAAAATTAACAGAGCTTCGAGCACGTTAACTCTAGAGATACTCGAACCAGCAACGATACTGTCGCCATGGCATACAAGGAGCAATGTTCGGGGCGCAGTCCTAGAAAAGGCCGATGGTACTGTGGTGGGCTGATCAGAGAACATAGAGAGGAGCCTCCAGCCCCTCTGCTGAGAATCAATAAAACCTAATGCCTCGTCAGTTTCTTGGCCCTTGCAAACACCCTATGTTCTTGGTGAACATGATCAATAGCTGGTATTTGGGACGATCCGCTCCAGGGTCCAAGGTCCACTCCGTACTCCATCTCACGGAGCCGGGCACACCTCAATGTCCAGCTCCTAGACAAATCGCTTGCCCTGGGGACCGACAACCCGACGTGGCCTCCCTTCGGAAGCTCAGAGATGTTCTTATCAATGGCTTAGCAACAGGGCCCAGACTTTGTACTTGTCCCGATTTCAAATCTGTTAGGCTCCAGTCCAGGGGTTGTGGTTGTGACTGCTACTGCAGCTCGCGTACAGATTGTTAGTTCAGATTCGCCCCTGATTTCATCAGTGCACGCGAGCGGCCGAATCGCGACGCGGAGCAAGTTCACGCCGACGGAGTGATCAGGGAACGTGACGAAGTTCAGGGGCAGCTTGCAACAACCAAGACTTCATTCAAACGACCGCGGCGACATGATTCAATCACCGCTACTCCGAAAGAGTCTCAAATCGCTGTAAATCACAGTGGTGAGCCTACTTACAGTGGGCCGCCAAAACTCCTGTGCCCACTAGAGTACTCGGCAATTCTGCCCAGCCTTAATTGCGCCCATTGCATTTCGAAGAACTACCATCTCTAAATGTATGAAAATTACTTACAAATTTTTCTTCACCTCCTTGAAAAATGGGATTTTCCCCATCAAGGTTACAATTGTTAATCGAGAGACGTTTTGCGATGGCGATCAAATTTTACGAAGACGTGTTTTGTGTTTGTAGTGGATACGCGTATATATGGGTTAGAGTTTTGGCGGCCCAACTGTAGGCACCCGGCATGGGAGTCGGCGGCAAGGACTCGAGGGTCGAGCTGCAGGTGCATGACTTCTTTACGCCGCAGCCGGTCAAGGGTGCGCGTGCCTACTTCACGCGCTCCGTGCTGCACGACTGGCCGGACGAGCAGTAGCATTGGACATTACAATGTGATTGAACCAGGGTCTTGTTTGGGCCATTCACGAACCACTGCTTGCATTCAGGCTCAGTCGGACAACTGATGATACTTCTCAAATGCCGCCATCACAAAGCTCCTGAATTCAATTGCCAAATGCTGAGCATGTTCGTTGAAAAGGACCCTAGGAGCTGCAGCCGGGAAGAGAAGTCGCAAGATCAAGTCGCATCCGTCTTCCGTGTCTCGCAATTCATGGAGGACGTAGAAAAGAACTATGCCATCATCCAAGCTGCCAATAACGGGTATGTTTGTAAAAGAGGCATCGGCATATACAAGGACAAAATCCAGAATTTTAAAGTCATTGTGGATGCATATGCGAGCGATATGCTCTCCGATGGTTTCGATTATCCCCATTGTGTTTGCGGGCAGGGCATAGTGTTCCGGATGAGCGGGTGCGACGTTAGTTAGGAAAAATCTTTGCCTTAATTCCGCCGTCGTAAGATCGTTCGCCATGGCCTTCTGCCATTCCATAAAATACCTGGATTTAAAGCCTCTAGCCTCGAGGTCGATTCTGGACTCCTTGTACTGCCCGTGCAACTCAACAACCAGCTTTTTAAAGAAAACATCGGCGTCGTAAATCTATTTCTGGAGGAGGTCGAGCATTGGCTGTCCATACAAGAGCGTTTTCAAATTAAAGAGGGCTTGTCGGCAGGATTTTAACTCCCAGAAGTCAACTTGGTCGCTTATGATAATCTGCCCGTCTGGATGGCACCAGCCAATTAATAATCTCTAAGTCGGCCCCATGTTTAAAAGGTCTTTAAGTAACTGAATATCAGCCCTTTTTAGATGAGAAGAACGGGCAAGTCGTGCTGGAGTATGTTGTTTGAGACTTGAATTTGGCTCAAACTTAAAGCTGCACGGAACAGAACACACTTTCTCATCTTAGATGCCATATACGATGGATAATATCGGACCAACTTAAAGGATCGTGTCCCGACATCAAACAACCAACCCACACGCTTCGGGAGCTTTTCTTTCCACAGGTCATACCAACCTCACAGCAATGCGGCGGCTAACTTCATTTGGAGACACATGGCCGACCATCCGAACAGATCTCCTCAAAGTGGAACAGAGAAAGGCGGCATGGCTCTGGAAGATGCGCCCAGTTTAACGGAGGATCGAAGTAGATCAACCAAACATCAAGTTTGAATACACGTAGAGGTGAGAAACCCGGTCCGGGGAAGTGAGTCTCCTGTGACGAGACCTACGTTTAACCCACGGCCAGTACCAAATACTCCGGTCATCGATGAATTCAACTTAAACTGGCTGACAACTTACAGAATTCAGATTCCGGCCGGCAATCAAGGGGCTGCTGATCTAACTGCGCAGAAAATCAAAAGCCGTGAGACCATGCCCCGTCCTTCATCCAAACGCCGCTCACAACTGCTTATACCACCTTAAACGTCAATCTCCTGCAGTAAATCGTACCACCATTGCTCCCTTTTCCCTCTTCAATAACTTATCTATAATCACAATTCTATCCTTCTTAAAGGTTCCTCGAGCATCTTAGTGCCTTCTCAGACACTCCACCTTCATATTTGGCTTATCCAAGTCCCTGCAAGATTAATACAAAGCCGCTTCAGAACCCGAACAGCTTCCGCATAGCCCTTGTGCTCTCAAAGGCTGGTTTACATATCTATAACTGCATTCATACTTTGCTAACACTTGTTAGAAATAAAGGAATTAAACTTAATTAAATATTTATTACACAGGTATTATAGCATGCGGATCAGTAATATTCATGTTTGTCAAGACATAACCTATACCATTTACTGTAATTTATAAAAGTTCTTACCAAGTACATGCAATTGCACGATTTGAACTTCATTAACTTTGCTATGTATACTGGCACAAATCAATTTCTCACATTATTAATTAATAACCCATCTCACGCCGAAGGTTTCACATCACCGTCAGACTCTTTTAACGCCCCCTCCCTTACTTCCAGCACTATCAATACCAGCCTTAAATAATCCCCTAATCCTTTGCACTTATCTAGTACATGAAACCAGTTATCAATCATAAAGTTGTAGTGAAGCGAGACGGGGACATCAGTAGGCCTGCGGCGCAGCAAGAGTCGATCATCGAAACGCTCAGCCTGACTTTGTCCAGGTAACGAGGAGTTTCTGCTGTTCATAGGACTGACTGCCTCGGTACGATGACCATGTCGTCCTTCCTTACTCAAAGCTTAGAAACCTGTTGTATTTCCTCATGGTGGAGGAGGGTTCCAGCAGGGGCCGTGGCCAAAAGACCAAATGCCCGCGAACATTTATGTCCAGCATCAACTTTACCAAGACTTCACCCATCAGCACGACACGGACAGGTACTGAAAAGACACAAGATGCAGGATTGAACGGGATAGTTCATATGGGCATAGCTTTCGTAATACAATTTAAACTTTTGTATATCTACAACATCTGCTAGCCAAGGCTTTCCACGGCGCGTTTTATCTAGATAAAGCCCCAAGCACAGTGTCCTGCGCAGTCACGCCGACCGACTCGGCACTCTTCGCCCAGAGAACATCTCGTGTCTTTTCATCCTGGCTATCCTTGGAGCCATCGTATGGTTTAAGGAGTTCCAAGTACCCTCGCACCCCGGGAAGTGCCTCATTGGTCGCCAGATGGGCTACATCCACCGAGAATTGGGCAACGGCGCGTGCCGTCGGGTCCGCTGTCTCGCACGGGAGTTAGCATTTTGAGTCAGGCTGGGGCTTGAAAGTCACATGCCCATGGCCAGTAGCGGACGAAAGGGCCGCAGCACCACCGAGAGCATGACCAGCTTGAGCGGCGTGTTTACACGTAGGGCACGCGAGTCCGACAGGTGTCCCGGGTTCATGACCACGACGGTGATGTTCTTCAGCTGGTCGTCCTGCTGCAAGCGGCGGTTCAGGGCGTGTGTGAACATTACGGAGGCGAGCTTGGCGTTGGCGTGTCGATGGAGGCCGTGGCCGAAGGCGTCGACAGCCGGATCATCCTCGGGGCTTGACGATATGCTCCAGCTCGGCTGGGTCGGTTGGGATCAGAGGTGGTATTTTCTCGAAGCCGTTCTTGCCCGGCTCGTGGACGTCACTTGAGAACAGGACGATGCGACCACCTTCGGGCCGGAAACATCCGATCAAACGAAGGATCAGTGCGACATGAGAAAGGTAAGTGACTTGTATCGTCTTCTCGTGGCCGTCCTCGGTCATCTGGAACGGACCGACCAGATTCCAGTGGTAGGCGGTCCACACGATGCTGGATAGCCGGGGGAGAGATCCCTCGGAGATCTCAGCCGCGACATGACGAGCGAAGTCGTGCACAGCGGAGAGGCGGGCAAAGTCGAGCTCCCTGATGGACACCTTAGCCTGTGGGTATCTGGCAACTACACCACGCAATGTGGTGGTGTTGACATCGCTGTCGCTGGCGTCCCTAACTGTAAGTACCAACGTAGGCGACGTCTTGAGAAGATGGTCGACGGTAGGGATGGCCAGCGAGCCGTTGGCTCCGGCTATAATGATAGTGTTTTTACCATGGCTAGTTTCTAGCACGTAGTGTTCCGAGAGACCGTGGTTTAGGATCAGGCTGAGGAATTTGGATGGGGGTGAAAGGAGCCTAGAGAAGCCGGTCAGCAAAGGCTTTTTCCAACCCTTCCAACACTCTGAGCTTACAAATGTAGATATCAGATACTGATGGGCGTTGAAGTCCCAACTACTTACCCGCAACACGCACTGGTTCGCCATTCATCACCCTCGCAAGCCATATTTCTTTATCTTTGCGTGTTGGTTCGAACACAGGCCCCACATCCAGTGGAAAATGATGCCATCCACATTGCCCCGAAAGAGTCGAGTGCCTACTCAATGCTGTATAACTTAGGAAGTAATATGCAGTTGGCACTATTTGTGCATGAATCCTTGTGACTGTTGCCTGGCGATGACTAGAGCCTAGTGCCAACTGGCCCAACCACGAATGCGAAGAACTCCAGCACGAAAGAGCTTGATGCAGCCTAGATCAGAAGCACTACAGTATCTGGCACCCGTATATCCGGGCAAGTGCACAGGCGTACAGGCGTACAGGCGTATTGGAAACAACCAGGTATCTTTGCCAAGCGGCAAGAGTTGAGGGACTGCTCGTTCTTCATGCACGTGCAAGGTTCAGGCGGCCGTTGGGGCCATTTACAATACCGACTGTGGAACAAAAAAAAACGATCTTTTCCCAGCCAATAAGAAGCGTCACCCTTCGCTTGTCCTGCAGTCCAAGAGGCGGCCGCTCCTCCTTGAAATGTGAGCGTGGCGTCTGGGCCCGGAACATTGAAAGTGCCACCGTTGGGAACAGACCCATCGCACAGGCATGCTTCCCCGATCTGTGCTTATTACCCGACTTGTTGTACTTGCCCCGGCCGAGAGGTGCGTAGGATCCATGCGCCGCGCCTGGTAAGACACCCCGGGATTCTTTACCTGCCTCGCCTGTGCTGGTGATACGCAGAGGCCCAGTATTTCATGCGTGTTGGTCATTGGCGGGGTTTGTTTGATCTGAGCTTGTGATCGTCGCAAACCCCTCATAGTGAATCAAGTTGCCGGCTTGCCCTCCTTCAAATTTATCTTTCCTTCTTCGCTGCAAATTGAGTTTGCTCCTGATCTGACAGCTCAAGATTCTTGTCATTGGCCCAATCAATCCTGACAATGGCGCAGCCAACCGACTACAAGCTCGATGATTTCGAGGTACGTCAGATATGTCCATGCAGCAAGGTCGCGGATCTTGTTCTAACCCTGGCGCCAGACATTCCGCAATGTGATCGACAATGAGCTCAGCGCCACGGCGAAGACTACTCGCGCGGTCAACCCCAGCAACGAGGAGCAGCTTGCCGAGGTGCCCGTCTCCACGCAAGCGGATGTCGACCGTGCCGTGGCGGCGGCGAAAGCGGCGTACCCATCGTGGAGCGCGCTCTCTCAGGATGATCGGGCGGCATATCTGTCCAAATTCGCAGACGCAATCGAGGCAAACCAGGAAGGTTTCGCCCCACTGCTGGGAAAAGAGACTGGCAAGCCACTACAGTCAGCAGGCACGGAGTTCTTTTTCCTGATCCACCAGATCCGCGACACGATCAAGAGGCACCGCTTGACTGAGGAGAAGATTGAAGAAACGGACGAGGTATGTCTTTGCGAGCCTTGTTATCGATGACCTTCGCCATCATGTGTCACGGCATCCCCCACTTCCTCACATAGCCTTGGCTAACCTCTCGATGCGTTGAAACTTGAAGTTGAGCATTGTGATACGTCACGTTCCCCTTGGCGTTGGCGTGGGAATAGTGCCATGGAACTTCCCAATGCTGCTCGGCGTCGTCAAGCTCGTTGCCGCGCTCCTGGTCGGAAATACCTTTATTTGGAAGCCCTCACCCTTCAGCCCCTATACTGCGCTCAAGGTGGGAGAGGTTGGCGCCAAAATCTTCCCCAAGGGCGTCTTCCAGGTCCTGAGCGGCGAGGAGGATCTGGGGCCGATGTTCACGGCACACCCAGGAGTCGCGAAAATCAGCTTCACCGGATCTGTGGCCAGCGGCAAAAAGGTGGCGGCGGCCTGTGCTCCGACCCTGAAGCGTGTGAGCCTCGAACTGGGAGGCAACGATGCCGCCATTGTGTGTGCCGACGTCGATATCGCAGCCGTTGTGCCCAAGGTGCGCAAGATCCCCGTCGCCCGTCCTCAGCTCATACTAGTACTGACTCGCGGCACCTGAACAGATTGCATCCATAGCTCTCATGAACACCGGCCAGGTTTGCCTCTGCATCAAGCGCGTGTACGTGCACGAGGACATCTACGACGCTTTCCTCGCAGCCTTCGTGGACTTCGTCAAGACCCTGAAGAGCGGTGGTCCCACGGATGCCGAGGCCGTCCTCGGGGCGACGCAGAACAGCATGCAGTACGCCAAGCTGCTGGACCTGTACAGCAACATCTCCAAGGAGGGGTGGAACGTCGTCCTTGGTGGCGAGCCCGCGGCGCCCAAGAAGGGCGGCGGCTTTTACTTGCCGACCACCGTGGTGGACAACCCCCCGGAGAACTCTCGTCTGGTTGCCGACGAGCAATTTGGGCCCATTGTGCCGCTACTGAAGTGGTCAGATGAGGATGATGTCCTGCGCCGTGCCAACGCTTCCTTGATGGGGCTCGGTGGCTCGGTCTGGAGTAAGGATGTGCAGCGAGCCGAGCGCCTGACGCGCCGTCTGGAGGCCGGAACCGTCTGGGTCAACACTCATTTCGAGGTCGGCCCGCAGGCCTCGTTTGGAGGTCACAAGGAGAGTGGTATCGGTGTCGAGTCTGGCCTGGCTGGCCTCAAGGGATGGTGCAACCCCCAGACGGTTTGGGTCAGGAAGTAAGGCAGTCAATGAACTGGAGGCTGTCCGGCAGGCCACCCTATCGTTCGCAGTTCACAGAATGACATTTCGATTTTCATCGTGACACTTGTAATGATATGAGTAAAATCGATCGGGCCCTCGGGTAATCTCGCGTCTTCTTGTAGTCATGCATTCTCGCCCTCCGCTCAATACCATAGTCGACTAAGTCCAGGAAAATTTACTTCAAAGAGGTTCGAAAAGTCAACTCCAGCAAACAACTGGGCGTCAAGTGCTGAATCTTCCTCCATCAATGAGTAACAGGGCGGTTCGCTTCCAGGTGAAAATCCCAGCGAGAACAAATTTTCGTCATTTGCTGTATCGTCTGCTAATTGTGGACCATCTAGGAATCAGCTCAGTTTTCAGGGAAGTCTCTCCAAAGGCTGAACAGAGCAAGCGAGCATGCGAAGTACGTACAACGAATAGCAAAATCGATGCCTTGCGATGCTTGTGTTCTGCTCTGAAGTTCGGATTCTTCTGCTGCTGGAGCAACACTTTGCCATTGGTCGCGCACGAACTGGTTCGCTATGTGAGAAAAGCCGGAGAAGAGGCCGCAGGGGATCGAGCCCGCTGTCGCGTAGTCAAAGCGGCCAAAATATCCCACGACGGTGTCCAGCAGAGCGAGGTTGATTTCCGTCTCTGGGTGAGAGGGCTTGTGTATGACCATGTCGAATAGAACAAACATTGCTGAGAGTGGACAAGAAGCTAATATCCTGACCTTCAGTTAGCGCTTTGTTCGAACACCTTCTGGAGCTCACAAGCTCCCCCACAAATCATCTTCATTCACTTACCACAGCGGCGTGTGTGGGCGTATATCTATGCAAATAGTAAGACGGGCGACCGCCCTCGCGCTCTCCATCAGTTCGTTTTCTGCTGCTCTCATCCTGGCTCCGTGTGCCTCAGTCTTGGCTGCCTTTCTACCAACGTATAAATCCAGCCTACCCAGGGCAATTGACAGAGCATGGTAGCAATAGTGCAACCTGAGACAGCCTTCAGCCATCCTAGCCCCACTGAATGGCGAGCCGGGCCTATATCCTGCTGGTATTGAGCGTCTCCAGGTCTCGGCTTCTGATTTTATGGCGTCGATCTTCAACTCGTACTGGTCGATCGAGTTCAAACTCGCGGAAACAGAAAATAGACTTTCATAAGCCCGAGAGAAAATTCGACCCAGTCTGAGGCTGAAGACGAATTTTTCAAAGTCATCCTTGAGATGCTCTTCTTGCGGTGGGATGATGGGACAGCCAACGTCGTGGTCAGAAATCAACTGAATTCCTGCTATATCAGTATCGGTGGATGGTGGCCCGGTATAAAGTCAAGGAAGCACAGGAGGATAACCTACAGAGGTCATGCCGTAAATGAATGTGGCGCACTTTTCGAGGAGATATATCACCCAAAATGTCCTGTGGCAAGCGGCTTCATCCTCTTTGTTGTTCATCACGCGGCGATGGTAGCCCAACGTGTGAGCCATTCTTGCAGCTTCTGTGATCAGAAAGTCACCTATTGATAACGATGCTATGTTGGAGCCGAATATCGCCTGGGAAATATTTCTCTGATTTAGCCCCTCACTCTTGGTATATAGTGAGTAATATGCACCTGGCACTTACCATAGCAGTGACTGCCTCCAAGATGAACAAGTGTTAGTCGGTTGTCTTTGGCTGGTCTTGAAGGGTGAGACAAACCTGTAGGTTTACCAGAGCCTCTGGTGGGAATATTACATCCTGGAGGAGGTTCAGAGCAACTTGGAAGTAACTCCAAGCTTCACCTTTGCCTAAAGTAAAGGAACCAGAACCCGCGATGTATTGACATCCTAGTGCCAGCACACAGTGATAGAGGGCACGAAAAGCGGGGCTCGTATCCCTTGTCTCAACATTCTGGAACCTGGCATCGAAAGTTTGCCTGTCCAGGAAAGGGTACAAAGGGTGTACATTCTCGAAGTACGATTTAACGTACGACCTCAAAACGGCTTCTGAGACTCCAGCTGCTGGGGCGTATGATCTCTCAGCCTCGCCTGATGAAGCTGTGTCTTCTTTCGCGCGACTCAACTTTTCACTGACAATGTTGGATATGCTTTTTATCAGGTCAAGTAGTTTGTTGTGCCCTAAACGTTGGGAGGTGAGGCGAATGTGAGCCTCGGAGAAGTAGGCCAGATTGGAGCTTGATACTGCAAGACGGTCAGTACCGGTCACCACACCTGTTTAATTTGGGTGACACGTTGAAGGGCCTGCCCTCGTTGCCACACGTGTGACTTAATGCTTACGTTGATGACCATGGACCTTGAGATATTTGTCAGCCTGGAGTCGACCCCTCAAGTTTACCTTCTGAGTTTGTCACCCACCTTAAATATGCTCTGGGCATCGTACAACGGGTGCACGCCTGCAATCGACGGATCCTGCAAGATCTGGTCGATGAACAGCCCGGATGAAGGAGCTGATTTCAAATGCTCGGCTGCAGTGGAAGCTAGTGGCTTTAGAAACCTAAAAGGTGACGGTACTCATGGCAGATGTGTTCCTTACTGGGTTGGCCGGCCTCAACCCCTGGCCCCGTTGACCCCTCAGGCGTGACTGGGTGAGTCGGTCTGAGTGCCCGCCTCGTTTTTGAGAATTGGCATGGCACTTTGCGTTTCTACAAACATGGTGAGCACCGAAGATGGAATGCATGCTCGCGGCGTGGCTGCTAGGGTTCGCCAACCTACAATGCAGCTTGCGCAAGACGATGCCCCAGCCACAACTGATACCGTCAGCATGTTCGCGAGCAACGGATTGCACCTTCGGATTACGTACCTATACACCGAACTTTTCTCTCCTTGCACAGATTGCAAGTTCTTGACAATCTTGGTGACAGCCCGGGAAGTCCCTGATCTGCCATGGCGGGTTGTGAACGTTATTTCGAAGCTAGTTGGCTGTACGCGGGGGGTGACGACGAATTGTGAGAACCGAAAGCCGAGAGGACAATGTTTTCGGTCGAACGTCCGGGCCCCTCGGAAAGGGTGCTCAGGTTCGGGTTTCGGGGTGACGGAGCACTAGGTTCCGACGAGTGGATGTTGGTCCAGGCACGAGTGCCATGCAAGCCTGACAAATTACCTACCTCACACTGGGTGTTGGTTCACAGCAACTACCGAAATACAACCCTGAGAGGCTTTGAAACGGATAGGAGGTTCCACAGCTTCCCGCCGGGACGGACCGACGGCGTCAAAATAGCGTCTTTGGCCCCGTGGGGACGCGAAGGCACGATGAAGGCCGAAAGATGATAGCTTTCTTAGGACCGAAAACCGAAAACAGAGGCAATTACTGGTAGAGCACCTGAGTATTTAATTCGAAAGTTGGGCTGCTACTGAGAACAGCACAGATTGTAATTCAACTCTCATAAATTTACTCTATTCCACTGTGCTATCGAATTCCGTCCACCAGACTACCATCATAACCCTCAAGCTACGTGCTTTCAAAACTCAGAACCACCATGTCTACCGCAGATGTCACACTTCAGGCTCAGGATCTTTTTGGGTCTCACCCTGTGGAACTCAAATCTCTCGGCGTCTTCCTCGCTGCTATTACTTTCTTGATTATTCTTTTTCGACAATGGGCTCTCCCGAAACCCATTCCGGGCATTCCCCATCGCGCAGACGCCGTCACCTCCATACTGGGCGACCTCACGAGCATAGGAAAATACATGGCATCAGGTGATGTCACATTCTTTGACTGGCTCACAGCGCAATCAAAAGAGCTCAACTCGCCAATCTTCCAGACCTTCCCAAAGCCACTGGGCCGGCCCATGGTGGTCCTGAATGACTTTCGCGAGGCGCAGGACATTCTCATGCGGCGCGGCAAGGAATTCGACAGGGCATATACCATGATCAACCTGTTCAGTGGAATCATTCCAAACCATCACATCGTGGAGAAGACGAATGCCGTTTGGAAGAGCCACAGACGGCTGTTGCAAGACTTGATGAGCCCGGGCTTCCTTGATGGCGTGGCCGCTCCGGTTATCTACCACCACGTTTCGAACCTTGTGCGGCTTTGGGAGATGAAGGCTCAGATCGCACATGGCAGGCCATTCAAGGCCGCAACCGACATCTACAACACGGCACTCGATGCCGTTAACGGATTTACGTACGGGCAGGGTTTCGAGCATCGTGCCATCCAGCCGACGCTGGAGTATTTTGAGCGCACAACTCAAGAAACCACAGAGAAGCTGAGGGGAAATGGTGGTGTCGAAGACGCCATCGAGTTCCCTATTCAGCCCCCGGACGAGGTCGTAAGGGCAGCGGTTACTGTAACCTCGGCTTTCGCTGATGTCCAGACCAGTCCTGTCGCACATCTGAAATGGCCTCTGCTGACGAGAATGCCGAAGCTGGTGAAAGCAAAAGAGATTAGAGACAACTCTATCCGCAAGGAGATCCACGCTGCTGTGGAAAGGGCCCAGACACATCCGGATCCGAGTTCAATTCGCTCAGCAGTGGAACACATGGTCCGAAGAGAGACAACGTTGGCGGAGAAAGAGGGCCGCGCCCCAGATTTCTTTTCCACGACAATGTTCGATGAGGTGAGCCTACTCTTGGATGCATTTCTCCCATATCACGAAACATATATACCTAGCCAGGCCAATTGAGAAGGAAAAGCACTAACTTTACGACTCTGATAAGCTCTTTGGCTTTGTCATCGGCGGCCACGATACCACCTCCACAACATTCTCCTGGGGTGTCAAATTCTTAGCGGACAACCCTCATGCCCAAACACGCCTTCGTTCCGCCCTGCAGTCAGGGTTCTCAGCGGCCAAGGCGGAAGGGCGTGCTCCCACTGTACAGGAAATCACCTCTTCCCGCATCCCCTATCTCGAGGCCGCTCAAGAGGAGATACTTCGCTGCGCGCCTACTCTCCAGATCGTTGAAAGAGAAGCGCTGGTTGACACTGTGGTTCTGGGCCACAAGATCCCCAAAGGCACCGTCGTCACGATTCCATCCGGCGGTAACAGCGTAGCCTCGCCTGTGTTCGAGATTGACGAGGCCAGGCGCCACAGCAGCAGCCAGGAGGCCAGGAAGTCAGGCAAGTCGCGGCATGACTGGGATCCTATGGACAGCGGCGAGTTCAAGCCCGAGAGGTGGCTAGTCAACGATGGAAACGAGTTCGATTCTGCCGCTGGGCCGCAGTTGACGTTTTCCCTGGGCACGAGGAGCTGCTTCGGAAAGAGACTCGCCTATCTTCAGCTGCGGATACTGGTGACACTCGTCGTATGGAACTTTGAGCTGTCAAGGTGCCCGGATGAGCTGTCTGGCTACGGACACAAGTCCACGCTCACGACCGAGCCGACTCAGTGTTTTGTCAGGTTGAGCAAGGTTCAGCTTTAAAAGCTGGGACAGCAGACGTACGATTATTGCATTGGGATGGGATGTTTCTTAGAATATTTTCTCTGCTGCATGTTTTCATATAGAGGAGTCGGGATTTTTATACAGCATTTCTTCTTTTACACATCTCAGATTGTACCCAACATTCCAAATAGAGCATGTCCAACGAGGGCCATGCAGTATAGCCAGCTTTCCCCTTGGCCCGCTCGCATCTTGTTCTCAAACACAGGAGGCGGTACATAGTCAGGGACTAATGAGCCGTCCTGAGATGGGGAAGTTTGCGCTGACTATGGTCGCGGGCGGCACGACATCGGGCACTTCTCGCGCCTCCGGTTAGCTCGGGACCCTTGTATTTGAATCCTCGGCTATCAACTATTGTTATAGACTTCACCTAGGGCGACCTGGGCGATGCTCTCGTCGTAGATGTCGGCGGTGGCGTTAGTTCGTAAATACGTCCTTGGCTTTGATCAGCATCATACACTGACGAACTTGGCCTGGGCGGGTTTCCTCTTCAACTGCTTCTGCTTTATCGAAGACTTAAGTTGGTCATACACGACTGACCTGAGAACATCGAAGGCGGTGAGAAAAGAGATTCCAGCGACGCCGAGCCCTTTGCCAGCGCACTACGGATACCATGTTCGCTACTACCACAATCGAGACATATTAGCGCTGATGGCCGTTATGGACGGCAGAGAGAGGACTCCTTCTGAGTGGAAGGAGCTATTCAAAGAGGCAGGGCTCAAGCTTGTCACCTTCTGGGAGACAAGGAGTATGGTAGATATCTTGGAAGCAGGTGTATAATGAAGGACGTATAATTAGACCAAGGGAGTCTGGCCAAGAATACATGTGGTAGCGCGACGCGCGACGCTTTTCCTTTTTGTGGTTTAAAGTCGCTTGTCGACGGATCTCGTGTCACTGTGCCAAGGTCTTGTGTGTTGTGTATAAAGCTGTCTCTTAACCCGGACAGATCGTGAAGGTGGTTGAAATGGTTCTAGACCTTCTCATTCGCGAAGATCCAAGTTGAAGTCTCCGAAATGGACGTGATGAACGACCTGGACCCCTAGGACGAAACTCCCCGACGTTGTGTCAAGTGCAATCATGCAATGACACGTGTATGCACACTTTGGTCAAGCTTTCGGGGTCCCTGATGCGACGCATGGGTAGCATCTGTCGGTGTCAATCTCGCGTGGCAATAAGCTGTGCATGCAGCCTTATTTTCCCAACTGATGTTCTCACATCCCTGCAAGGCTTCGGCACCGAGGCGACGAGATTTGTGCCCGGGCGGCCGGAGAGAAGGACGCGCATTGTGCCAAGCATCTTCGGCCAGGCCAAGAATCGTCGGATCGGGCCGGGATCTGAACTAAACGGACATTAATTATTAGCACCTGCCTCAGAACTTAAATCATCGGTTGGACGGATATCTGAAGCTAGCTAGGACCCACCCAGGTCGTCTTCTGCAAGACATCGTCAACTTTCTTGGTAGGAGTCGAATTGGCATCATATGGTGTTGTGGCCAACTTGGCGGATTGGCCCAAAGCACAATGCACACATGCTTTTGCCTCACCACCAGGCGAGATCGTGCCCTGAGCCCTCAGCTTTGAGTCAGTCAGAACATTGCCCGAAACCCAACACGCTTCGCCGTAACCATAGCGAGTGAGCTATTTACACCTCCACAGGGGTAATAAAGGTTATTTGCCTAGGTACCGTCACATTAGGCCCCATTAGCCCCACTCATGCTTACGTGGTTACTTTTTTAGCAATTTCTATGCAAAAGGTACCTTATTTATATAAGGGGCCATAATTTATTAGCCGCGGCTACATAATGATAACTACCAAGGCCATGAATGTTTTATAATTGCTTTATACTTCGCGCACTCCTTGCTTTTTATACCGCCCATTTAAATGCTTCACTCTTATAAGCCCCTTGCTACTCCGCTAAATGCATTAAATGCACCCTAAACTACCTTAATTAAGAAAGCTTATATATAATAAAAAGCTTTAAGCTTAAATACTTTATAATATTATTAGTTAATTATGAAAATAAATAGTAATAAAGTTATATATTATATTTTATTAAGTATAAAAAGCATTAAAAGGCCCTTTAAAATCTTAAAGTAATAAATATAATAAATACCCCTTATTTAATATATTAAAATAAATATATTTATAAAACTAATTATTATTAAACCTTATTTATTATTATATATCTTAAATTAACCTTAAGTTTTCTTTATTATTTAAATTATATATAACGTAATTTATTATTAAGTAATGCATATTATTAAATAACGTATTTTTACAATATTTATTAACTTTAATTAACCTTATTACTTATTTAATATGAAGAAATTAATTAAATTTAACATTAATTAATATTAATTATATTTAATTTTTAATTTTTAATTAATTTTATTAATTTAAAAGGGTTAATATAAATATAATATTAATTTAAATTAATTAATTTTTAATATAAAATATATATTTAATATTAATTAATATTAATTATATTATTAAAACGTAATTTATTATAAATTATTAAAATAAATATATTTATATTATTATAAGCTAACCTTAAACTTATAAAAATAAAGGTGCTTAAATAAAGTTAATATTTAAAGTATAAAGGAAAAAGTTTACTTTTTATTTATATTTATATTAAAGCTTATTCTTATAAAACTGTGGCGATTACTTTAAGGTGCAGTTAAATAATAAGTATGGGGCTTAATTAACTTTAATTTAAGGGTTTTTAGCAAGGGCTATTTAAGGGCTTTGCATGCCTTATTTAATTAATATATAACTTATAAGGCCTATGCACCTTGCTAGCAATACTTATAATGCATTGCCTTTATAATAGCTGTTATAAGTATTAAGTATTAAAAAAGATATAATATTTTTATTATTAATGGTTTTAAACTTATTAAAAATATTATAGAAGCAAAGGCATTATAATTATTAATATTAATATCTTATTAATTTCCTTTTACTTTTATAATTATTTTTACTTTTTTAAGGCATTCTTTATTATTATTATATTTAAATATATAGCTTTATATGCATTAATTAATTCTTAATAATTAGCTAACTTATAAAGTAACTTTTAATAATTATATTATATTAATTAATCCTTTTAATATATAAAATATTTTAATATACTTTCTTTTCCTTAATGCTTAATTTTCTTATTTAATATTTACTTAATTTTATATTCTTTCTTTAAAAGCAAGCTATTATTAAGCTTATTATTCTTTATATAATAATATATTAAGTTAAATTTTTATAATTTATAATTAAAAGGATTATTTTTAACTTAATATTAATTAAGATATTATATACTTATTATTAAGTAAATTTAAATATTTTTATTTTAATTATTAATTTTAAAATTAAGTTTATAAGTTTAAAAAAATACTTTATATATAATAATAAATAAACCTTTTTATAATAATTAAATCTTATTATTTTATTTAAAAAAAAGCTTATAAGCTTTACTTATATAAAATTATACTTTATTATTAATATTAAACTACTTTTAATAATAAGCAGCATTATATAACCTTTTAAATTTTAATGCTATAATATTTATAATTAATTAAATATTTTATTATAAGTACTTTTATATAAATTAAATATTTAATAACTTTTAAATAATATTAATAAATTACTTAAAAGAAAATAAAATCTTAAATTTAAATAAAAATTTATAAAAATTAACGTTAATTAAATATTAATAAGCTTTATTTAAGTTTTATTATAAAGTAAGTAAAATATTTACTTATAATTTACTTAAGTATTTTGCTATATATTATGATTTAAGCTTTGCCCATTATAATTAATTAATAAGCTTTAGCCTTATAAGAATAGGCTTTAATGCGGATATAAATAAAAAGTAAACCTTTTCCTTTATACTTTAAATATAAACTTTATTTAAATATTTTATAATAAATAACCTAAGATTAACTTATTATATATATTTAAAATCCTCTTATATTATAAACTTATAATATAATTATATAAAACTTAATATAATAAGATTTAAAAAAAATAATAATAGCTTATTAAGCCCTTTTTTATTTTAAGGAACTTTTATTTTAAAAATATTTAATAACTTAATTAATAAAATTAAAAGCGAAGTTTATAATAAATAAAAAAGTAATTAATATTAAAAAGGCTTAATTCTTTTATATATTTAATTAATTAAGAACTTTTTATAATTAATTTTTATTTTATATTAATTTTATAAAACTATTTAAGGAATAATTAAAAAGCTTTTTAAAAAAAATTTACTTTATGCTTAAAAATCTTTTTAAGCAAAGGCATGCTAAGCTTAACTTAATTATATTATAATAATATTATAAAAAGGAAATAATAAAATTTTTTGCTTAATTTAATTAATTAACTTATATAATAAAAATTTAAAGTTAATTAAATAAATATAAAATATTATTAATAATTAATAGCTTAATTTTTATAATAAAAGCTTAACTTAATTATAAGAAATAATTAAATATATTTAAAGCTTTTTATTTTACTTTATAATAATATAAGGGTATTTTTAATATTATAATAAAAAAGATTAATACTTAATTTTAAAATAATAAAGTAATAAATATTAATATTATAATAATTTTAATAAATAAAGTTAAGTATTTTATATATAGCTAATTTAATTATTATAAATATAATTATTTTAATTATTATAAAAAAAATAAAAATATAGCTTTTATTAATTAAAATTAATAAAGAAAAGGAATTTATTTAAAAAAGTATAAATTTTTTTTATAAGATAAGGTTTAAAAGTAATATTAACTTAATATTAATTTAAGCTTAAAATAAATTAATTATATATTAATTAATTTAATATTATAAAAATACTTAAAATTTAAGAAATTTTTATTAATAAAGTAAATTATTTATAATTAAGTATTAATTAATTATAAATTATATAATAAATTTATAATTTTAAGGTTTTAAATAAAAAAGCTTATATAAAAGGCTTATATTAA